GGGGTGGTCTGTGATGGGGTGGTCTGTGATGGGGTGGTCTGTGATGGGGTGGTCCGTGATGGGGTGGTCTGTGATGGGGTGGTCTGTGATGGGGTGGTCTGTGATGGGGTGGTCCGTGATGGGGTGGTCTGTGATGGAGTGGTCCGTGATGGGGTGGTCTGTGATGGGGTGGTCTGTGATGGGGTGGTCTGTGATGGGATGGTCTGTGATGGAGTGGTCTGTGATGGGATGGTCTGTGATGGGGTGGTCTGTGATGGGATGGTCTGTGATGGGATGGTCTGTGATGGGGTGGTCTGTGATGGAGTGGTCTGTGATGGGGTGGTCTGTGATGGAGTGGTCTGTGATGGGGTGGTCTGTGATGGGGTGGTCTGTGATGGGGTGGTCTGTGATGGGGTGGTCTGTAATGGGGTGGTCCGTGATGGGGTGGTCTGTGATGGGGTGGTCTGTGATGGGGTGGTCTGTGATGGAGTGGTCTGTGATGGGGTGGTCTGTGATGGGGTGGTCTGTGATGGGGTGGTCTGTGATGGGGTGGTCTGTGATGGAGTGGTCTGTGATGGGGTGGTCCGTGATGGGGTGGTCTGTGATGGGGTGGTCTGTGATGGGGTGGTCTGTGATGGGGTGGTCTGTGATGGGGTGGTCTGTGATGGAGTGGTCTGTGATGGGATGGTCTGTGATGGAGTGGTCTGTGATGGAGTGGTCTGTGATGGGGTGGTCTGTGATGGGGTGGTCCGTGATGGGGTGGCGTCTCAGCTCTGCTTCAAGGCACATCCTCGGGCCATTTGTCTACGTACTTCACGTAAAGACTTACGATGCAAGTGTGGATCCTGCATGTGAGTTAATAACATGCCAGAGCCTCTGACATGATATATATTGGTATTTCTCATGGTGTGTGTGTGTAATTACCTAAGTGTAGTTACAGGATGAGAGCTACGCTCGTGGTGTCCCGTCTTCCCAGCACTCTTTGTCATATAACGCTTTGAAACTACTGATAGTCTTGGCCTCCACCACTTTCTCACCTAACTTGTTCCAACCGTCTACCACTCTGTTTGCGAAAGTGAATTTTCTTATATTTCTTCGGCATCTGTGTTTAGCTAGTTTATATCTATGACCTCTTGTTCTTAAAGTTCCAGGTCTCAGGAAATCTTCCCTATCGATTTTATCAATTCCTGTTACTATTTTGTATGTAGTGATCATATCACCTCTTTTTCTTCTGTCTTCTAGTTTTGGCATATTTAATGCCTCTAACCTCTCCTCGTAGGTCTTGCCCTTCAGTTCTGGGGGCTACTTAGTAGCATGTCTTTGCACCTTTTCCAGTCTGTTGATGTGCTTCTTAAGATACGGGCACCACACAACCGCTGCATATTCTAGCTTTGGCCTAACAAAAGTCGTGAACAATTTCTTTAGTATATCGCCATCCATGTATTTAAAAGCAGTTCTGAAGTTAGAAAGTGTGGCATAGGCTCCTCGCACAATATTCTTTATGTGGTCCTCAGGTGATAGTTTTCTATCTAGAACCACCCCTAGATCTCTTTCTTTATCAGAATTCTTTAAAGATTTCTCACATAATATATAGATTGTGTGGGGTCTATGTTCTCCTATTCCACATTCCATAACATGGCATTTATTAACATTAAATTCCATTTGCCAAGTGGTGCTCCATATACTTATTTTGTCCAGGTCATTTTGAAGGGCATGACAATCATCAAAGTTTCTTATCCTTCCTATTATCTTAACATCATCAGCAAACATGTTCATATAATTCTGTATACCAACTGGTAGATCATTTATGTAGACAATAAACATCACTGGTGCAAGAACTGAACCCTGTGGTACTCCACTTGTGACATTTCTCCAGTCCGATACATTGCCTCTGATCACTGCCCTCATTTTTCTATCAGTGTGTGTGTGTGTGTGTGTGTGTGTGTGTGTGTGTGTGTGTGTGTGTGTGTGTGTGTGTGTGTGTGTGTGTGTGTGTGTGTGTTTAAGAATACCAGGAAAAAAGTCAACTGTATAATTAATGGTGTTAATGCTAGAAAAGGCAACATCTATATGCTAAAGCTTTGTAGACATGGTGAAGACCACTAAACCAGGAGGGAACGTAGCATCTCTAGACGTGGAATTCCTATTTACGAACGTCCCTGTAGACCCCACTATCAACTTAATGTTAGACAGAATCTGCCATGACAATACTACTCCAAAGCTGGATATTCCAGAGTCTGTCCTTTATAATCTTCTGGAGATTTGCACCAAGATGGTCCCATTCACAACCCCCTCTGGGAGACATATATAGGCAGATAGATGGAGTAGCCATGTGGGTCCCCAATAGGAGTCCTCTTTCCTACCTTCTATATATGGGAACACTAGAAGACACCATCTTCAAAATCACAGGGTTTTGAAGGAGATGGTGCATCTTTGAGGTGATGGGCCTGCACGAGAGGCCCACTCAGTGGCACAGCGTGTAAAATTGGGATCGTGTACATCTGCCAGCTGATGTAAGTAGGCAGGTAGAATTTCCTTCACAAGGTCTTCGGATGCCGAGGAGGAGGACAGGAAGGCTAGTACAGCGATTTGCGTTGCTGTTCGAACTCCGAGGACCCCAAGTCTTACGGGAAGAGAAGCTTGTTTCCACTGTAGGTCATCAAGAGAGAGGTTAAGGGCTTTTTCTAGCATTGATTTCAGTTACAGGTCATACTCACCTAGATTTAGGCTACTGTAGGATGGTGAACACCTCAGAAATTAGGTTAACCTGGGGAGGGACAGACATCTGATGATGAGGTAGAGTGCATCATGAGCATCAATGTCCTCAATCCGCCCATCCATCCTCTTAAGGTCGGCGATTTTCTTATCAAGGTCCTCATCGATGGCTTTCTACCCCAGGGGGATGGGGGCTCCTAGAAGTGTGCTGTCGTCAAGTTGGGTCATATGGATATTTGGCAGAACACCCTCAATTCCCTCTACTACGCCCTGGTTGGAACATATTATTTCACACTTAGAGGGGCTCAGGGTGAGGCCTGAAACTGCACCTTGCTCCTGGATTTTTCTGATGTTCTCCAAGAGGGAGTCTTGGGAACCAGCTAGGGTACCATCATCCAAGAACCAGATGTTAAGCTCGCTGGACAGGACTTCTGTGACTTGTTTGATGACTAAGCAGAAAAGAAGAGTAGCAAGGGGGTCACCCTTTTGGACGCCTTCTCGCGAGTCAATTTCATATTTGCCAAAAAGTAGCTTTAGATCCATACGTAGCATGAATGTACAAAAGGATAGAGGAAAGGGAAATGACGATGAACCCCACGGAGTACAGCATATCCCTCCGCACCAAATTGAAGGCCTTTTTTAAATCTAGCTTGATCAGGGCCTTTTCGTCTGTGATGTTAGCAACGAAAAATATATATATATATATATATATATATATATATATATATATATATATATATATATATATATATATATATATATATATAAGAGATGCATGAATATTTAAACGAACTATTTAATAATTTAATCATCTGGATATTGCAGTAATATTGGCTAATACTAAAAATAAACTTATTATTAAATCCCCCCACACGCGTAGGTGAGCACACCACACACACACACACACACACACACACACACACACACACACACACACACACACACACACACACACACACACATACACACACATGTACCCTCGGGACTCAGGAGCTGGAGCACAATCCCAACACTTGGGTGTACATGACTCATGGCTCCGTGTGCATGCACACTTAATGAACCATTCCCCACCTCCTTCCATCCCACCATTCCTTCCTCCCTTCCATTTCCCCTCTCTCTCTCCCCTCCCCCTCCAACAACTTGTACAAGTGTGCTTCATGAAGAAATTCAACAGGTGTGTGGTGGGGGGGATGGGAGGGAGGGTCGTGGCGTGTGATAGGAATAGGGAGGTGAGATGGGGGGCGTGAGCAGGGTTGGACGGGGGTATAGAGGGAGGGGTGGTAGTGAGGGTCAGAAAGGTGGTGGGGGGGTCGCGAGCTGCAGACGTGGCTTATGATAAGCAAATCGTCCAGCTGGACACCTCAAACCATGAATATTTTTCTTCCTTGACATTACTGATCGTGAATGTCGTGATCATATCCACTCCCTCACGATGAACTGCTAAGAATATTTGTAGATCTACCTTATATAATGCTATAATTTGTATTCACTTTAAAAAAAAATACTCTTTTTGGCAAGAGCGAACAAGAATATCATTTAGTTATATGTATTTAGCAATATCGGATATTGTTTCGATAACCATTAACAAAAATCGATAACCATGTGTGTTATCTACTGTTCTTTTGTCTTTAAGTGAGGATAAGTTGGGTTTTGTTTACTTAAAGGGAAATATTTTTGTATTTCTGGTATTAGAAAGGTCTATAACTCAAGACAGTATTTTAATATAATATTCAAGGCCTTCAGGGTTTACCATCCCCGGTCTCATAAAGTTTATTTACTCCATTTTCTGGCTCCAAGAGCTTACCAACCCCATTATAGGTCTCCTAAGTGCGTATCAATATCTGATAGGAATGTATTTAGCTAATGTTGATTAATTCAGTAATAGTTCAATATCATGTTAAAAGTAATATGGAATTTGTAAGTATATCTTAAGTGTGTATTAACATAGTAAGCATATGTTTTTTCACTGTTCGTTAAATCTGTGTTGGTAAAATCAGTATTAAGTCAGAATTCGTTGTCAGCATTTGTTAAAATAGTATTAAAAACTAGTATAAGACATGTTTCAATAAGTCAGGATTGGCTAAAACAGTATTGTTAAGTTTGGTTAATTTTAACGCTGATTCTTATAACCTATAATTGTATTATGTTGATTCGATTCGCTGTCGTGTGTTGGGATTTCCTCCAGACGGGGGTTAGATCCCACCGTATATATGTGCGACGCAGATTCTTCCATATGATTGCTCCTCATGCTAGTGATTTAATGCTGACACTTAAGTTCTCTGACACTGGGGCTTCTCTGTTGCCAGGTGGCAGCAGTCCGCCCGCAGCTGGAAGGCCTACACAACACCGATTTGGGTTTCTTGGTCCGAAACCTGTCTCAGGTGGCACGCACCGTCGCCTCCTTCAACTGGGTCTCCACGAGCATCGCCTTCCTCAACGACACCGTCGCTTCCAGTACGGTGAGTTGCTCCTCCTCCTCTGTGTGGCCAGGTTGGAGGTGGTACAGTTAGGAGAGTTAATTCTTACCACTCATACACCATTATTATTTTAATCATTAGCATCATTATCATCACTAACAACACTATCATTTATAACACAGCCAACACTATCACAGCCATCACCTCAACTACCAGTCACCAACACTACCACTACAAACACCGACACCACTACCACCACTACCATCACCCTAGTCCTCTGTATCATACCAACAGCGTACCACAACGGCTCTGCGTGGCGAGGTGACCAGCATCCGAACGACCTTGCGAGATCGACTGGATCCTCTAGTCGCCAACGTCTCCCGTCTAAGCCAGCAGGTAGCCCTCGTGACTCCCGACGGCGGACAGCACCTGCAGAATATCAACGACGGCCTCACGCGCCTCCAGCAGGAGGTATGTATCCGTGGACCTGCGTCTTCTTCTTCTGGATAGTAGGTGCAGTTTACATGTAGGGTTTGTCCTCCCGATGACTGCACCACCTGCGTCTTTATCGCTCCGGAAGGTGAAGGGCAGGGAAGGTGGTTATTATTAGTTAGAGAGAGAGGTTAGTATTTTAATAGGTACATTTCTGGGATAGATTGGTTTAGGAGGCTTAGACAAATTTGTTAAGGCATGAAGCAACAATTTCTTGATTAGGTGCTACAGACACGGAACACTTAATTAATATGATCATCAGAAAATATGTAAAATAATTTATCATATGTTGAATTAACGTAGGCATGAAACTTAAAAGATGAAAATACAAATTTAAACAAATAAAATCAAGTAAAGCAAATAGATGAAGCAAAATTTCTCGATTCGTCTGTTCATCATTTTCCACAAACTTGCTTTTCAAGGCAACGCAGAGGCAGCAAGCGATACGTAATCTGGAAGAGCGGATCGTTCCCCGGATCCAGGAGAGCGTTGCGTATCTCCAGGGCGCGATAGCCAGCCTTTCAGAGGTTCAGAACAGGCTACAGGCTCTGGAATCTCAAGTCAACACCAATGACAGTACCACGGAAGATTCCAACACCTCTCGGAGTGTTAGGCGAGACATTAGGAAGCTTAAACGTGACGTGAGTGTTATTTTGCATTGACTGGTGGTGCTTTAGAGTGGCAAAATTATCATTTTTAACCGTTTCTGTGCATAAAAGTTTAGTTCTGTCTCTTCAATCCCTTTCTGGTCATATTATCCTTTCCTTCACAACTCTCACCTAATACCATTTTTCCACGTAATTTGACCCATTCACAACCCCCCTCCCTTACCCCCCAACCTGAACCACTCCCCGCTCATAATCCTTAAACCTAGAGAGTATCCAACCCACCCCCTTCCTCCCAGCACGATATTTTTTCCCCATAAAACCCACCCTGTCATCCACCACATGGACGGGCTCAACTCTGGTGTCGTACAGGTGGACCAGCTCAACAGTCGCCTGCTCCTGGACGAGTGCGAGAGCGGGCCGTGTCGCAATGGAGGCACCTGCATTGACAGCTTCCAGAAATTCCGCTGTCTATGCCCCAGTGGTTGGACTGGGAGTACCTGCGACGAAGACAGAAACGAGTGTTATGAGTTGCAAGGCACAGAATTTGGTTGCTAGGTAAGAGAACCTGGTGATAATAGTCAGGTTAGTATGAAGATCCAGTGATAATTGTCAGTTGAGCATAATGTAGAGGCAGCCATTCTGTCTCGTGCACGAGGGTTTAATCTTGATCTGGCGTGGTTTTTGTGTCCTCAGAATGGTGCCAGTTGTCAAAACATCCCCGGAGACTTCAGATGCGAGTGTCGACCTGGCTTTTACGGAGTCCACTGCGAGCTGACCAGCAACAACTGCACTGCCGCCACAGGGACGGAATTGTGTGGTCCTCACATGGAGTGCATACCTTCCACAAGAGGCCGCTTTCCCTACTACTGCATCTGCGACAAGGTGGGTCGGTTTGCAGCGGATTGTGGCTTGATCTTTTGGGTAATAATGCCATCATAAATTCTGTGATGGGCGTGTATGAAAGTGCAGACCACTTTAGTCACAATAACTTGACTGAAGATATGATGAGCCAAGCAGACATCAGAAGACGAAGGCACGACGACGTTTCGGCCCGTCCTGGAACGAAACGGCATTATTACACTGCTTGATAAGGGGCCAGGACGGACCGAAACTTCGTCGTTTCTTCACTTTCTGATATGTGGTTTTGGTCGTGTATTGGTATTGTTTTGTTCCATGGGCGTTCTCTTGTGGTTGTCAACAGAACACCTTAGCCATTTTTTAAGATTGTCCAGGTTTCTCTGAGCAATACTGTCAATGAGTTTACGAACCGTGAGTGTGTAGGGTATCCTTGGAGAGAGAGTGAGTCCTGTGCTGGACGTCCGCGTGGAGAGACCTGTGCTGGACGTCCGCGTGGAGAGTTCTGTGCTGGACGTCCGCATGGAGAGTCCTGTGCTGGACGTCCGCATGGAGAGACCTGTGCTGGACGTCCGCGTGGAGAGTCCTGTGCTGGACGTCTGCATGGGGAGTCCTGTGCTGGACCTCAATGTGAAGAGTCCTATGCCTTTATATATTGTTTAACCTGCGCTTGAAGTAATCCCCGAATTCCGCGTCTATCACATTACCCAGTAATTAGTTAAATTGACCAACTAAAGTGACAGTATATGATGTTGTTAATGGTGTGATGTGTTTCAGATTGCGGAGGACACGTTAACATCTCTTACAGTGGCGCCTTGGAGACGATCAGATCACTGGATGCAGATAATGACGGTAAGATGCAAAAAATCTTCGCGGGGGAGATAAGGAGATGTATATAGAACATAGGAAACAGAACACAGTGAACATAACAGTAAAAAATCATAATTATAGTGTTATAATACAATCAACATAGTAAATAGGACACAGAAAACAGAACAAATCGAAAAATAGCATGAAACACACAAACAGATAACTCATGCCACCCATACGGGGCGTGCCAACGGGAAACATAATGGAAAACACATAACACAGGGCAGCAATACATAATGACAATGAGTACAAGCATACAAAGAACGCAAAACAAAGGAACACACACATGAGACAAACACAACCACCCAGCACACAAACCCGACCACCACAAACAGAGGACGCCTAACCGCCAAACAGAGAAAACACCCACGCACCTGATACATCAGGAGAGATACAGACATATCACACAACAACACCAGCACACCCATACCCCCCCCATACACACAATACCCGCCATACAACAAGGCAACCAAGAGGCAAGCGCCCCATACACTTCACGACAACCAAAAATTTCAAACCCCGGAAAACAACAAAGCGCCCAAAGGATCAAAACCGCCCACGAGTACACCAGAGGGGTACACAGGACCACCTCCCGACAACGACCCAGGTCAAGCAAAAAACTAAGCCTCATAGAGCAATAAAACAACCCCAAAGAGTTTAAGCCCTAACACCAAACTCCTCCGAACTGACCCCTAAAACAAAGCCAACGCCTTCAAATAGACATCAGAAATACCAATTCCGACCCTATGAAACCCTGAGACACAACGTAGACCGACGAACCGGATGATACCGGCCACGCCACACATAACGATACACTAAACCCTCCAGAGCGCGAGCCCTCCGCCGATCCAACAGAGAACACTGTGCAACAAACCAGACCCGCGACAGAACCTTACAAGACAGTATTGATTGATAAAGATTAAGCCACCCCAAGAGGTAGCACGGGCATGAATAGCTCGTAAGCTGTGGCCCTTATGAGCCATTACCAGTATCAAAAGATGATACTGGAGATTTGTGGAAGTGCGACTGCACCCTGCGTGACGGGAGATGTCTCCCACACAATTGATGAAGATTAAGCCATCCAAAAGGTGACACGGGCATGAATAGCCCATAAGTGGTGGCCCTTTTGAGCCATAACCAGTATCAGTAGATGATACTGTAGATCTGTGGAGGTGCGACTGCACCCTGCGTGACGGGAGATGTCTCCCGTCCAAGACACGACAAGCGCCCACTGATAAATAGTCAGGGCCCGTTGCATCAACATCCCCACAGCCACGCCCACCCCTCACGAAACTGCATCCCAATTAAACTCCAAAGACTGCACATACCACCTGAACCACGTAATCCCCAGAACCCGAATAGATTGAACCACCGGAAACCACGATCCAGACCACATCAAACGAGAGGCCCAACCCCAGAAGATAAGACTTCCCACGATTGACCAAAGCCCTTGTAGCCGACTCAAACTGAAGCACTAGATCCTGAACCACAGTCACAGAACCCTCAGAAGCAACAAACAAGACTGTGTCGTCTGCGTAACTACAAATCTTGAGGGACAAACCATTCGGTAAACTCGGCGAAACAACCGAATGACAAGCACGCACAGCCCGAACAAAGGGCTCCAGAAACAGAATATAGAGAAGCACCGACAGAGGACACTCTTGTCGAACCGAACGCCGAACAGCGAAGGGAACACCGAGGAACCCATTGACACACACCCTACTACTACAACCAGCGTACAACATCCGTATCCAACCCACAAACTGGGGCAGGAAACCAAATCTCTCCAAGACCCGCAAAACAAACCCAATTGGCACTCGATCAAAAGCCTTGGATCAATCCAAGCTGATCATGGCCACGGGAACACCAAACTCCTCCACATAAAGGAGCAAATCCCGGAAAAGGGAATTGCACTGCAGCTGGAACACCATAAAACTGACTCCAAGAAATCACCGAGCGCAAACGTCCAGCCAACAACTTGGAAACAATCTTGTAGTCCACATTTAGCAATGTAATAGGCTGCCAATTCGCAAAAAAAACGTAAGTACCCCGGCTTTGAAAGAAGCCGCACAAGACCATCATTTTGCGAATCGAACAGAATCGATATGAGTGAAGAACTTAAGCTTATAACCGTTTGGACGTTGTTGTTCAAGATTTAGCTACACGGAACAAAAAGTTCCAAGCAGCATGGGTATGGTGAGCAAGTCAAACTTACCTGGCACAGATGTGGTGAGCCCTTTGTACTTACCTGGCACAGGAGATGTGGTGAGCCTTTTGTACTTACCTGGCACAGGAGATGTGGTGAGCCCCTATATCTCTCTCTCGCTCCTCCTCCCCTTCCTACCTCCCATCTCTAACCCCCGTCCCTGGCACAGGAGATGTGGTGAGCCCAGTCGTACTTACCTGGCACAGGTGATGTGATCCGAATCGGACAGAGAATAACTGAAGAAATCGAACCATCTCCAAAAAATCGGCACCAAGCACATCCCAAAACTCGACAAAGAACTCCATTGGAAACCCATCCGACCCCGGAACCCTACCACGACGAAAGGGCCGCACAACCCCCCAAAGCTCCGAAGGGCTAAACTCCCGCAAAAGACCCACACAATCCATCTCCGACAACCGGGTGCACAGTGTTGGAGGAAGGACCCCATCAACCCCGCAACCGCCCTATACAAAGACTCCAATTCGCTGGGCACATAATGCACCCACCCCCAAAAGGCTGCGATCGCACCACCACAGTCCCCCCTGACCAACCACCTCCCACTCTGGGCTCCGTACCCCAAGCGACCCACATACGAGATCTCCAGGAGGGTCCACAACACACCCTCCACCTCCCGGCACCGACGGGACACACCCTCACCATCACATACACTCGCATCAGGCTCCAACTTTCGCACCGAAGGCCCCGGTCCCCGGAGCGACCACTCCTGGCCGTCTTCCGGCGATTCGTCTGAGAGCCAGGTTGACCCGGAGCAGCAGAGGCTGAAGGACGACGAGAGGGGCGGCCCCCTTCAAAGAACTCATCCGCCTCCAAGGGCAGAAGCACACACCATTCCAGTGGCGCACCAGAATCTGGCGCGACAAAACAGGGTCATGTCCCACCGAAGCGTCAACATCTATGATGACGGCAACCAGAGGAGGATGCACCTCCACATGCTTGACCACCTTATTACTGCCCACACCAGGGGAGCCCACAGACACCGGAAACGGCACGTCAGCACCAGTGGGGCGCACCGCACCCACAATGTCAATATCACCGGCAGGTTCAGGGGGAGGGGTAGTGTGGTGGGGTGGTAGTGAAGTGGGTGGTAGTGTGGTGTCTGTTAGTGTAGTGGGTGTTAATGTGTTGTCTAATAGTGTAGTGAGGGTTAGTGTGGTGTCTAGTAGTGTAGTGGGTGTTAATGTGTTGTCTAATAGTGTAGTGAAAGTTAGTGTGATGTCTAGTAGTGTAGTGGGTGTTAGTGTGGTGTCTGGTAGCATTGTGTCTAGTAGTGTAGTGGGTGTTAGTGTGGTGTCTGTTAGTGTAGTGTGGTGTCTAGTAGTGTAGTGAGGGTTAGTGTGGTGTCTGGTAGTGTGGTGTCTGGTAATGTGGGTGGGTGTTAGTGTGGTGTCTGGTAGTGTAGTGGGTGTTAGTGTGGTGTCTGGTAATGTGGTGAGTGGTAGTAAAGTGAGTGGTAGTGTAGTGGGTGTTAGTGTGGTGTCTGGTAGTGGGTGTTAGTGTAGTGTCTGGTGGTGTAGTGGGTGTTAGTGTGGCGTCTAGTAGTGTAGTGGGTGTTAGTGTGGTGTTTGGTAGTGTAGTGGGTGGTAGTGTGGTGTCTAGTAGTGTAGTGGGTGTTAGTGTGGTGTTTGGTAGTGTAGTGGGTGGTAGTGTACTGAGTGGTAGTGTACTGAGTGGTAGTGTGGTGTCTGGTAGTGTAGTGGGTGGTACTGTAGTGGGTGGTAGTAGTGTGGTGAGTGGTAGTGTGGTGTCTGGTAGTGTGGTGGGTGGTAGTGTGGTGTCTGGTAGTGTGGTGTCTGGTAGTGTGGTGAGTGGTAGTATGGTGTCTGGGAGTGTGATGGGTGGTAGTGTGGTACCTTGTAGTATGGTACCTAGTACAGTGTGGTATCTGGTAGTGCCTGTGGTGTTGGGGGCGTAGCCCGTAGAGCGACACCGCTGGGGGAGGAGCTGCACCTCTCTCAGGTTCCCTGGTTCGAGCCCTCTCGCCTGACACCGGATCCGGCCCTCCCGATCACCTCTCGTTAAATACATTTATATATCCCCCCATTTAGCATCGCATTTTCTAGTATCGTTTATGTTAACTTTGGACACGTTTTCTACGTTGATTAATTGTTTACAGGAAAAGTTATTGATCCGGATTTGCTTATATATACACCATTATGTTGGATCTCAGTTTGTTAATACATAATTTCTTCCTAATTGTCAGCTGCTATTAGCCACATAATTATGTTCAAAACGTGTGAATCTAAACTGAGATAAGGTCCAGTACAGAAAATTTCTGTATGAATATAAACCTTTGATACAGTTGAATATTCTTGGTGGCAGCGACTGGGGGTATATTGCTTACATAAACCATGTAACATATCCCCCTATATCTCTCTCTCGCTCCTCCTCCCCTTCCTACCTCCCATCTCTAACCCCCGTCCCTCCCCTATGGAATAGGAGTGCCAGAAATGCCACGGTGCCCCAGCTGCATTTAGTGGTAAGTGACCCTCCCGGCCTGAGGCAGTGTCCTGTGAATGGTGGTTTAGTTCGGTGGTTACCCCGGGCTAACAAGGTGTTGAGGGTTGTTGTGTAGCAGCCAGAGAGACCTGGATGAACAGAGAGTGTGTGTAAGTCTTTGGAGGTTACTGCTAGTTAGGTGTATATTTTAATTTTGTTTATTTACTATGCCCCGCATTTATTAGTCCTATGTTAATAATTCATGTAGTGAAGATAATATATTAACATTATTAAAGGGGCAATAATTTCGAAAGAATTATTTGTAAAATATACACAATAACTAGTTTATATGCTAAACAATCTAGTCAGCAAATTTATTTCCAAATATCACTTAGAATCATATTTCAGAGAGAAAAAACTACAGGCATTTATTTTTATTTGCTTTTGTAATATAGGAATATTTGGCATCGAAATTCTTGGAATACTCTGCGTGTTTTTTTCTCCAATACTCGTGTCACAGGGCTCACACTCACAGACAAAACAGAGGAGACGCAGTTTAGACACACGGTAAGAACCAACAAGGTGGTTTCCACACGTCTCCAAGGCGTCGTACAAGGTGTTTCTCACTTGTCACGACTGTTGCAATTTTCTCCTAAAAGCATTTTTCTCGCTTGGTGGCGAAACCGGGTTTAAAGCGCGCGTCTGGTATTTACCAGGACGCTCGTTCGAATCCCCCGTTTGACCATGGCGACACAACGCGTTCCTGTCATACTTGTGCAACCACCGACACAAACGTTAAACTTAAGGATTCACATACATTCCAAAGTACAAAAAAATACAAGAGACCTTAGACATTTTCGGTAGAAAAAAATATCTGAACGGAACTAACATTCATCTGAAACTCCACATTTGTAAGTTCAAACATACACCCGAAAATACACATTACCGGTACAAAATAATGCCCCCATTATACGGTATAACGGTACCATCAAGATATAATGTGCGCACCCACTACAATCAACACCTTAATACACACATGCAGTACAATAAACACCTCGTAATACACAATTCCGTACAAACAATTCATAATTCAAGCACTCTGTACAATCAACTGTTCACCATACACTCTCATTACAATCAACGTTTCACAATATTCACAGTACAATCAACACATCACATTATACACTCTAACTTTACAATTAATGCCTTAAAATACACACTGCCTATATCTAATGTATGTATACAGATCAACTCTCATCTTCCGACAGAGAGGCTGTAAGGGATGCAGGAGACGAGAGTGATGGTATCCCGGGCCCTGGTGATAGTGTCCTGCACTCTGGTGATAGTGACTCAGCCTACAGCTGCGTTTCTCAGTGATAGGTGAGTAATAACCTTATAACTATCATTACACCATCTTTCCCCAAGTCACCATAATGTAATCTTCCTTTCACTATCATATGCTCTCATAATACTATTATGCTCCCTTAAAATACTATTATGTTCCTTCGTGATCATGGGCTTTGAGTTTATGGCCTATCAACCTCATGAGGATTCTTTAAGACTATCAAAATAGGTTGTGGTTGATCAGTTTAATTATTTTTGACAGGCCGAGGGTCCATTGCGAGTCTGGACACTTGCGGTTGGACGCAGGTGCGGGCAAAAACATCTCCCTCCGCACCCAGGGATCCGGTGCTGTCGTCATCAATGGCGTCGACGTGGCCGGCTCCTTGACGTTGGTGAGTACCTGTATCTTGTGCTTGGTTATATACGACATAGTAAACACGTCAGCACAGGGAAGAGCAGGATGGGCAGACTGCATATTTCAACCAATGCCAAGAACCTTTGATTCAATTTTATATGAGACTGGTATAAATTTGAGAAGCAGGCGAGGTGAAACTGAAGAACGCGAAACTAGAACACCTGAAATACAGAAATCAACGAGCCATAGTCAGGCAGTACCTTTCCTGCATGTCAGTATGTTCTGACAGCCCATCCTCATGTCTAGTTAGTACTTATAGAAACGGTGAGGACCATCTTATATATATATGACGTGATGGGCAATCAGAAAGTAGATATTGTTACTACTAAAATTGGGCAAACCCGAAAAGGTTTTGTATTTATGTTGCAAAGACGACCTAAACTATCCTAACCTATCCTTCCTAGGCCTAATACACGCTATATGAGGCCTAAAATAGGAATATTTCTTTGTTTTTTCCGGAATCTTATAAAGTGAACAGTACCAAATTCTACTATTTAAATGCCTTAGTACGGCATTTGTACTATGGTGCACATAGTTGCAAAAAGTACTATCTAAACAGGAGGACGGATTGACCAGACGAAGTCTAACGAGATGAGGCGGGACGGCAAAACGATACAAGTAGGTGTAAGGTGATGAAAAGGAGGACCAGGGAACGGGATACCATCCAGGTGGGAAAAAATCAAAAAGGGAAACCAGAATACAGAATTAATAGATGAAGCCCCCAAAACAAGGTTAATGTTAGTGGCGTATGATAAAACTGGTTTCCATCCGAACAGCTGTCAGTAACCTAAGGAAAAATCATTCAAAACAGTTTACACCACCTACGTAAGACCAGTCATGGAATATGCAACCCTGACTTGGAGTAACCGCCTCAGAAAGCACACAGTCAAGATCCTAAAACACACTTAACGTTGCATAAAAGTTATTCACAAAAATCCGTAGAGGTTCAAAGTAAAGTTTGAGAAGCTGCAAAAAGAGAACACAGAAAAAATACAAGAGAGAGGAAACATGATTGAGACATACAACATATTTAGAGACACGAGAGGGGAGAAATGGAGGAAAATTTGCATTGAATAACGGTTGAAGGAGAGGGATGGGTGAACGCTAGAGACATATCTGCCATATTGCAGTGGGAAAATATTTATTTTACCTATGAGTAGTTAAAAAACTAGACGAAAGATGGTCAATTTTATTACCAGTTTATTTGTAAATATATTGTGTCAGGATAAAAGTTGGTCTGGAGCCAATGTATTAAACAGCAGTCAGTTGAAAATACCAAGACCAAGAGCTGAAGCTATATCTTGAGTGAACAAAATAAAAAAAACAGTACTCTCACCCACACACACTTTGGGAGAGAGTAGAATAACACTAGCGGCCTATGCCAGGTTGGCCAACATAAGAACGGCCTTTAGAAACTTGTGTAAGGAATCCTTCAGAACCATGTATATCACGTATGTCAGACCAATCCTGGAGTATGCAGCTCCAGCATGGAGTCTGTCTCGTCAAACATAAGGCTAAATTGAAGAAGGTTCAGAGGTTTGCCACCAGACTAGTGCCCGAACTGGGGGACATGAGCTATGAAGAAAGACTACAGGAATTAAACCTCACGTCGCTGGAAGACAGAAGAGTTAGGGGGACATGATCACCACATACAAGATTCTCAAGGAAATTGATAGGGTAGACAAAGTCGAGGTAATTTATTTAACACAAGGGGCAAACGCACTAGGGGACACAGGTGGAAACTGAGTGCCCAAATGAGCCATAAAGACATTAGAAAGATTTTTTTTAGTGTCAGAGTAGTGAACAAATGGAATGCATTAGGAAGTGATGTGGTGGAGGCACACTCCATACACAGTTTCAAGTGTAGATATGATAGGGCCCAATAGGCTCAGGAACCTCTATAACAGTTGAGAGGCGGGACCAAAGAGCCGGAGCTCAACCCTCTGAACCACAACTAGATGAGTACATACACACACACGTCCATAATCAGAGGTAACAAATATAAAGATATTGAAACAATTTATTGAAAGCAACAATGAAAAAAAGTACATGCTTAAATAAACCTCACTTGAACCTAATTGAAATACGGATTCAGATGATGCACTAAATAAAGAAAATGTTCAATTACAACAGCAACAAAAATTTGTAAATAAGTTCAACAGTTATAAAAGTTCGACATCAAATACAAAAGTTACTATAGCAAATCATTCTAATATAAACACATATTCACTCACAATTAGAGATGACAATTTTAAATACTGTAGATAATCATCTTAATATAGCTTCGTCTAAATTGATAGTTTTCTAAATCTAATCCTCCTTGATTGGTCATCATTATGCACTTCTTAACTCTTCTAATCATATCCTTTTTCTTTCTTCTCTTCTCTTCTTCTCTCTCCTTCTTCTTATTATCTTTATCGTCGTCTATATCATCATCTTCGTCATCATCATTCTTGCCGTCGCCGTTATCGTCTTTACAATCATACAAATTATATATATATATATATATATATATATATATATATATATATATATATATATATATATATATATATATATATATATATATATATATATATATATGTCGTACCTAGTAGCCAGAACGCACTTCTCAGCCTACTATGCAAGGCCCGATTTGCCTAATTAGCCAAGTTTTCATGAATTAATTGTTTTTCGACTACCTAACCTACCTAACCTAACCTAACTTTTTCGGCTACCTAACCAAACCTAACCCATAAAGATAGGTTAGGTTAGGTTAGGTAGGGTTGGTTAGGTTCGGTCATATATCTACGATAATTTTAACTCCAATAAAAAAAATTGACCTCATACATAATGAAATGGGTAGCTTTATCATTTCATAAGAAAAAAAAATAGAAAAAATATATTAATTAAGGAAAACTTGGCTTATTAGGCAAATCGGGCCTTGAATAGTAGGCCAAAAAGTGAGTTCTGGCTACTAGGTACGACATATATATATATATATATATATATATATATATATATATATATATATATATATATATATATATATATATATATATATATATATAATATTGTACCTAGTAGCCAGAACGCAGTACTTGGCATACTATGCAAGGCCCAATTTGCCTAATAAGCAAAGTTTTCCTGAATTTATATATTTTTGTATATTTTTCTTATGAAACGATAAAACTATCAATTTCATTATCTATGAGTTAATTTGTTTTAGTTTGAGTTAAAACTAACGTAGATATATGACCGAACCTACCCTACCTAACCTAACCTACCTTAAGGGGTAATATTTTTGTATTTCTGGAATTAAAAAGATCTGTAACTCAAGACAGTATTTTAATATAATATTCAAGGCCTTCAGGGTTTACCATCCCCGTCTTGTAGAGTTTATTACTCCATTTTCTGCCTCGAAGAGCTTACCAACCCCACTATAGGTCTACCAGGGCGTATCAACCCCCATTACCATTCGATTAGCTGTCGTGTGTTAGGATTTCCTTCAGACGGAGGTTAGATCCCATCGTATATATGTGATGCAAACTTTCCTATGTGATTGATCCTCATGCTAGTGAGCAGGATACCTGACCAACCAGGCTGTGATTCAAACGTCAGGCTGCGAGCAGTCGCGTCAAACAGCCTGGTTAACCAGTCCAGCAACGAGGAGACCTGGTCAACGACCGGGCCGCGGGGACGCTAAGCCCCGGAAACACCTCAAGGTAGTGACTAAATGCTGACATTTTCAGAGTGTCTGCCTCAGCTGCTCTTCAATTACGGCGCTGACACTTAAGTTCTCTGACACTGGGGCTTCTCTGTTGCCAGGTGGCAGCAGTCCGCCCGCAGCTGGAAGGCCTACACAACACCGATTTGGGTTTCTTGGTCCGAAACCTGTCTCAGGTGGCACGCACCGTCGCCTCCTTCAACTGGGTCTCCACGAGCATCGCCTTCCTCAACGACACCGTCGCTTCCAGTACGGTGAGTTGCTCCTCCTCCTCTGTGTGGCCAGGTTGGAGGTGGTAGAGTTAGGAGAGTTAATTCTTACCACTCATCTACCATTAATATTTTAATCATTAGCATCATTATCATCACTAACAACACTATCCTTTATAACACAGCCAACACTATCACAGCCATCACCGCAACTACCAGTCACCAACACTACCATTACAAACACCGACACCACTACCACTACCATCACCCTAGTCCTCTGTACCATACCAACAGCGTACCACAACGGCTCTGCGTGGCGAGGTGACCAGCATCCGAACGACCTTGCGAGATCGACTGGATCCTCTAGTCGCCAACGTCTCCCGTCTAAGCCAGCAGGTAGCCCTCGTGACTCCCGACGGCGGACAGCACCTGCAGAATATCAACGACGTCCTCACGCGCCTCCAGCAGGAGGTATGTATCAAATTAGTTAAAATGTATACAAAATAATAATATCGGAGATTATTAAAAATCAAGTTCAACTAAAGAGACCTACAAAATTTCCTTGAAAGATATGAGATCCCTGACAACTTTCTTGGTGGATCACGAAATTAATGTGTAAACAACGGAGTCGAAGATTCACATGTTCAACTCTAGTCTAATTTTCGCAATATAAATCAGTTCCAAGGTGTAAGGTTAAGTCTGAATGAGTTAGAGAGAGAAGTTAGTGCAGTGGAGCGCTGCAAGTTAATAGGTACAACATTTATAGAATAGATTGGTTTTGGAGGCTTAGACGAATTTGTTAATGCATGAAGCAACAATTTCTTAATTAGGTACGACGGACACGGAACACTTGAAATGATCATCAGAAAATATATAAAATAATTTATTATATGTTGAATTAACGTGAGAATGAAACATAAAAGATGTAAATACAAATTTAGACAAATAAAATCAAGTAAAGCAAATAGATGAAGCAAAAATTCTCTATTCGTCTGTTCATCATTTTCCACAAACTTGCTTTTCCAGGCAACGCAGAGGCAGCAAGCGATACGTAATCTGGAAGAGCGGACCGTTCCCCGGATCCAGGAGAGCGTTGCGCATCTCCAGGGAGCGGTAGCCAGCCTTCCAGAGGTCCAGAACAGGCTACAGGCTCTGGAATCTCAAGTCAACACCAATGACAGTACCACGGATGATTCCAACACCTCTCGGAGTGTTAGGCGAGACATTAGGAAGCTTAAACGTGACGTGAGTGTATTTTTTACATTGAGTGGTGGTGCTTCAGAGTAGCAAAATTATCATTTTTGACCGTGTCTGTGCGGAAAAGTTTAGTTCTGTCTCTTCAATCCCTTTCTGGTCATATTATCCTTTCCTTCACAACTCTCACCTAATACCATTTTTCCACGTAATTTGACCCATTCACAACCCCCTCCCTTACCCCCCAACCTGAACCACTCCCCGCTCATAATCCTTAAACCTTCTAGAGAGTATCCAACCCACCCCCTTCCTCCCGGCACGATATTTTTTCCCCATAAAAATCACCCTGTCATCCACCACATGGACGGGCTCATCTCTGGTGTCGTACAGGTGAACCAGCTCAAGAGTCGCCTGCTCCTGGACGAGTGCGAGAGTGGGCCGTGTCGCAATGGAGGCACCTGCATTGACGGCTTCCAGAAATTCCACTGTCTCTGCCCCAGTGGTTGGAAAGGGGGTAACTGCGACGAAGACGTTAACGAGTGTTACGAGTTGCAAGGCACAGAATCTGGTTGCCAGGTAAGAGGAACTGGTGATAATAGCCAGCTTAGCATGAAGATCCGGTGATAATTGTCAGTTGAGCATAATTTACACGCAACCATTCTGTCTAGTGCACGAGGGTTGAATCTTGATCAGGCGTGGTTTTTGTGTCCTCAGAACGGTGCCAGTTGTCGAAACATCCCCGGAGACTTCCGATGCGTATGTCGACCTGGCTTCTACGGAATCCACTGCGAACTGACCAGCAACAACTGCACTGCCGCCACTGGGACGGAGTTGTGTGGTGCTCACGGGATCTGCATCCCTTCCGCAAGAGGCCGGTTCCCCTACTCCTGCATCTGCGACGAGGTGGGTCAGTTCGCTGTGGATTGTGGCTTGATCTTTTGGATAATAATGGTATCATAAAGTCTGTAATGGGCGTGTATGAAAGTGCAGACCACTTCAGTCACAATAACGTCGGTGAAGATATGATGACCCAAGCAGACATCAGAAGACGAAGGCACGACGACGTTTCGGTCCGTCCTGGAACAGAACGGCATAATTAAACGGCTTGATAAGGGTCCTGGACGGACCGAAACGTCGTCGTTTCCTCACTTTCTGATGTGTGGTTTTGGTCGTGTATGAAAGTATTGTTTTGTTCCACGGGCGTTCTCTTGTGGTTGTCAATGGAACACCTTAGCCATTGTTTAAGGTTGTCCAGGTTGCTTTGAGCATTACCATCAATGTCACTCAAAATTGCAATCTTAATTCTGAATGCAGGATTCCTGTTTCATTTTGAACCATCAAATTTCGCCCTTTTACACACAGTGAACTATTTAAAAGCACTTTCAGTCATTTAGATCTCACAGAGCATAATGAACACCTCTACTCCTCCTTCTTCTACCCTCCTGCTCCTCCTCCAAAAGGGCTGGAAGTCAGGAAACGACACCCCAGCGTGCGTCGACGTAGACGAGTGTAGGTCTACCAGCAGGCCGCACTGTTCCACGAATCCTCTAGTTCAGTGTGTCAACTATCCCGGGGGGTTCACCTGCGGCCCTTGTCCTCAAGGTCAGTACACAAGAAATTAGATTTAAAGAAATTTACAGAAGACGTATATTGGCCTTCTTGTAAACTGTTCTCCTGGACAAGGAGATGTTAACCTTGAGATATACTCCGCTTCTTGGTATATTATATATATATATATATATATATATATATATATATATATATATATATATATATATATATATATATATATATATATATATATATATATAATATAATATTACCGTGTTTACGCACTCCTTTCCTAACTATCAAAGGTAGATATAACAAAAATAGGCCAGGAGTCATTGCATTGAATAACTAAAGTGGTGGCTAGAAGGGCAGAATCCAAGAGCTAAATCTCGTTCTTGCAGGCACAAAAAGGTGATTCACGAACAAGAACTCTTCATCCAAGTTATCTCGCGTTACAGAGGTACTAAATGAAGATAGAACCAAATAACATCCGCACTACTTATAACTCCATCACTATTTGCTTTCTGGTTCTGTTCTTCCAGGTTATAGTGGCGATGGATTTGTGTGTAGCGACGTGAATGAGTGTGACATTAACAACGGCGGGTGTTCCCCCTACAGCATCTGCTACAACACAGTGGTAAGTGAGAGAGAGAGAGAGAGAGAGAGAGAGAGAGAGAGAGAGAGAGAGAGAGAGAGAGAGAGAGAGAGAGAGAGAGAGAGAGAGAGAGAGAGAGAGAGAGAGAGAGAGAGAGAGAGAGAGAGAGAGAGAGAGAGAGAGAGAGACAGAGAGAGAGAGAGAGAGAGAGAGAGAGAGAGAGAGAGAGAGAGAGAGAGAGAGAGAGAGAGAGAGAGAGAGAGAGAGAGAGAGAGAGAGAGAGAGAGAGAATACGTACTCCAGAGCCAAATGGAGAAAGAAGCAGGAATTTACACGTAAAATATACTATTATTAATAAAATCTGTGATATTTTTAGTGCCTTGTATCAGTAGTCATCACATGCTGGCATTAAAATAATGAAATCTTAACAGCTGCCAAATATCTCTCTCTCTCTCTCCAATCGCAAAAGCTGATTATAACTTTTTCTGTTTTTTAATATCTGTAATTTTTGTTTTCATATTTTTCCCTTGTATTCCTCCTTGGCCTCAAATGGTCGTAAAGGTCGACTCTCCACAGATGTTATATCTGTCACTTTGCATATGATTGAACAGTGGCTTTTTTTATTAATATATCAACCTGTCCTCTCACACGTAATAAATCAACTTCTCTCTCACCTAATACATCGTATTTTTAATAGATTTGACCAATGCATCAAAATTGCCAGAGTTTTAGTTAAAATTAATGCCCTGTAATAAAGACGGTTTCTGAACGTGTGCCTCGATGGACAACTCGTCCTCAGCCTAGGCTCGTTCAGGATGTGGCCAACCCCAAAGAAACATTCATATATTACAGCATTGTATAGTAAAAATCATTTTTTTCATATATATAAATTAATATTATTTTAAATTTCGTACATAGGGCATAGATTAGTTTGGGTTTAATTGTTGGTGGCAATTATATGCATTTTCTGTATGTGAGGGGGAAGCATTTAGAAACGTGAATCATCAAACCATCTTCAAACTATGTTAGTCCAAGTGTTTGTAGTCCAAAACCTGTATTTTTATATATAAAGTATTACTATAACGTATTATAATTTAGCGTATAGTTAGGCCTAGGTTAGGTAAGGTGTTGTTAGGATTCTCTTAGCAATTCTTTGAACATGCAGTATACAGTTGAAGCATTTACTAAGCTGTGACGTTCGAAAAAACGTTCGAACGGGGGACGGGTTGTTTATAGTTGGACTCGACTTGAGTCGAGCATTTTGGTTTAGCGCCGTCTCTCGATTTGACGAGCATCAAATTTGATTTTGTGTGTGTGTGTAACTAACAGCTCGTCCTCATATACATTAGTAAAATTCTAGTTAGTTGAGCCGTCAACTTTCCTGTTTATGAATGGAAAATACTTTACATATAATTCACAACTTATTGCACCCAAATTTTGCTTGAATAGTGCTTCACTCTTGCGTTCGAATCGTACCTCTCTAAATGCTTCGCTCACGAACTGGAAAATGCCAGTGTTTAATAACAGAAGTAAAACACTCAACCAAACCTATCCTTGACTTAAATATACACAAAATTATACATTAATACTATTTTAAATTAAACTATATCGTTTTCGAGCATGCAGTATGTTAAAACTGACGAATGCGTCTATGGGGGTGGGGGAGTTGTCCACCAGCTTGTACGACTCTGGTTCAACAAGAATCGTGAACAAGAGCCACAAGAACCTTGGACGAGGAAAACATCAACATTGCCATGTTTTAATTTAACAAAATCACCGCAATTTTTACGTTTGGAAAGCAGGCGACAAATGACCTAACCACACACCAGAGTATGAGGAGACAACGACGTTTCGGTCTGTCCTGAACCACTATCATAATCGACTTGATAATGATCCAGGACGGACCGAACCGTCGTCGTCTCCTCATCCCCTAGTGTGTGGTTTGGTCATTGTATCTCCACCCACGTTTTGACTCATCGTCTGCACAACGCACCAAAATTACTGAGCAAGAACGGGTCTAGATGGCACGCTAAAGCACGTTCAGTTGATCCTGAGGATCTTGTTCCTTCTGCAGGGTGGCCGTCGTTGTGGGCCGTGTGCTGCAGGCTACACCGGCGACGGAGTTACCTGCTACCAGGCCCCTTCACCCTGCCAAAGGTCGCCCTGTCACTACCTCGCTCGCTGCTTTGACGATCCCAGTGAGTATTATTATTATTATCTAATTCAGGTCTTCTTTTGCAGTATTTTTCTTGCTTTATTTAGTTTTGAAATTCAGTTTTGTATTTTTATTCTGTTCATTAGATACTTTTATATGTTGACCAGACCACACACTAGAAAGTGAAGGGACGACGACGTTTTGGTCCGTCCTGGACCTTTCTCAAGTAGATTGTGAGAATGGTCACAATTGTGTTCGATTGTGTGGTCTGGTCAACATATTTCAACCACGTTATCGTGACTCATCGTCTGCATACTTTTATATAATTTAGTTCGTTTATTAGATTTGCTTGTTGACATTACTTTATCTGTAACTTGTTGCTTTCTCTTTACTTCCTATTTGGTTTTATTTCCCTAATATAAATCATTATATTGTTGCTACGCTGTTGCTTTATTATACAACAAAATCGTATTATGGATTAGCAACGGATGTTATCGTACAAGAATGATGTGATTATACAAAAAAATATTATCATACAACATTTGGTCTTTAAATCACGATGTTTATTCGAACATCGGAGATCCTGGGGGCAGATTCACGAAAGCACTTACACAAGCACTTACGAACGTGTACATCTTTCCTCAATCTTTGACGGCTTTCGTTACATTTATTAAACAGTTTACAAGCATGAAAACTTGCCAATCAACTGTTGTTATTGTTATAAACAGCCTCCTGGTGCTTCGGAGCTCATTAACTGTTTAATAATTGGAAACAAAGCCGTCAAAGATTGAGAAAAGATGTACAGGTTCGTAAGTGTTTGCGTAAGTGCTTTCGTGAATCTGGCGCCAGGAAGTAACCATTGTGCTAGGTCATAGCACATGTGTTGACTACTTATAACACGTGCTTGGTTACATTTACTCGTGTTTCCATACCTAGCATATGACTGTAAACATTAGCTTCGAAACTACCGACCTGTGATAGTAACATTTACATGGAACTAAAACCTGTAATTCTATTGCCAGCATTTATGTTTTTATTATATTTATGTAGCATGCCGTTGACAAGTAAATATAAAAATAAAGTGGTTAGGCACCATTCCTTCCCATCCCCCGTCCCATCTCAAACCCTTATCCCTATCCCTTCCCAGTGGTATATAGTCGTAATGGCTAGGTGCTTACTGCTTACGGGCTATTCATGCCCGTGCTACATCTTGGGTGGCTTAATCTTCATCAGTCAATCGATGCTCTCTCCTGATCGTTTCCTTCCATTCAGGAATATCGCCGACCTACGTCCAGTGTATATGCCCAAGTGGGTATCAAGGACAAGGCTTCGGGTTCCACGGATGTACTCTGATATCGTCGCCTTCGGGAGGCAGCGAGGTGCAGCCCGTCACCAACTGGTGTGCTGTTTCACAATGCATGAACGGAGGCACCTGCGTTCAGTCCCCGTCCACCTACACCTGCATCTGTACACCTGGGTATACAGGTGAGGTTCCCAAGGTGTTGATAGACGTTTCACTCTGCATTAACGGAAGCACCTGCATCTAGTCCTCTTTCACCCGCATTTGTACACCTGGGTGTACAAATGCGGGTCCTGATGCTTTTACAGATGCAATTGCTGTTGCAGCCTTTGCCTGTAACTACAGGAAAAGGGCTGTAACAGCCTGCCTGAAGATACAGGCAGAGGCCATTTGCTTGATGCAGGTAACTGTAGTAGCTTCATAATATATAAAATACATTGTGTAAATCTCTAAGAAATATATACAATATGTACAATATATACACATTAAGACATACGAATAAATATATTTTGGGGGAATAATTTACTTGTGATTTGTTTTTAATTAGTCACTCAATTATCCGCTTTTTTTTTATTTTTTAATGCTTCCGAACAGGACGTAACTGCGAAGTAGACTTCGACGAGTGTTCGAGCAGCCCCTGCCTCCACGGGGGCACCTGCACGCAAGGGATCAACAGCTACACCTGTAGCTGCCCCTCGAGCCACACAGGCGACAGGTGTCAGACGGAGAACGAGAGTGAGTAGTGAGGAAGATGGGGTTATGTTGATCCTTATGAGCGAGTGAGGGTGGAGGACGGGAATGTGGGATGCAACTTCTACCTCATCTTTGTTTCTCATTCTTCTGGTTCTTATAGCTCTCTTCTTCCTTTTCTTTGGTTCCCGCAAGCATGTCCTCTACTCTTTCACTTCCGTTCAACTGAGGGGAATCAATTCCACACTAATAAAGACACAAATGTTCATATGTTAACGTTCTAAACTACATAATTATATTTTTATAGTGCGTATTGGAGCATATGTATGAGAGAGAACGGCGTAGCCAATTCTTTATAGAAAGTAGATCTACATTAAAGCTACAAAAGTTGAACCTTAACTACATGCATTCCTCCCGTAGACTAAAGTGCTTCGTTACAGTTTATGGACTACGTCTAAGAGCTTAAGACATTGTTGACACCCTCTATTTGACACAGGATGTGGCGGGCTTATTTCCGGTACTGGCGGCGTGATTGCGTACCCAGGGGCACAAGGCGTCTTCTACAACCACAACATCAGCTGTGCTTGGCGGTTAATCGTCCCTCGGGGCAAGGTTATCAACATAACCTTCAACAACTTCCATCTGGAGGGAGGCAGAGGCGGTTGTAGGTTTGACTGGCTGCAGGTAAAGGATTATATAAAAATTATTTGCTTTCCATTGTATTATATATGATTTTTTTTATTTAAAACTAATATTGAAATTTGATCAAATCGAACCTCGCCTACCAAACGTAACCAGTGAGGAGTTCTCACCGTCCTTTAAGTGGTTGGGCACCATCCAAATCCTTATCTTGATCCCTTCCTAGTGCAATATAGTCTTAATGGCTTGGCGCTTTCTCCTGATAATTGTGTCTCTCAGATCCACGATGGGAGGGACAGCCAAGAACGGATGATCGGACGGTTCTGTGGCACCCGTCTCCCAGGCACTAATGGCACTATCGTCAGCACACACAACTACCTTTACCTGTGGTTTAGGAGCGATCACTCCCGGGCCGGCTATGGCTTCAACTTCACCTGGAACGCTACGGACCCAGGTGAAGTTGTCCTGTGGAAACTTGTGGGAATTATTTCATAAAATGTTGTCAATAACAATATGAATATTTCTTAAATCGCAAATTATCTTCATGGGGAAACTTGATACGTAAGGTGTAAGGTGCTTGTTTAGTGTTGTGACAAGTTTTAAATTGACGTTATTGCGTTGGATTCAGATAGGTTAGTTTGGTTTCGGTAAGTTTACAGTGTATTAGCTTAGGCTAGGGTGTGTGTTAGGCTCGGATGGGCTAGGTTACTTTGGGTTAGGATAAATTTGATTTGGATTTAAAACCTGTTAGACTAACCATCTTGTGTACGAAGTGAATTCTATCCCCCCCCCCTTTCTCCTACAGTATGCGGGGCGGACATCCGGGGGCAGGAGCATGGATCCATCAATTCTCCAGGCTACCCTGGGCGGTACCCTACCAACCGCGATTGCTATTGGACCATACAAGTTCGACCCGGCAATAGAATAGAGTTCCATTTCGCTACATTACAGATTGAACAACACAGCAACTGTAGCTATGACTTCCTGGAGGTGAGATGCTCCATCATGCGGCTTAATATTTTCAAAAAGATTTCGTTTTTGTCGTCTTCTGGTTGTTTATGTTCTAGAGTTTAAACGCTTTTACACGCAAATGATTTTGAGAATCCTTCATTACTTGATCTACGTCTTAAAAATTTCTAAAGAGATGCTCAACAGAGCACCTTTCTCAGCTTTTCCTGAAAGCTGCATAAATTCACAACTGATGACTCTACTACAGGTGCGCGACGGCCTGACTGAGTCTGACCATAGCCTGGGCAAGTACTGCTACACCCAGACGCCGGCGCCGCTCACTACATCGGGTGCCGAGGCCTTTATCCACTTCCACTCCGACCCCTCCCTCACTGACACCGGCTTCCATATCACCTTCAACTCTGAACCCGGTTAGTTTATTTACGTACTTTTTTTTGTATGCATACCCATCCCGTGGGCCATGGCGGAGAGGGTTACAGAGGCACATAATGGGTTCAGGAACTGAATACCATAGTTTAGTTAGCGAAAAAGGGGGCAATCTTGTGAAGATAGTTACGCAATTGTTAACAGGGTGTATTTTCCCTTTAACCACAGACGTTAATCCCCCTACCCCCTCCTCTCTTCTTTAAAGTTTTAATGGCCTACGGGGTAGCAAAGTTAGTGATTATAATTCTTGTACAGAGCGATTGGCAATATGAAATCTGAAGTGTTGGAGGATGTAATGTCTTCTGGTTTAAACATGCTCGGATCTATTTATAGCTAAAAAATCTGTATAATGAAATATACTGTTTAACCTTTAACCAGCATAAAATGTTCAAATTTGGCTTTTTACTATTGTATGTTAAAATTTAGCCGTTTACCGTAGATTAAAAATTAACTTTCACTATCGTATATCTTACAAGGTACCTGTACCATTACCATATAGTCCATCAGTGTAAGTATTCTCACTCTGTAGTCTATCAATATATATCAGACTGACACTTGTCAACAATACATCATAATTACAACCTTAGTTTCAGTTAATTCGTTATCACTGAACTATTAATTCCCCTTTCACCATCATACACTGTAAACCTATCCTATGTGATCCCTGTTTGGTGGGGTGACTGCTTATCAAACTCATTCCTGATCTACGGTAGGGATTCTTCACGCAACCACTTACGAAACCTCTACATCTTTCCTAAATAATGGCAGCTCTATTTAAATTTACTATATAGTTTATGAGCTCAAACACAACGAGAGGGTTATAAAAATAATAACCTTGGGTTGTGCAGTGTCGAAGCTTGTAAACCGTTTTATAAATGTTAACAAGACCACCATGATTGAGGAAGAGATGTACAGGTTTCGTAAATGCTTTTAGAGAATCCTGGTCCAAACACAATTTGTCCTCCATCGAGCAGGCTCGCCCGGATGCGGAGGCCTCCTGACCAACGATATGGGAGAGTTCTCAGCCCCAACGATCTCAGACGCCTACGAGCATAATCTCCATTGTGAGTGGGTCATAAGGGTGCCTCCTGGGGAGACCATTCGGCTCAACTTCAGCGACTTCCATCTGGAGAACCATCGCGCTTGTCGATGGGACTACTTGGCGGTGAGTCTTGGATATATCACCTGTGTGTGTACTGATAGATATCGGCTGTGTCTTAAAATTAATGTGGCGTTCTCGTAATACAAATATACAGACAAAATCTTAATAAAAACACAAATCCCCCCCCCCACACGCGCACGCACGTACGTACACACAAACGCGCGTGCCCCCCCCCCACACACACACACACACACAGGACGGATGAAGATAGACAGAGACTACAGGAAGATTTGGACAAGCTGGAGGAATGGCCTAGAAAATGGCTGCTAAAGTTCAACTCGGGAAAGTGTAAGGTAATGAAATTAGGCGAAGGTAGCAGGAGGCTGAACACAAGGTACCATCTGGGAGATGGACTCCTGCAAGAGTCGAGTAGAAAAAGATCTGGGGGTTGATATTACACCGAACCTGTCCCCAGAGGCCCACATCAAAATGATATCATCAGCGGCATATGCTAGACTGGCCAACATAAGAACTGTCTTTAGAAACTTGTGTAAGGAATCGTTCAGGACCCTGTATACCACTTATGTCAGACCAATCCTGGAATATGCAGCTCCAGCCTGGAGTCCATACCTAGTTAAACACAAGACAAAGTTAGAGAAGATTCAGCGGTATGCCACCAAGCTCGTACCGGAACCGAGAGGAATGAGCTACGAGGAAAGGCTAAAAGAGCTGAACCTCACGTCCCTGGAGAACAGAAGAGTAAGGGGAGACATGATAACCACTTGCAAAATTCTCAGGGGAATTGACAGGGTGGACAAAGACAAACTCTTCAGCACGGAACACGAATACGGGGACACAGGTGGGAACACAGTACCCAGATAAGCCACAGAGACGTTAGAAAGACTCCCTTTTTTTTCAGTGTCGGTAGTTAATAAATGGAATGCACTAGGCAGTGATGTGGTGGAGGTTGACCTCGTACAGTTTCAAATGTAGATATGATAGAGCCCAGTAGGCTCAGGAATCTGTACACCAGTAAATTGACAGTTGAGAGGCCGGACCAAAGAGCCGGATCTCAACCCCAGCAAGTACAATTAGGCGAGTACAATTAGATAAGCAAATATATATATATATATATATATATATATATATATATATATATAATATATATATATTATATATATAATATATAATATAATATATACACACACATACATAACACATCATCCACCCACGTGTACTTGTCCAGTATAGTCTCCTCGTCCGTCACCAGCCACTCTCCCTATTACCTGTAGATTCGAGACGGAGGTAGTGAAGACAGCCCAGAGATTAGCAGGTCTTGTGGAGTGAACATTCCGCTGCCTGTTCTCTCCACAGGCAACCAGCTCCACGTCACATTCCACTCCGACCATTCCATCAGCGGACGAGGCTTCACCGCTTCCTACCAAGTGGGTGAGTGAAACTATTGGTGGTTTGTGTTGGGCCTAATAAAGGTCATTACAAGTGCTTATATAATCCATGAGAAATTGTTAATAATTATTTACGTGGAATATACATGCGAAAAAAGGTCTCAAAAGTTGATGATTAAAAATAATAGTTTATGCTCCAAAAACCTAACATGAATAATTTTGTTAAATATTTGATTTATAACTATACAACAATTACCAAAGAATTGTCACATCTTGGTAATTATAGTTATATAATTAGAATACAATTATCACAATTTTGTCTAATGAAAAGAACATCAGTTGACGTGAGCCGTCGTCTATGGGTTAAGGCTATTAAGGTTAATATTTCCTTAATTATATTTAAGATTATATTAAGATTTATATTTCCACCATGGTAATTCGTATGTTCATATTTGTTCACTCGTTATTTTGCATAGTTTACATCACTACAGTTGTCCAGTCTCCCATCTCTAATAGTGTAATTTTAATTGTCTTGATACAGGCCTTCGAATATTTTTACATACAGATAGGCAAAGTCATGCAGAGAAAAAGACAGACGGACACTTTGAAAGACTAACGCACAAATAGGTAGACATATAGATAGAAATAGACCTAAAGACCGTCCCTCTACCAATGCCCTTTGTATTGTCATATAACTGCTGTATCCCGAGATATATATATAGGGTATATCCTGTCGTGTAACTAATATATCCTGGCCTGCCTTGTAGCCTGTGGCGGTGAGTATGGGGGCACGACAGGCTTGATCAGGTCACCATACCATCCCCGAGCCTATCCACACAATCGAGAGTGCATCTACGTCATCAATACCCCGCCTCGCACAGCCATCGTTCTCAACTTCACAGAGTTCGACATCGAAGGCCCGTCTTTCTTCAGCGGATGTGTGTATGACTACGTGGAGGTGAGAGACGGGAGGGGGGATGGCAATTGAATACTTTAGTGACTGGTGTTAAGAATTTGTTTCTCTAACAACGATATTCTCTTAAGAGATTATTGCATGTCTACTCGATGCTTGTGCTGCTATGTATGAAGGAAATGTTATCATATGATATTTTAGATTACGATGTCTATAAATTTTTTTCAACAAAAAATTATCACCAGCATCTATGAGTGCAGTTTTGCCTCGCCATCAACTCGTATCACTCCATAATCACTCTCAAAGCCATAGTGGTTGGGCCACTACCCTGTCTTCCCTACTCTCCATTCAACCTCCCAATCCTCCTTCATGTTTTCCTAAATCCTTTCCTTGCCTCTTCCATCCCCTGCTTGCCAGCTCTTTGGACATTTTCAAGTTTTCAAGAATAAAACGCAAAAACTTCAACCTAAAAGATAGGGAGGTAAATGTAACAGCACAATTAAATGTATTTATGTACTATGCACAGTCAGGAACACTTATTACATTCAGTATTAAAACGTACTGTCTATTCGGAGGAAGGGTTATGGCAAGAGTTCTCCTTCCAGGTGTACACACGCACACCTTCCGCAGTTACCCGTAATAATGCCAAAATTATTTTTTTTTGTTGCTAGATTCGTGACGGGAGCCGTGCATCCTCCCCTCTTCTAGGACGATACTGCGGACCTGCCTCGCACGCTCCAGAGCCCGTACGTTCTCAACTTAATCACATGTGGCTCAAGTTCCGCACAGACGCCAGCGTCACCAACATGGGCTTCGTCGCCAATTTCACCACCATTGATATCAGTGAGCTTTTATCCTCTTATCAACGTGTTCGGGTTCGTCGAGGTTTATGATAATGCAACTTAAGGTTTTTATTTTCCTGCGTTCTATTGTAAATCCTAATCTTCCTCCCTTTCAAGTGTTATAAAGTCTTAATTGCTTAGTGTTTTCTCCTGAGTAATTGCCTCGGCTGCTGACACCGCCGCCTTCCCTGCTCACCCAGGATGTGGAGAGGTGATGCGGGCGCTCTCAGGGGTCATCAACTCTCCCAACAGCCCAGAGAGGTATCCGGGCAGCACAGACTGCTACTGGGTGCTGGACCTGCCTGAAGGCTACGTCATACAGCTCACCTGGAGCTCCTTCAGCTTGAGTGGGTCCCGCTCCTGTAATAACGACTACGTAGAGGTCTTTGATAACTCCTCCATCCCCGGCATGGGCGGCCGGATGGGCCCGTACGTAGAGTCCTTTGAATTGATCTGTTTGTATCAGAGACTGTGTGTTTGTACGTTTTTTGATGTATTGACTCGCCTGTTAAATAACCTAACTCTACCCCGTTCTGGAGAGAAAATATTGATGTTCTCCTGTTCGCAATTCTGTTTGTGTTTTATCTAATGGCTTGTGACCTCCGACAGGCGTTACTGTGGGCAGCAGACGCCGCCCCTCAAGACCTCGTCTTCAAACCTGGTTACCATCCACTTCCACTCTGACTATGACGTCAACAACGACGGCTTCTCGCTTATCTATCATGGTCTAAACGCCTCCAGAAGTACGTGTCACTGAGAGAGAGAATATTTGTCTTAGTTTTATTTTTGTGTGGCCATGTGTCTGACCATATTCAAGAGTATGTGTGATAACTGATCTCTTCAATATAGTTAATCCATATTCTACACTCATAAACAATCTGGTTAAAATATAGTGTGATCCAATATACCATTCGGTAAAAAATCCCTTCACCTACTTAAAATGTTCTTCTTTACCAGTGTGTGGAGGCCACTACCACACTAACGCAGGGATGATCACCTCTCCAAATTACCCCTTCAACTACCCCAATAGCCGGAATTGCGAATGGACAATCACCGCGGCCATCAGGACCCAAATCCGACTCACCTTTGAAGAAGTGGAGATTGAAGGGGCTGAGAATTGCCGCTATGATGCCCTTGAGATACGGTAAGGAAGAAAAAAAATCACCTACACATGCAAGCACACACAAACTTAGTTTAACCTCACAAAAGCAAATAGAAAAAATGCCCCAAGAACGCATGATAGAATGATACACTATTTTTTAATAGCTCGAGTAATCTACATAGCTCAGTACAACAGAATATGAAAACCAAAATATTTACTTTTCCACTGAAATTAGCAGATTATCCCTCGCGATATTGCCAGATATCGCGAGGGATATGTTGGATATCTACAGCAACATGTAGGAAAGAAAGATGATAGGTACAAGAAATGTTGTAATCTCTTCGTTGGCACAAACAAAATAATTCCAAAATTTTGTCTCTGCCGCATTCCCTTCTTTCGCTTTCACCTCGTTCCTTCCATTCTCCTTATTCCTCATTTGCTCGACCTGCAGGAACGGCAGATACTCGACTTCACCGTTAATAAGGAAGATCTGCAGCAGGAATCAGACGGTGCCAGAGGTGATCTCCCATAGCCACCAGCTCTACCTCAAGTTCACCAGCGATTACAGTCGTACATTCAAAGGCTTCAAGCTTTTCTGGGACACTGCTTCTACAGGTTAGTTTCTTCATGTTCCCCGTATAAAAGATTCCTTTTTTTTTAAATTAAATAGTTCTCCAGGTTTGGTGCCTTTTTTTTTTTTTGTTATTTAGATACGTCTTGAACATTACCTGAAAGTGGCGAGGTGCTGTGTAGAGAAGTGGGTGGTTTCAAGATCTTATAGACTCGCTGCTTTAAGTTTATTTCTCCGTTGTCCATTGAAATAATAAGTGTTAATGGAAGTGCTAATTCCCTCATATACAACTCAACCCTTCCGTATAAAAGTTGAATATTTGCAACAATTCTTAACGATTATAACCAGAAGCCGAACAATTAAAGCAGTCTTCAAGTTTTTTTTGTTTTTTTTTCAAACAAATAAATTTTTTATTCTAGTTATACCTAAACTTAAAACTTTTAATATTTCATTTTACTCGATTAACACCAAAATTTACAAATGTTTTGTTTATCTTTCTCCCCTATAGGATGTGGTGGGACCCTGACTGCGGTATCTGGAGAGATCATCTCCCCTGGCTATCCTGAACCATACCATCACAATGCTGACTGCTACTGGACTATCCGGGTCGCCCAGGGCTCGGCTGTCAAACTCCACTTCGCAGACTTGGACATTGAACAGACGCCGAACTGTTATTTTGATTTTGTTGAGGTGGGGGCATTGGTGAAGACAGCACATTAGATGTGTTTTTTCTTGAGTCGTCCGTAGTGTGGTCGGTAGAGATGCAGGCTCGCACTTTTGGGGTCCCCCTGTTCGAGGCATTATTGTGCTTTTTGTCTATTCAAGGGGTATTTGTTTGCATTTTAAATGTACATTTCTGGTGTCTTAAGAAGACATTTTTACAAGCATACATTCGAAATGACCAAGGTTTTTTGGGGGGGCAGTTTTTGTACTATATTTTACAGATAAAATGAATAAATTTTGTAACAGGTTTAATTTATTGTCAACTGTTATGTCACATTCATATAAGCACAAATTCCTCATGGAAATATGGCTTCGAAATTGTAAGCTAATTATCCTTAGGCTGTCATTTATAATTAGGATCCCTCATTTACACAAAATCCCACATTTAATCTTAGGATCTCTCATTTAGGCTTAGAATTCCTCCTTTATCCACAGAGACCCTTATTTTTGTCTTGATTCCCTTATTTTCCTCTAAAACTTCTTATTTTTCTTTAGAATCCCCTATTCTTAGAATTCCTTATTTTTTGTTAGACTCCCATATTTTACCTTAACTTTGCCAGGTGCGTGACGGCAGCACCCCCCAGTCTCCCCTGTTGGGTCGCTACTGCTCTGGCAACCAAGTCTTCGTCAGCATCAACTCCTCCTCCAATGCCCTTTGGATCAGATTCCGCTCTGACTACAGTGAAAGCGGGAGAGGCTTCAAGGCCCAGTACATGACGGGTAAGGAACACTCTTGCATTTGTAAACGAAACCAAATTCCATTCACTATTAGCTATGTAGGATTTTAACTAATTGTACAGGGAGTGAATCGAGTTCTCCCGATTGTGCGTATCACTGACATGCTGCGAGAACAAGTTAATGAGCTGTTGTTATGAGGCAGGGAAGGGTTTTCGCCCTGTATTTATCATCTTCTTGGGTTTTGTGTTCTTCCTGGCCTCGTGTTCTCCATATCTAAGAGATCTTCCTTCCATTACCCTGAAGCTGGTGGCCCGCGATACTAAGACACGCCAACTACCCCTCTCTCCAACAGAATGCAACAGGGTCTTGCGTGGCCACCGGGGCGTGATCACCACCCCTGGCTATCCAGACCCCTACCCACACAACCGCAATTGTACGTGGACCATCCAGGCCCCAGCAGGCAACTCCATCAACGCCTCCTTCAGCGAGTTCGTGCTAGAGGATCACATGGACCCTGAGAGTGGTCAATGTTTCTACGACTTCGTGGAAGTTAGTGGCGATGAATGAAATGTTTTAGTATTTAACACACTAAATAAAAAATGTAAAAAAGACGCGCAAAAATGAAAATAAAGCAATTAACGACGTTTCTGTCCGTCCTTGACCATTAGAAAGTCGTGTACACGACTTTCTAATGGTCCAGGACGCACCGAAATGTAGTCACCTTTTAATTTTCAGATCTGTGGGTTGGGAGTCTTAATTTTCAGCCTTGTTATTGTGACTTAGTCAATAAGTTAGGAAAATTATTTGTTTGTGAATTACGTTTACTGTTATGGGGACAGAGTTATTTAATTTTTATTGATTTGTACTTTATATATATACACACACACACACACACACACATGTACCACAGAGATGAATTCCTTTCCCCGAGGCTCTAACGTTGTCCACCGACCGCCAGATCTATGAAGGTCAGCAGAGAACAGGAGTGAGGTCACAAATCGGTCACTACTGCCAGAACGTACCACCGCCCGTGGCCACTGCCAGCCAAATGAACGTCCTGGAAATTAACTTTGTCAGCGATTACAGCGTTGCGAACAACGGCTTCAGGCTGGAATGGATAGTCAACGGTGAGTGGCGGGGACTTGGCGTGAACAGCCACAGAACTGGTAGGAAGAGCAATCAGGAGGACATGGAATAATTAATAAATCGGGGAAACAAATTGGTAAAAATTTAAAAAATATTGCAAAACTTTTCAATTCTGGGTTTGTAATTGATACTGCAAATTATGGTAATTTGTAAGTTGAATTGTAGTGCATATGATCTTTTGGCACCTTCTGATGGGGATTTTTTCTTAGCATTTTGACATTCTCTGTTAATTTGTGAACGGGTTAGTTGTTAAATGTTTTAACTCTATGTTCAGAAGCTTCTCAAAGAGCACACTTGGTATATTGTCAATTGTTTTATATTATCAATTTAAGCATTTCGGAATTTTTTTATAGGGGGAAGACATGACAAAAACTCTAAAAGATATATATTTATTTATTTGGGATCTTTCACATAGGTTGCGGCGGTGAAATGACAAGACCTTCGGGTAGTTTTACGAGTCCAAACTATCCGAACGCGTATCCCATCAATACGGACTGCGAGTGGTTCATCCGAACAGCTCCAGGCACCAAGATTCAGATAACCATCCACGAGTTCGATCTGGAAAGCTCGGGCACCTGCTACTTCGATGTGTTGCAGGTAGGTTACAGGATGAGACAGTGTAATTGAGTCCCATTTTTTGCCCCTTTTAACCGACTTCCATATCATAAATAGTAATATCATTTCAGTTAAAGAGCAGCACAATTTCAAACTTTAATGTCATGTCAGTTTTCAGACATTTATCCAATGGTTGCACCTTAACAAAAAGTCCACTAGGGAATCACCATACCCCGTGCTACTTTGAAACTTTTCTTCAGAGTTGCTGAATCTAAAACATAACGGGAGCACCTAAACCTTTCTTTCGTGTACCACCAGCTTTTCGAATCGATTAAGAGTCTCTTCCCACTTGGTAAATTTTTCAGGTGTACGGAGGCAAGGACACCACCTCGCCCGTGTTGACAACTGTCTGTCATGAGCAGTCAAGGCCCACCACCGTCACTACCCAGGGCAACACCGCCCTCTTGACCTTCCACAGCGACCAGTCCGTCAGAGGCAAGGGCTTCCGCGCCTCCTATGTCACCCTTCTTGATGGTCAGTGCCGCCTGCGTCGTGCTCTTGTTGGCAAAAATTCATTCGTTAGTTGTAAACTTGATGAACAGTCTCACTGTGATGCTTACCTCGAGAGCTTTACCCACTGTGATGCTTAACTCGTTGCCTAGTCATAACACGACTCTCTTCCCACTCCCCAGGGTGTGGAGGGCTGTTCACAGCAGTACAAGGCAGTATTCACTCTCCCAAGTATCCGGAGCTGTACGACGTGCACTCGGACTGCGAGTGGACCATCCGGGTCGACCCGCTTCACGTAGTCGAGCTCAACTTCACGGACTTCGACATAGAGCCCAGCGCTAACTGCACTTTTGATTACTTAACGGTGAGAACTTGAGTGCACTTGTTTATTTAATTTGTAATAGAGGTTCGAGTTTAATTCCCTGTTGATCAGGGTTTACGAAATAAAAGCTATTATACAAGTATCAATCATTATATATATTTATATATTATATCTCCTAAATGCTACTAAATGCTATCTCCTAAATGAAGTGAGGCAGAAACATTGCATTTTCCTCTCGTGGGTTCTGTTTACCCATGGTTGGGCCCCCCTCCCCCTTGTTGCATCTTGCACTCATTGACGGCAGTGTTGCGCCATGTTGCAGGTGTATGATGGAGAAGGCGAGGAGGCGCCCCAGTTGATGCAACATTGCGGGAGCACCCTGCCCAACCCCACTCTGGTGCGGTCCTCGACGAACGTTATGACTATCAGGTTCAAAGCCGATGGGTCTTCCAGCGGGAGGGGATTCAAGGCTGACTACTTCGCGGTATGGGGTCTTGTGTAGTCTTTGTTTACTTCTATGTGATTCCCATGTATGTGTGTGTGTGTGTGTGTGTGTGTGTGTCTTTGGTCATACACATGCATTAACGTTTTGAAGTTGATCATACATGCACTAATATACCTGGCATTAGAGTCCTGGCATGTAGAGCCAGGCAGTGATGGTTTATACATAAATGTGTATATTCAGTCGTATATACACCAGTTTTCCAATTGTGCTGCCTGATACATACACACATGCATACAAACTTTCACGTTTGCTTAAAGTAAATGTTACATTTTTTATCCATAATGTTACCGTGTTTTGTGGAAAAACTTAAAAAAAATCCCCAAATAGGTCAATATAATCTGATATTAAATACAGAATAAGCACATGTTAAAATATAAAAAATAGATATACCCCTTTCGACCTTCTCAGGCCTTATCAAGAGCAAGAATGACTTGTTCTTGCTATTGACAAAGGCCTGAGAGGGGGGTCAAAAACGCTATATCAATATTTTGTTTTGTTTTACTATGAACAATACATATATAAATATATATATATATATAATGTAACGGGTACTGACTATCCTCCATCAGCAAGGCGTAAAACTAATTTTTTTTTTTCGACATGTGTTTAATTTTTTCCGTAACCCCCACACAAAATGTGCTTCCTCCTGGCCTAGGGCTGCGGTGCATCGGTGGAAGTGGGCGTGGAGGAACTTGGAGAGCTGGTGTCGCCTCACTACCCAAGCTTGTACACCTTTGCCCTCAACTGTTCCTGGCATCTGCACGCTCCTGCAGGTCTGTCACCTCATTTTAATATTTATTCGCGATCTATAACGTTATCGGGGCCCTAGAAATACGTCTCCTGGTTATATACTCTTGATAGCACCGACGAGCTTCAGTGATATGTCTATTTAGTCATGGATATAGAAGGATGGTTATTATCGTTATTGAGAGGAATCACATAATCATTAGCAAGAAGTGATAATTGGTAATGTGGGTGAGGGGGATTATAGCTTGCCATTATTTCGGGACTCAACGTCCCCGCTACCCGGTCCCCGACCTGCAGGCCTGTCAGCGGGGGGTCGGGTAATCTGTCAACGTAGCTTCTGTTATAGTTTCCCCCTCGTCGACAGGTTACCGCTTGATGCTCCATGTAGTGCATCTGGACATGCATACCCGCGCTCCCTCTAATGACAACTGCACCTTCCAGTATTTGGCGGTAAGTTTTTTTTTTTTCTCTCTCTCTCTCTCTCTCTCTCTCTCTCTCTCTCTCTCTCTCTCCTTCCATAGTTCATAGAAAACGGTACCCATCTAGTTATTCACCGGAACACGACCCTCAAATAGGTTTACAATAGTCTCTCCCTCTCACACACACCCAATATTAGCCATTTTCTTCTATTGAAGTGCATGACTGCTGAAGATAACACTGAAAACGCGCTCTAAAATCCTGGAATATATATATATATATATGTTTTTGGTTCCTCTGTGTTGTAGATACTCGACGGAGGTCAACTAGACTCGCCGGAAAGAGGCCGATACTGTGGGAACAGAGCTCCGAGGTCCATAGTGTCCTCCTCAGAGTACATGACCGTGACGCTAATCAATGAATACGCCTACGTCAGCTTCAGGTACACTGGCACTGCGAGGGCTTCTCTGTCTAATGGAAAAAAATGTCTGATTCGGAGATTCGAGCTGCCTCACAGCCCCTGGTAGATTTTTCTCATTCATATGTATCACGTTAGGGGGAATTCTCTGTATTGCTTGTCTAACTTGCATATATTATAGTGGTTATCGACTGGTTATAGATTATATAGGTTATAGACTGGTTGTAGTGGTTATAAGCTTTTTTCTAACTGTTTAGTGACAATGAGTGAAACTTTAATTTTACATTTTTAATTCTTTCAACGTGAATATATGTCTGTGTTTATAAAAGCCTAAAAAAGGACTATGTGCTGGCCGAGAGGTCTAGACATTGTCTATGTAACCATAAAAATAATCGGCAAAAGTCTTGCATTTGTCAATATTTTAATTATAAAATATTTAACCAGAAGGTACGAAGTTTTACCAACGTCAGAAATATTTTAATTTTAGCATCTGAGTCAAGGTGTATTGTGCTACCTTGATAATGGTCCAGGATGGTCCGAAACGTCGTCACTATATTTTCAGATGTGTGGTTGGATGTCTTTAAGTATATGGCACATGTTTTGCATCGTGCTACACGTGACGTAGTACTTGTGTTTCGGAACTAGATTTCTGACAAACGCGCATTGTATTACCCTAATTAGCTTGGCCTAGCCTAACTCAGCCTAACCCAACCCTTCTTATTCCAGGGCTGTATACAGTGTACTGACCTCGAGATGTGGGGGAGACCTTACCTCCATGAGTGGGGAGGTGGCCAGCCCCAACTATCCTGAGCCCTATCCAGATAACACAGACTGTGAATGGTCCATCTCTGCTGGATCAGGTATGCTACTGGTTACTGAACTAGCTGCCCCAATAATTACTATACCTAGTTCTTCACAAATTGTTGGATCCAGCTGTCATACCTAGTCACAGCACTAAACATTTCACTAATTACTGGACTAAGTGTCACTACAAAACTAATTTTTGCATAATGCACTAGACCAGGTGCGTTATTATACGTTACTGGAACACACACATTACTAGTTATTCAATAACGTATGCCATTACTCATTGGGTAATTTTCTTCACTAATTGCTGGGTACCGAGTAATTACTAGAGTAACTGGTTCTGTAACTAGTGAACTACGCATTCCACTGGAGTAACTGATTCGGTAACTATTGTGCTCAACACTCCACTGTAGCAACTGGTTCAGTAACGAGTGGCCCAAGCACTCCACTACTTGGTTGAATAAATTCGTCAAAGCACTAGTTACAGAGGTAAGTACGTCATTTGTTACTAGGCCAGCTAGCAAAGTTACCTGCCACTATACCACGCCTGCCACTATTGAACCAGTAATGACTAATTATTGGGTAACAGGCCCGCCCTATTACCTCTAGCTGCCCTATTAGTTATCGAGACAGGTAAACTGTAGAGTATACTTTATAATTGTTACTACTTGTAACAAAGTTGTTGCATCTTGTTATAAAACTTTTTATGACGTGTTAGAAAGTTATTACTTGTTTGAAGGTTGTAGCAACGTTGTAGTTTCGTCGTGTGTTTAACGTGAACTCTACTCATAACTTCCGGGGAAACTTACTTAAATTTCTCTCCTTCCCCCAACACAGGAAACCGGGTGGAGCTCAACTTCATTGAGTTTGACATTGAAGAATCCGCCGGCTGCAACTTGGACTACGTCGAGGTGCACGAGAGAACTGCAGCCGGCCCCCTGCTACTCCACAACTGTTCCTCGTCCAACTCCCAGATCCCAGCCGCGGTCATCGCCAGGGACGCCCTATGGATCAAATTCCATTCTGATGAGTCTGGGGTCGGAGCGCGAGGCTTCTTAGCGGATTACAGTCTTTGTAAGTGTAACAGAAAACAGTGTTCGGAGGAGGGGGAACTTGAGGAATAATATGAGGGGGCACCAGCATTGGGAGGGATAGTGGACAGAGGAAGAAACGGGTAACAGATAGACATAGAGGGAAAACGGACAGAAAAATAAAACTGACAGATACAGACATAGAGGAGAACAACCAGATAGACAAAGGGGGGATGGACGAACAGAGATAGAGGGGAACAGCAGGCTGCAACCTGTCCTCTTAAAAATAACTTCGCTTTTGGCCGTTTGCCCGTATGGTCGAAAGTGGACGTAATTTGAAAATTAAAATGAGTTTTCTTTTTCAACAACAGTCAAGGGTAGTCTGATAGGTTAGGTGGGCAGGAAATTCTCATAAAGTTTCTATACGTTATAAGAAACGTTAGTTGAAAGTTAACTCTCCTAACCTTTCAGAGTAAGCTGGACGACTCAAACAGAAAACGGGACAGTACGTCACTTTCGTGAGCCGATTTCATTTCAAATTACGTCCACTTTTGGCCATAGCGCGTATACGAGCCAAAAACGACGTTATTTTTTAAGAGGATGGGTTGGCCTGAGAGGATGAGAGGACAGTCAGAGAAAATGCATGAAGGGATATTCAATCGGGCAGACTAATATAAATAGCAAAATACACCAAATAATAAGAAAATTGTAAAATGACAAATTATTTTACAACTATTTACTGACATTATTTAGTTAATGCACAAAAAATCTTTACTGTATAATAACTTTTTGATATTAAAGTCTTTATAAAAATACACTTTGAGCAGATGTAAATTTACATAAGAATGTAGAAATTATAAGACGTTTTCAGTATATTAAGCCAAAAACTTTTTATTTTCCTTACTAGATAAAATACTGTATTACATATCACAAAGCATTAAATATATACCACTCACTGTTACAGTGCATGGGAGTAACCTCTATGGGACGAGCGGGGAAGTGGTGTCTCCACTCTACCCACACACCTACATGGGCCGCGATGACATCACTTGGACCATCACAGTTCCACGATACAAATTCGTCTCCATCACCCTCCTTGACATGGCAATAGAGGGCAGCCCTGTTGTGGACGAGTGCTTCGCCTCTCTAGTGGTTGGTGGTAGTTGATGCTTGTGAGGGTGGTGGTTAGTGATTGTAGTGGTTATTGCTTGTCTGGAAGTGATTGTGATGGTTATTGAGCGATTCGTGGCGATTGTGCTATTGTCCAGGTGTGACTTAGTGTTTCGTAATTGTAATAGTAATTTCCTGTGTGATGATTACTGGAGTGTGCATGCTTTAATGACGTACCTCCTAAGTTTTCTTATTATTTATGATTATAATTATCTTTATTATTGGTGTAATAACCATTAATTTTGTCATATTGTTATAATAATTATTATTACTGGTCAGGAAAACATGGTTTCAGAATTAGTGTTAGAAGTGCTGTGATAATTTGATGTTACTACAGAAAAATTGAATAAAGCAGAAAGTACATTTGTATAGCCTTATTGTTTCACTGTAATAGTTATATAAATTTATCTTCATTGTGATATAATTCAACAATAAAATGATAAATTAATTTTGCAGTGATAGTCACTGATTAAGCTCTTCAATGATAAGGTAAAACGGTAAACGCATGATAAGGTAACACACCATAACAATGAATCAATGACACCGTGATACACAACAGTAATTGCACAGTACACCTGGCGTTAACCGAAACTCCACGTTTAGGTTAACTCCATAACTCCCATCCCACCACCTCCACAACTCTGTCCTTGTCAGATTTACGACGGACGCTCGGTTAGAGGAGGCAGGTTACTTGGAACGTTCTGTGGATACCAGGTGCCGTCTGCTCCCATAGTATCCACCAGGCGGACGGTGGCAGTCCGCCTGAACGCCCAGCATCGTCACGAGGGCTCCAAGTTCCGTTTCCGCTACGAGGCTGTCGACACCAGAGGCACCCCAGGCCAGACTCGGCTAGGTGCGATTCTTATGTTTCATAAATTCTAAAATATATATTTCAATAGAGGGTTTTGCGTAACCTAACCGTAACCTTGCCTTACTTTCGTTGGCAAAACTAGACCTATAGTCTGTTATAATCACAGGATCTCGACATCTTAAATTCAGTGACGTTCTCGTGCACGTTCCCATGAAATCAAATGAATGGCTGAGTGTGTTTTGGCATTTTCATGTGTGCATTTGTTTTTAATTTCTTTGGGATCGTCCACTGTGCAACAGTCTGTATAAAGTTTAGTACGTGAATGCCTAATCTCTATTATTATTATTATTATTTTTATTATCATTTGGGAATGTCTAATGCATGTGCGTTTTAAAGATTGGTATATATTATTACTAATGCTGGCTTTTGATAAATTAATTTTATTATTGTGCTGCCTCTTGTTTCTTTCAGTTTTGATTCGATTTAGTCAGCTGTATTTTGTATAGTTTGAATATTGTGTGTGTATATGAAAATGATTACCTGCTTTATCATTAATATTGTGGTGGAGAGACGCCTGTCGAAATAAAACTGGCACACAAGCGCGAACTCTTGTATAAAAGTTACTTCGCTTACTTTATATAATATAATATTTGGCATCACAAACTTTACTCAAATTACTCCTCTTGCTTACTCTATAAACTTTTCTACAGGAGACGAGAGCAACAACTGCAGCTTCGTGATGACTCTGAACGAGACATATAACGTATTCCATAACCCTGGCTACCCAGGCTACACAAACAACCTCAACTGTGAGTGGATCATCCAGGCGCTGCCTCACAAGAGGATCCTGATGGACATCTTTGTCGAGCTAGAGGAGTCTGCGTCCTGCTATTACGATCGACTTGAGGTCTACGACGGTACTGTATTCTGCGGAATGTCACCGCTGCTACTTGCCCTGCTGAATGCTATCGTATGTTGGTTCACTGCTGAATGCTGTCCATATGTTGGTTCTCTGCTGATTATCATTGTGTGGTGATTCCATAGGATGACAGCCATATCTTACCTGCCACTGTTTCCATCGAAGCTTAGAAGCAGAGTATTGTTACTAATCTTGCTTGTGCGTGTCACTGTGTATGCGTTGGTAAGTTGACTGCGTGTGTGGCACGTTGAGTGCGTGAGCGGTAAGCTGAGTATATATTACACTGTATGTGGGCGAGAAATAGTGCGTGTCGGCTACTCATGTTGATTGAACAGATGATATGATCCTTAATAAATGGATGCTGTTGATTGTCTGATCAGCTGATGTTGATTCCCTGATCAGCTGATGTTGTTGTTTCTCTGATCTGCTGATATCTCGACCCCCTCTGGCAGGTTTGGAAGGGACGACCAACTGGAACCTGACCCACACCTTGTGTCGTCGTGATCAGTCTCCTGCACATGTCGCCTCCTCCGGGAGATTCCTCCGGATGCGCTTCATTACAGACTCCAGCATCACCCGACAAGGGTTCACGTCTTATGTAGTTGCAGGTGAGCAGTCCTGACGTTGGGAAAAGTTCTGCGTCCCCAACAGAGGCGCAACGAAATACAAATGTGTTATTGCTTTATTACAACGTTTTATCGACGTAGAAAACGTTATCGCAACGTGTTTACATTGTTTGCTGGGGTTCACGTGTGTTTATATATATATATATATATATATATATATATATATATATATATATATATATATATATATATATATATATATATATATATATATATATATATATATATATATATATAATATATATATATATATATATATATATATATATATATATATATATATATATATATATATATATATATATATATATATATATATATATATATATATATATATATATATATATATATATATATATATATATATATATATATATATATATATATATATATATATATATATATATATAATATATATATATATTTCCTTGCGACTCTGTTTTACTTTCTGATATGGCAGAACATGTGAATATTCGTGACCCCGTGACGCAAAATATATGAGCATTCTTGTCATGTGACGCAGAATACTCTATTCATATTCTTGTGACATAAAACACACACAAACAACTTGGAGGGCCACGCGGTGGAGTAGATAGTACCTGGGGGTCGTAGTGCTAATGGTCCGGGTTCGATTCCCGGCCGAGGCAGAAACAAATGAGCAGAGTTTCTTTCACTGCATGTCCATGTTCACCTAGCAGAAAATAGGTACCTGGGAGTTATACAGTTGCTACGGGCTGCATCCTGTTTGTGTTACTTAACCCAAGAAATCCCTATATTATTTTTTTTTTTTTTTTTTTTTTTATTCTTGATACTTAGGCTGCCCCAAGTATCATTGATTGTTTCCCCTTGTATTTGTTACTTTGCATTTCTGCTTGAGAGTGTACGTGTGTGTGTGTGTTAGAGAAAAATATATGTAGCAGATATTAATAGAAGAAAACTAGGTCAGTACGTTAGACAACCGACGGTCAGAAAGGCGGGGTCCAAGAGCTATAACAGCTCGATCATGCAGGCACAAATAGTAAATACACCTACACACGTACACTCTTAAGCATCAAACAATCAATCATACTTATGGCAGCCTTTACGTTCTTGGCATCCTTCCCAAGAAATCCCTCACCCTCCCCCCCTCTTTAAGTACCACAAGACAACCATTGTCTTATCAATGTTGAAACTGGTTCATTTTTTCTTCCAGTCTGCGGCGGATACGTTGGCGGAGCTGAAGGCGTCATCGCAACAACCAACTACCCGGAAAATTACCCCGCGGATAGGAATTGCCTCTGGATCATCAAAGTTGGTGTGGGGAGAACTATCCGCTTGGAATTTGAAGATTTCAGGGTTGCAAACACAACTCCAACGTGTGGTGGTGCCTACCTCTCTGTGAGTTGATTTTGTTCATGTGTGGGTGTGAGTCTGTGTGGGGGGGGGGGAGGGGATGTTTGTGGGGTGGGGGTAGGTGTAAACAATCCCTCTCACAATCACTATGCACCAAAACAATAATCAATATTCACTCAAAGAATAGCACCTTCGACAATCACTATACATCCTAAAAAAGTAACTACAGCAATCATTGTCCCCCTCCCCCAAACATCAGTTCCAATGCAAACACCCATTTACCTGGACTTACCTGGAAGAAATTCGAACCGCGAACCCAATGCGTGTTAAAGTTTTAGTGCGTGTGCACTAAAACAAGTGAGTGTTTTAACACCTGCATTAGACTGCCTTAACCATAAACACCTGCAACAGTTAATCTCCAACCCCCAACACCCCCTTCATCAGTCACTCTTTGAACCACCAGGGGCCAGATTCGCGACGCAGTTACGCAAGACCGTGTACATCTTTTCTCAATATTTAGCGACTTTGTTTACAATTATTAAACAGTTAATGAGCTCCGAAGCACCAGGAGGCTGTTTATAACAATAACAGTCGATTGGTAAGTTTTCATGCTTGTAAACTGTTTAATAAATGTAACCAAAGCCGTCAAAGATTGAGAAAAGATGTACACGTTCGTAAGTACTTGCGTAACTGCTTCGTGAATCTTGCCCCTGAGCATTATCGCCTTCACCAATCACTTCATAATCCGTAAACGTAACCTTCTCCGACAGATCCGCAATGGAGCACATTCAACTTCGCCGTTCGTTGGAGCGGGAAAGTTCTGTGGTCGTAGCATCCCTCAAGGTCTTGAGAGTTCCTCAAACGTTCTAAGACTCAACTTCGTCGTCTCGGGCATAATTAATACTGACAAGGTAAGGAGTGTTCCACTCACTTCAGTGGCTTTCATGAGTTCTTATATGAAGCAGAATGATGAATGTACAAGATTTTCTTCGATATATCACCCCTCCCCATTTGATCTTTATATAATGGTATAGTACCGTTGGCTTCGTTATTGTCTCGCAATCAGGGATTGCGAGATGGATCCAGACGTGATCTGGACGATGGATCCACGCGAGATCCAGACGTGGATCTCGCCGGGCAATTGAACCTGGGGTTCGATTGCCGGGCGAGACATAAATGTCTGGGCAAGTTTCCATTCACCCAATGGCTCTGTAATGAAAATGGTCAATATAAAGTGTCCTCTCCTGACCTACCAGAGGACCCAAAACAGAAAACAGGGCAGCACGTCACTTTCGCCAGCCGATTGTCATTTTCTAGTACCATTTTTGCCTTTGGGTATCGCATTACGATCGAAATGCAACGTTCCTCGTAAGCCGACAGGTTGATCCATCACTGGAATACAACCGACTCGGGTTATCACACACGACACGGGTTATCACACACGACTCGGGTTATCACACACGACTCGGGTTATCACACACGACACGGGTTATCACACACGACTCGGGTTATCACACACGACTCGGGTTATCACACACGACTCGGGTTATCACACACGACACGGGTTATCACACACGACACGGGTTATCACACACGACACGGGTTATCACACACGCACCAGAGTTTGAGATGATGCCTTCCACCTTGACTCTTGCAGGGTTTCAAGCTGCGGTACTACGAGCAGGCCAGCACGTGTGGGGGCAACCACCGCCTCGACGTCGACATTCCCAAGCAGACCATCCAGTCGCCCAACTTCCCCAACCCTCCGAACCACAACACAGAGTGCAGCTGGACCATCCTGGCTCCCCCTGAGAAGGCCATCTCCCTGCACTTTGTCGACCCCTTCGACATCACCTCTATTTAGTAAGACATGAGTAGAGATCTTTTTCTGTACAGAGCGATGCTTCACCCAAGGAAGTGACTATTAACTGTATATATAGTGGTAGTGTCAAGCCATTTTAAAACCAACCTAACCATAAACAGCCTTAACAAGCCTAACCTTTATTAAATCTTGTTCATTCTAACCAAACATTACCCAAGCAAACCGTAAAACAATTTATATCCATAAATGGAAATATCTAGTTTTTTTCAGATATAGATAAAGGAGAAGGGTAGAGAGAGAGAGGGAGGTTGTGATTAGGAAGAGACGGGCAAATGTAGGTAGATAGAAAAAACACACGAACAGAAAGAGACATATCTGAGGTTCCCGAATCGACCCGGCCACCGGCGGGTATCCCACCGCCTATAGTATCCCATAAAAGGGAAAAAAAAAGTTTTGACTCCCACTTCAAAGTCGGAATGTTTCATGTTAACAATATTGTATGGACAGGCATTTTTATTTTGTATCAACATGTAAAGCTTTTTTTTTATTATTATTATTATTATACTGGCTTAGATTAGCGTCTCGTAATCCGGCTTGACTAATCTAGCATAACCAGTCGACCATGACTACACTAGCATACCTTCCATTAGCTCAACTTGGCTTAGATTAGCTTCCATTAGTTTAATCTTTACGTTATCAACATATAGTAACCAATTATTCAACAGGAAGTAATGTAGATGAAGACCAATAAAATAATATTGCAGTAAAGAGCAATTATCAATTAACAAAGATTAACTAGGAATTCAAAAAATTAAAAAAATGCTAAATTAAATATAAATATCTTATTATATTTAAAATATTTACTTCTTACTGCACGGAAGTAAAATGTCATATCGTCATTAAAGTTCAAATATGTTTATTGAGATAAGCAAGAAATACATCTCAAAGGGATAGAGTAGCTTAGGCTATTTCTACCCCCCTTATTATTATATTATTATTATAAACTTATTATATAAACTCATCGTCATTAATGTTGTTCTGACAGCGATAACTGCGACCAGGCCTTCGTTGAGGTGCGGGACGGCGGGACCCTCATCTCCCCACTCCTGGGGAAGTTCTGTGGCTCTCACTCGCCCGATACCCAGCACACGACCAGCAACGCCATCTACATCCGTTACTACAACAACGTCAGCGAGCCTCACTCTGGTTTCAAGGCCGAGGCAACGATAGGTAAAGTTTGATCTTCAGGTCATAACACTATTGCTATGATCAACCAACAGGTACACATTAGTCTTGAACATAGTCTAGGATTAATGGAAACTCTCGTTGTATATATAGAGGTACAAGGCACCTCCATGTATATCTTGCTAGACAGGAAGGTTCTAAACGTGGTCAAGGGGTTTTGTAAGTTCAGAAAAGAGGGTTGTGGGTTCCAGCCATGAGAGAAGATCTCTGGGATGGGATCCAGCCACCAAGGAGAGCTCTGGGAAGGGTTTGTAAGTCTTATGATACATTTAATGATTGTTATGTTATGTATCGTTCGTTAGCATTATGTCACTGATATGATTGACGATATATGGAATTATTAAATGTGTAATATTTTATCATAAGAACATATGAATCAAGGAAGCTGCAGAAGACCTATTGGTCCATACGAGGCAGCTTCTATTTATATCCACCCAATTATACCCTACAATTGTTATTATTATTGCATGTTTGTACAGTCTTCGATGATTAATTAAACACAAGATAGAAAAGGTAGCCTCAATAGCACAGCTTGGATTTTGTTTCATTTTAAAGTGACACTGTAAACTCTCTCATTGTGACTAGAAGATTCACTTTAAAGAATATAGTTCTTGAAATTGGAATGAAGACCTCAAGGTACACAAATAGGTTTTGGTCCTTCGCACCAGATCGTTGCGGTGGAACGTATAATGCCTGGGAGGACGGAATCATCAGCTCGCCTGGGTTTCCTACACCCTACAGTGCTGATCTCAACTGTACATACAAGGTGGTGGCACCATATGGACATTCTGTTAACCTACAATTCCTCGATGTCGACATCTTCAGCTTGTCACAGAACTGTACCGGCCCCTGGGGACGCCTTCAGATACGGGAGAAAAATGCTACAGGTGAGACATAATAATTTGTGGGTTCTTCAATATGTTAGTGCATGTAGAAGGTATTTGAGTATTTGGCTCTCGATACATCCTTGCAAAAGCATGTATTTGCATGATTGTTCCTATGGGTCAAGTTTAAAGAATGAAGAACAATTTTTATTTATATTACTTCTAAGCTGTATCACTTATGAACCCATCCCTGCCCTTGTGTGGCAGTGCACAATAGAAAGTTGTTTTCACATATCCATACATTAAAACATTGATTGTAACCATGATATATATGTGCTCCAGCCTACAGTTTAGACCTATTGTCTTATGTATGACCCTCTGTCCTGCGTGACAGTGAATACTAGCATTATCCTCAATTTAATAAGACTATCAAAATCCTCAGATTAGGCAAAATTGTAATTAATTTTGTCAATACATTTGTTAATAATAATAATAATGGGTCAAGTTTCAGCTCCTGGCTACTTCTTTAAAGATATTAACTGCATTCAATGGTCACCTTGATTTGCTTGCTACGATAAGCTCAGTTCCTAGCCCCACCATCTAAACATTTTTAGTGCATTGCACAGTCATTTTTACATTTTTATTTTAACTTATTCAATTAACATTTAATTTTTTATTTAAGCATTCTAATTATTGACACCTCTTACACTAAAAAAATTAGTTTATTTTTACATGTGGCTCATTTCTGTACATAATTTGCCTTCAAGCCATGTGTGTGTGTGTGTTTAATATTTGTATCTGCAGAATCGAGCTGTCGGCTCTTGAACCCCAAGACCCGTGTGTGTGTGTAAATGTGCTATTCGCAAACTATGTGATGCTTCTTCGATTTTTTCACTTTTACTCTTTTCTTGATATTCCCACAATTCAGCAGCAAACATCGAAGAAGAAAACAAACTAATCTTTAACAAATTTGAAGTTATTTATATTGTTCAAATTTTTCCCTTCTAGGGGGGGGGAAAAGGGGGGTTAAGACTGGCAAAATCTCTGAAATTAAATAAAGTTGGTTTAACAATATAACTTTCGTCCACACAGGTGATGAGTTAGGGACGCTATGCAGCTCTGGAGAAGAGGTTGCCCCCATCAACACCTTCAGTAACATCGCCTACATCAGCTTCGTTGGGGGGCCCAATCCCGCTAACCGCAAGGGCTTCAGGATTATGTATAACAAGAGCTTAGACGGTAATTTGCATAGGCCTGTCTAGCTCACATTTTTCATATATATATAATCGCTACAATTCACTGTTATTACTTCCTTCACCGTCAATATCACTATTTAAATATTAAGTCAACAAGAACAAACTCCACCTCCTTCCCCTTCCAAACCCTTCCTAGCGTTTCCCATCAATTAAATTGATTCTTCCCCCATTTTCTCCACTGTACAGAGTGTGGAGGCGAGGTGGCAGGACCTGAAGGAGAGATCAGGTCCCCTGGCTACCCTCACGGCTACAGCAGGGGCAGGACTTGTGAATGGGTCATCACAGTGCCCCGAGGAAAGAGGGTACGACTGGATTTTATTGACCTTGATCTCGGCAGCCTTTTAAGTCCCCCTGAAGTTCCGCACGCCAGATTCCGATACTGCGCAGATTACATTATGGTGATTACGGGCGTTCGTTCTGCTGGTTGGTTAAGGGGTCGAGGCTGGCATTGTGTTATATGAGTTCAGGGTTACATATATGGGCCAGTATATGTTGTGTTATATATATTGGATATGTGATTTTATCTCTGACTTCTAACTATCATCATCTCTCTCTCTCTCTCTCTCTCTCTCTCTCTCTCTCTCTCTCTCTCTCTCTCTCTCTCTCTCTTTTCCTCTATCTGAAAATGGCTATGTATTAAGGTCACTATTTCAGCATTCTTTTTCCGACATGTAACTGAACGCGAGTTCTCACAGATCCAGAATGGACCGCTGGATACGTCTCCCCTCCTGACCAATCCGATCTGCACCACACCTATTGTAAGTACCTCCTTTTCTTTGCAATTCTTTACCAACAGGTTCTTTCAGTTGTTAGTAATGCTTTTGTAGAATAAAAATAGAATAAAGTTGAATACAGTTTTTATTCTACGGGCTTAATGCAGTTTTTTAAAGAATGATTAGGAATCAAATCTCCAGTTTTGTGAAAACAGAGAACTTCATATTCCAAATCAATATGGATTTAGAGCAGGATCATCCTGTTTTTTCGCATTCGACCGCTATGACAAAATCACTGAAGCATAGAGAGGAAAAGGTATATTCTCATACTGTATGCTTTGGCTTTGCAGGGGTATTTAATGTTACCATATAGTGATAGCCCATACTATAAGATCACTAGGCATTATATGTAAATTAGGGCGATGGATATTCATTTTCCCGTCAATCAGAATGCAAAGAATAAGTCAAATAAAATATAGTCTAAATTTAAGCATGGTGAAAAGTAGTTCTGTACCTCTGGGCACAGTCCTTGCGCCTCTGTTTTGTATCATTTTTAAATCTGAAATACGTCACAACTTTGTGTATCCTTTACAGACGATACAAAAATCGGCATCAATATTGCGTTAGTAAAAGACATTGAAAAACTACAAACTGATATCGGCAGGTCTTCTATTTAGCAACGGAGATAAGCATGATGTTTAATGGTGATAAATTCCAGATACAAAATATGATAAACATTATGAAAAAAGAAATAGTGTGCAAGACACAATCAGATCGACTAACAGAAGAAAAACAATGTGAAAGAACTAAGAATAATGATGTCAGACGACTTAACGTTCAGTGAGCTTAACAGAGCAAATATAGCGCCAGCTAGGAAAATGACAAGATGGATTATGAAAACCCTCAAATCTCGGAATTTCATCAAAATTCGTCTTCTTTTCAAATCGCCTGTGCTTTCTTGTCCTCGGTTCTGCTCTGACCTCAAGTTAACGACCTCGCTTAGAGGTGCGAGTCTCAGGCCGACAAACTGGCGCCTCTCGGATCCTTGTCTCTGACTTGTGTATCTCTATGTACGTATTAAATAAAACTAAACAAAACACCTTACGGTGTTACACTTAGGCTTCGCACATAAATGCCTGCTTGATTACCTTCTCTTGTAGGAGCGCATAACTAGGGGGTTTTCCTCCTCTGCCAGCTCACAGTACACAGTACAACCCTCACACGACCTCTGTTGCTCGAGTAAAGTTTGAGATGTCCTCGCGAGCCTCACATCATGTCACCATAATATCGACATCTCCCTCCATGTCAATTATTTACATGTTCATCCTCTGCTAATGATTTTAAATTATTAACTGACATTTGTCAAGTATTTAATATATATTCACATATCTATACTTCCTCTGACCTCTCAATCAGGTCCGGATTTGCTGAATAACTCTCATAGGGGTAGACGCGTTCTTCAGGCTACCTGGGGTCATAACTATATATATATAATTATATTATATAATATTGTTGGCATCCTTACAGGAAAATGGTGAGTGGGGCATCAACTCGAGCATGAACACCATGCGTGTGAGGCTAAAGACCTACGGTCACAACCTTGGCAGAGGATTCCGGGCACGCTGGTCGTCTGACGACCCACAGGGTAAGTTTTAGTCAATTTCCTCATCTCCTGGAGCTGTCAACGATCTTGTGGGTAAGTTATGGGACTTCCTCCTGCTGGAGCCTCCAGCGACCCACATCAAGAAGTACTTGCTCGTTCTCCTTACCCCCCTTGAAGAGTTAACGACCGTTCAGGTTAACTCGAAAAGCATTGCCTTGCTAATTAGAATAATGTCATGACTCGTTGCCTCTTCGATGAGCAGAGAAAGTAAAAAAAAACATGTTTTTGTAAGTTTTGTAGACAGCTTATAATTCCATAGACGGCAGTGCTGCTTCTGCTCATTAGTTCCCCATCGTAATATTTGCCCCCATGAGGGAAAGAGGATGTTTCACTTGCATTTTGGTACGCGTCTGTACTCGTTTAGCAGTGTGGCTCTGTACATGTATGTGTTGTATTGCAGAGTGTGGCGGGGAGCTGTTGTCGCCCAACGGGGAACTAACATCGCCCGGCCACCACGTAGGCACGTACAACAACAGTCTCAACTGTGTGTGGACCGTCACGAACCCCAACCCCAGCAACGCCTCTTTCTTCGTCACCTTCACCTACATCCACCTCGAGGGCCACTGTTTCGATCACGTCGTGATCGAGGGAGGTATGCTAAACCTGTCTCTTGCTCAGATTCACTTGACGGCTCACTGTTCTCCGTGGTTTAACTTGGAGAACAGAGTGGATTTTTTTTGTGCTTTTGTTATTTTATGCTTTTATCATGTTGTGTTGTTATTTTAGTTATTATTTTTAATGTTATCTATGTTGTCTTTGCAGTTTAGGGCTTCACTCTGGGTTTTGGTAGGCCTCCTTAATCTCTTGATGAGCTCTTCACAGCCTCTTGATGTGCTATCTATCTTGATCTTGAGGTGATTTCGTGGATTAACGTCCTCGCGGCCCAGTCCTCAATCAGGCTTGCTCCTCACATCTTGTAACCGCCTGTTGAGTTCCTCACAATCTCTTACACCTCCTATTGAAATCTGAACAACCTTTTAGAACCATTTTTTTATCTCTTCACAATGTCTTACAACGTTTTGTTGAGCTCCTCATAACCTTGTCACCTCAGTCTGATCTCAGACTGTTTTCATTCATATGCAACTGTTTCGGTTGATCCATAGCTTTAGCCGCTATGTAGTTTCCGTTCTTGTCCCTATCTTCCTTGGACTACCATTTGTACCAAAAATTAATTTTAAATTTTCGGCCACTTCCATCTTATGGAGGGTTAAGTGTTTCGTGGCATCGGCATACGAGATACGAATTTTATCATCTCATTTGCCATCTTCCCTTCTAATCCATTCTCCAGTTTTCGTGTTTGTAGGTTGGTTCTCAGTCCCCAGTTTGTAGTCTCTTGACTTCCTCGGCCTTTTTGTTTTATCCTCTCCTGCAGCTCTTCAATGTAATTGAAAACAATAACACAGTGGCCACTAGCTTCTAGGTGCATCTAGTACTCGGTCTTCTCACTATATTTTGGGTAAACGCTTGCTTTTGACGGCTCCGTGATATGTTGGCCTTGAGAAGTGTCTATCCGCCAGTTTTGCTTTCCATGTTGGACCCATTCGTGTGCCTCCTTTGTTATCCAGTCTATTTTACTTTGATTAAAATCCCTTTAGTATCAGAATCGTAGCACTCGATTTCCTTCTTGAAGGCAGGTCTTAAATGTGTTGCATCCCTGCCTCGGACTATTTGTACATGAGGGGCATAACTGGCCGACCCCTCAGTGTTCAAGAGAGAGCTGGATTAGCACCTCCAAAGGATACCTGATCAACCAGGCTGTGACTCATACGTCAGGCTGCGAGCAGCCGCGTCCAACAGCCTGGTTGATCAGTCCGGCAACCAGGAGGCCTGGTCGACGACCGAGCCGCGGGGACGCTAAGCCCCGGAAGCACCTCAAGGTAACCTCAAGGTAAGGAGGGCTACCACTATGGGAATCCTCCAATATCACAATGCCAAATGTGTAATCTTGTTTGTAGATTACCTTTGCCGTTTAAATTATCCCAGATACCAACATAGCTGTGTATGTGTTTTGCTTATATGTATATTAGTGCATACATATTTGTAAATATTTGACAAGCCATTGTGCCGTGAGCTTCTTAAAATATGGAATCAGATTGGGAGTTCGGTCTCTACATCCACAGTGAGTGTGACGGGGGAGGCGGAGCTTGTGAAGAATGTCTGCAATGACTTCGATCGTTCCGTCATCGTTGTGCCTTACGCGACGCTCAGGATCTCCTTCGTGGTGAGTGAAATTGAAATTGAAATAAGTTTATTGAGGTAAAATACACACAAAGGGATGAGGTAGCTCAAGCTATTCTCACCCCGTTCAGTACATCGTGTTAATACATACATATACACACATCACAAACAATAAACGTATTACCGAACATTCTGAGAGATAAACATAAACATTTCCTCCTTTACACAAGTATCGGGGTGAGTGTGTCCTGGTTAGTCGTGAATTTGAGGAATGAGTGCGACCTTCGTTCCATGAGTATGAGGGTTAAGTGTGACCTGTTGTATGTAGAGGTACGAATGAGTCTCTTGTATGTGAGTGCTTTAGCTAAACCTGAGTTGCGGACAGCTGACCTCTGTTGATTATGCATGTTGTTGTTGTCAGTGCATTATACAATCTTGCCTACAGTTTCCCCACAGATGCTTGCAATATACCATTGTGTATGTGATGCCTCTTTCCCCACCACCTTTTTTGGTCTTACAGACAGACAGAACGGTCAACGCCTCTGGCTGGAATCTAACCTACGGACTTGCTGATTGCGGGGGAGTAGTTCATGGTCCCCAGAGTGTCCTCACCTCCCCTAACTACCCAGCCCACTACCCAAACAACGTCCACTGCGCCTGGTCGCTCAACTATGACGAGGGAGAGCAGATTGAGGTAATAAGTCTTTAATATTTTTTGGGGGGGTAAGAGAGCAGCTTTCAGAACCGGTGCGTTTGAAGTGGCTAATGGTTGGTCACTGTAGAGGTGGTTGATCACTGTACAATTGTTTATTGTAGATTGTAAGAGATGGTTGTTTCCGTAGTATAGCTGGTTGTTCAATCTAGAACTGGCTCTTCGCTGTAGAACTGTATCTATATGACTTTGTTTGGCAATCCGATCGTAAATAGTGAATAGACTTTTTAAGCTTGAATATTCATAATCAGACAATATTAAAATCGAACCAACAATTTTTTTCTGGATTCGGATTTATAAGTAAATATTTTGACTATTAAATACAGTATAATTTTTATTTCTTCAATATAAAAAAGGGAAAAACATTTTATTCATTTATATTTAAGTCTCCTTATTGCAAAAGCAGCGAAGGATGAAGTGTTCTCGTTTTATGTATAAACCATTATGGGTTAATCCTATAATGGCTTAAACATAATGTTATTCACTTAAGAATTTAAGAGAGAACCTTTATTACACTAGACCTAAGAATCAAAATTCCTTCTCACACGCTGTGTGTTTACATACCTCTCGTTTCTCTCTCTCTTTCTCACTCAAACACACACACATATCAAATTGACGTGCATTATTGTATTATTTTTTCAGTTCTCCTGACATTTGTATAACTTTGATAGCATTCTAAGGTTTCACTTTCTTTTTCAGTTTGAATTCACGAGTTTCAGACTGGAAAACTCCATGAATCATGACTATGTAGTAGTATACAACGGCCCTCGGATCACCTCACCCATGTTAGGCCACTACACAGGGAGGAAGGAGCCCTTCTCTGTGGGACCCTCCATGACCAATAACCTCTTGGTCGCGTTCCACACAGATGGTTCCACAACTGACGGAGGCTTCAGGGCAGTGGCTACAAGGCATGTCACAGGTAGGTCCTGCGGTCAGGCTCGTCAGTAGGGAGGTCCAGAACCTATAGCCATATCAAGAGTAAACCAGGGACCTATAGGCATGTCACTGGGGTGGTCCTCCACCTTGGATATCGCAGGCTGGTCCACTATTTGGACATGCCAAAGGTATATATATATTTATAAATCCACCGCCTTGATCTCTCGCGAGCAGGTTCAACAAGCTGTGAGCTCTTAGGTTAGGCTCTGTATACAAAACTGTCACTTAATAGTCCAGTTATACCAAATGCGAAAACCTACTTTCGAATAAATGAATGAATGTGACTCAGTTTAGCCTTGAGTAATGTCCATCCAGCTTCATTACTGAATGCACCGACTCTTAATCTCTCGACGCATAATCGGGAATTCCGGGTTTAAATCCCTGGAGGGACAGAAATGGTTGGGTGCGTTTCCTGTCACCCAATGACACTGTTCACCCAGCTTCAATAGGTACCTGTGAGTTAACAGTTGTGGGTTTTCATCCTGCATATGGTAAGTAGGTAAATCTTGGGAAAATGAGGGAAGGGGGACTTCGACATAAGCCTAACGTGTGTATACACAGACTACCTGTCCCCGACAAAACGGATTATTCTTATATAGCATATTTGCGAGATGGGAGATAGGGAATTATCAGAGGGAAATCGCCAAGCCATTAGGACTATATGGTACTTGGAAGGGGTCAGGATAAGGATTTGGGATGGGACGGAGGAAAGGAATGGTGCCCAACCACTTAATGGACGGTCGGGGGGGATGTGAACGCCGACCTGCATGAAACGAGACCGTCGCTCTACCGTCCTGCCCAAGTGGTTGGCCACTGGACGGTAGAGCGACGGTCTCGCTTCATGCAGGTCGGCTTTCAATCTCCAACCATCCAAGTGGTTGGCCACCATTCCTTCCCCCCGACCCATCCCAAATCCTTATCCTGATCCCTTCCCAGTGCTATAAAGTCGCAATGACTTGGCGCTTTCCCCCTGATAGTTCCATTCCATTCAACCATCTGAGCCGCATGCGGTCGCGAGAACCAATTTTCTCTTCCCCTCTCAGGTTGCGGCGGAGTGTTCCACGGACTGGCGGGTAACTTCTCCAGTCACGGCTTCCCGGGGCAGTACGAAGCGAACTTGGAGTGTGAGTGGGAGGTGGACATCACCACCGGGTATCACGCTATCATCACCTTCACCGACCGCTTCGATATTGAGACTAGCCCCGCCTGTCAGAACGATTACATTCAGGTGCGTCTCTCATTCAGAAACGTTTGTTGTTTTAGATTCAGCTACTGGGAACAAAAAGTTCCAAGTAGCACGGGTTATGGTGAGCCCGTAGTGGACTTACCTGGCACAGGAGCGGTGCTGTGTGTGTGTGTGTGTGTGTGTGTGTGTGTGTGTGTGTATTTGTTTGATGAAGGTTAAGCCACCCAAGAGGTGGCACGGGCATGAATATCCCGTAAGCAACCCATCCTTCTGTTTAGGTATTGTGACGGTTGTCAATAGTCATGAATTCGTGCGTACTTGGCTTTTAGATAATAGTACACTGACTAGTAAGGAATTTCTTTTTTAATAAATGAAGCTAAAAAACAAAGTTAAATATTCCTAGGTCTAACTAAGTTGGATATTCCTCCAATGTCCATTGGAGCTGTATGACACAATATGTACTATATTAGGCCTCAGATATCGTGTATTAGGCCTAGGAAGGTTAGGTTAGGTTAGTTTGTCAAAGCAACGCAAGTAAATAATAATTTTCCGGTTTGTCCAACTCAATAGTTCAGATTTCCACATTCGTTGTACGTCGGTATATAAGTAAGTAATTATCAAAAGAAGGCACCAAACCGGGAAGGCTATGTAGCACCAAGGATGCCAATACGAGAACAAAAACGCATAAGGCGAACGATATCAAAAGTATCAGTCACCAAGAATTCTATCGAGGGACAGGTGTCCGCGAGGGGCGGTCGGAAAGCAAGACACACGCTCGTCCTGGAAGTCAGGACATTCAAGGACGACATGCACGACCGTAAGAGGGACAAACGTCGGTATATATACAATGGTCCTCATCGTTGCTATAAGTACTACCAAAACAGGAGGATGGGCTGCCGTAAGTGGTAGATTTTTTGGAGTGAATGTGATCTTTAGTCGTGAAATGGAGGAGGAGGGGATGAAAATGAGAAGATTCTTGCCAATCAGTATATACCTGCTTCTCCATGACCACAGGGAAGGGAACTTACGGGCTATTCATGCCCGTGCTACCTCTTACGTGGCTTAATCTTCATCAGTCAGTCACTACGGGGAAGTGAGGCGTGGCTCCTTATGCCTTTTAGTAGGCACCAAATGGTCTCCTTCCAAAAAAAAAAGTTACAGCCCCGCTCCTGTGCCAGGTAAGTCCACTACGGGCTCACCATAGCCCGTGCTACTTGGAACTTTTTGTTCCCAGTAGCTGAATCTTAAACAACGATAGTCGCCTTCAAAAGCTTAATTTCGGGTTTCCTTGAATTTCTTCAATGCCGTAGTGTGAAAGTTGTTAAGTACAGATGGTGGTACTGAACGTTAGATCCATCATATATAAATAAAACGGCTTATTAAACATTATGCATTTATTCATATCATTAACTATTTTCAAGGGTTTAGGTGTTTTTAAGGTTGAAAAGAGGTCATTTGCACTGACGCTGTACACACCTGTTTTAGAGACATTTATGTTTCGTGTAGGTCTCAATGATTCCATTGTTGTCTTTACAAACGAGGACATTAATACACTTATGGGGAATTTGGGTTCTAGATTTTGTTCTAGTAATAAGGAGATAACAATTCCACGTTTAACGCTAGAAGCAACGAGGGAATCGAGTAGAATCTGCAGCAGAATTTGGGTATTTGTAAAAATGAAAATCCGCTGGAGCCCTAATGAGGATTCAAACCTATGCGGATGGTGTTTCGACGCACAGGCTTCTAGCGACTAGGCCACGATATGGTAATAATAAGTAATAAGGTTACAATCCTTATTACCATGTGGTCTAGTCGCTAGAAGCGTGTATGCGCAACCCGTCCTCTTAAAAATAACGTCACTTTTGGCTGGTATGCGCGATATGGCTAAATTTGGACGTAATTTGAAATGAAATCGACTCACAAAAGTGACGTTCTGTTCCGTTTTCTATTTGAGTCGTCCGGCGTACGCGCAGAGGTTATAAGAGGACACTTTAAATTAACGTTTTTCATAACGTTTTGAAACTTTGAGGATTTCCTGCCCACCTAACCTATCAGAGGACCCTTAACTTACTGTTGCTGAAAAACAAAATATACGAGGACATCCACAGCATAGGTTCGAACTTTATGGATTTCCTCATTGCTGCCGTCAGGTTAGTGTGATTACTCTGTGTAATACTACTAATGTTGTGTGTATAGATGACAGCTTGTCCATCTGGTAGTGGAATATAAATAATAAATTTCTCACATCAAAAACTTCAAAAGTTAAGTTAAATACATCACTATGGTTGGAGGAGGCCTGGTCGACGACCGGGCCGCGGGGACGCTAAGCCCCGGAAGCACCTCAAGGTAAGGTATGGTGGACCCAACTCAAAGGGAACAGAAGCTATTTTTTTTCTTTTGAAGAAGATTAAGGTAGCACTGTTACTTTTAGTATATTTATCAAGCAATACATTTCGTGAATCATTGTTATAAAGCTAAAAGCTTATGGAAATGTTGCCTGTTTTTTAAATAAAACACAAAATTTTACCTGGCGAAGCCGTGAAGAGTCCTGAGCATCTTTGTAACGCTGTCTGAGATGTCCATCTCCAAGCGACACAGATCTGATTTCGTGAGTGCTATCTATCTATAATATTAATATGCTTAGCTATGTGTTAACATGCAGCATCCCTAGATTATCTCTCTCTCTCTGGTACACAGATATTCTCCTCTATGGAGACAAACCCCCACGCCCCCGTTCGCTGGGTAGGAGGAGAGAAGATGTGTGGGAAACAGCTCCCTCCACCAGTTAACTCAAGCGGCAGTAGTATAAAGCTGCTTTTCCACACCAACGATGCAGTCCAAGGCGATGGTTTCAAGGTGCGCTTGCCTCCATTTCTCTGACACTGCCTCTTATGTATTCACCTCCATATGTTTATATTTGCCTCTTGTGTGTGCCAACCCGTTCTCGCACTTGCTTATAGTCAATATTTGGCACATGAATAAGTGCATATGTGACATACTAATTTATTGTGAATATTTGAGTTTACCTTGAAATACTGAATAGAAAACACTAACCTAACCTACTTAGTATGTTAAGATATTACAATCAGTACTGAACCTATACCTATATTGATATTACAGTTTTATAAAAATAATAAAACAAAACTAAAATATTTAAATAAATTGTAAAGTAACTCGGGATATTGTAATTTTTTTGTATAAAATTTCTATTGTTTAATAAAACTGAGAAGAAGAGTTAGTGCCTTTGAAAAAAAAATTTGGGTTGGAATATGTCACATATATACTTATTTATAAGCGAAATAGTGACTATAAGCAATAAGTTCTATATGTGCTGTCTTGTGCTAGAGCGGGTTGCGTATGCCTATTTATATATATATCGATCTGTATCGACCCCTGTCGCTCTCTCGTTAAAGCTTCTAACTATATTTTTATTCACATTATCTGGAATCAAAGTTTTCTAAGTAGGGTGCATTGACGCAACTGTGTTGTTGGCCTCCACAGGTGTCGTGGCAACAGGTGTGTGGCAACATCTACACCGGCAGCGTAGGGTACATCGTGTCTCCTCAACATCCCAACAATTATCCCGACAACGCTCTGTGTGTTTATAGGATTGTTGCGCCTCGGGAGAAGTACATCACTATCAACTTCCTAAGCTTCGATCTGGAAAGTGAGTAGGGATTCGCTGATGCCTGTTGTGCGCCTAGTTGTGCTTGCGGGGGTTGATCTTTGGCTCTTTGATCCCGGCTCTCAACTGTCAATCAACTGGTGTATATATATTCTTGAGCCTACTGGGGTCTATCAAATCTACATAGGAAAGAGTTTCCGCCCTCCTAGGCAGCAGGTACACTGTCTACCACTGGCCCGTCGGTGCTCACAAAGAGGAAGAAGACATTTGGTGGCTAACTGCGTTTTAAACTTACCCTGGGAACTAGTAAGGCAGCCAGAGATATTATATCCCCACGTCTTACTCATTCACCATATCTGTTCATCTGCTTGAAGGCCTTCCTCTCCAATTTACTCGGATTCACACTCAGCCTTGCTACGATTATCTCTTCGTTCAAGATCGTCAAACTATTTGAGAATGTTCTCCCCAGTCATGCTGTTTTTATTGGGTTTGTGCCCCCTGTAACAAGGGGGGACAGGATAACGATAGAACAGGTTTGGATGCAACGATAGCCACTGTGTTCGGAGACGATGGGAGATCACACTTTCTATGCTTGAGAAATAACATCGTTGTCAGGTATGCTGCGGCATTACTAACTCGCTTGAGATTACTAGTCAAGATCAACACACACCGAAGGACCTCAGGCGTTCTCATTGGTTGTATAAAATATTGGAGGATAGATAGAGTAGGCAGTGTGTCTTGGAGTGTGTTACACAGCGAATCTATGAGTGCTGGACATCAGAGCATCATGAAGAGTGGAGTTAGCTGTGGAATAAGTACTGATCTCTTGTTCTAGTCGCTTATCAGCCTCAAGTAGAGAAACAAGAGTTAGGATCTCATTAAGTCAATATAATAAGCTATTGCATTTAATTCGACTCCTTTATTTTAACTATACCCAGCGACTGTGCTACTGGTCTGACATTCAGCGTTTTACATAAATCCCGTTTCCCCCTTTACAGTGTCTTTAATTGTCGGTTACCCCTCCCCGACAATTAACGACTACTCAAGTGTCCAGAGCTTACTATTCTATTAATACCACCCTCTCCCCTATTTTGTGAAAACCTAGTGGCTGAACGTTATTTCAGCTATAAGGGCCATGAATCTTCGTCCAGGTTCGATATACACGAACCCTTTGGACGTGCAAAGGGTTCGATATACACGAACCCTTTGGACGTGCAAAGGGTTCGATATACACGAACCCTTTGGACGTGCAAAGGGTTCGATGCAATATACTTCGTGCATACACGAAGCCCAAGAAGAATAAGAAAATTATATTTATACTGATAATTATTCAAATTAATGAGAAAAAACACACGAGTCGTGATGAGGATTCGAACCAATGCACTGTGTTTTCAGACACGCTTTCGTTCGAATTCTCATCAGGGCTGCTGTGGATTTTTACATCATTACACTACCACACTACCCTCACTCCATGTGTTTGCTTTCAGGTGGACCATCATGTTTATTCGACAATCTGACAGTGATACAGGAGAGACCTAGCTTTCTCAGGCGATGGCAGACGACCAGAAGCTGGGGCCCTTACTGCGGGGGGAACCCACCTCCGGCCGCGATCACGACCAGGGGTCCCACCACCTTGGTCTTTGCATCCGACTTTACTTACACCAAGGCTGGCTTCGTGGCCAACTTTACTGTCGAAGGTGAGCGCTTTGTGGCGATGTTCAATACAAGAGTACTTGATCTGCATGACCGTCTCTCTCTCTCTCTCTCTCTCTCTCTCTCTCTCTCTCTCTCTCTCTCTCTCTCTCTCTCTCTCTCTCTCTCTCTCTCTCTCTCTCTCTCTCTCTCTCTCTCTCTCTCTCTCTCTCTCTCTCTCTCTCTCTCTCTCTCTCTCTCTCTCTCTCTCTCTCTCTCTCTCTCTCTCTCTCTCTCTCTCTCTCTCTCTCTCTCTCTCTCTCGCTCTCTCTCTCTCTCTCTCTCTCTCTCTCTCTCTCTCTCTCTCTCTCTCTCTCTCTCTCTCTCTCTCTCTCTCTCTCTCTCTCTCTCTCTCTCTCTCTCTCTCTCTCTCTCTCTCTCTCTCTCTCTCTCTCTCTCTCTCTCTCTCTCTCTCTCTCTCTCTCTCTCTCTCTCTCTCTCTCTCTCTCTCTCTCTCTCTCTCTCTCTCTCTCTCTCTCTCTCTCTCTCTCTCTCTCTCTCTCTCTCTCTCTCTCTCTCTCTCTCTCTCTCTCTCTCTCTCTCTCTCTCTCTCTCTCTCTCTCTCTCTCTCTCTCTCTCTCTCTCTCTCTCTCTCTCTCTCTCTCTCTCTCTCTCTCTCTCTCTCTCTCTCTCTCTCTCTCTCTCTCTCTCTCTCTCTCTCTCTCTCTCTCTCTCTCTCTCTCTCTCTCCTCTCTCTCTCTCTCTCTCTCTCTCTCTCTCTCTCTCTCTCTCTCTCTCTCTCTCTCTCTCTCTCTCTCTCTCTCTCTCTCTCTCTCTCTCTCTCTCTCTCTCTCTCTCTCTTTTATCAATCGCTTATTCTCAATCCAGTTAACGCAACAATATCGTTGCTCCCGCATTAAAACGCTTTCTACATCAGGTTACCGAGTACAGTATAACGCTCCTGGTTGACTATTCCTGCAGGCTGTGGAGGCAACATCAGTGCTCCTGGGGTGATACAGCTTCCCACTAGACCCATCTACGCACCACACATGTCCTGTACTTGGTACATCACAGCGCCGGAGGGCAAGGTGCCACACTTCAAGTGAGTGTGGGTACAGGGAAGGTGAACTACACACTTTGGTATAATGCTTATGGGTATTAGAATGGGCATGGTGTCATACCCGTACTTTGATTATCACTGTCTTTTTCCGCAGGTTCCAAGAGCTAGAGATAGAGGGGAGCTACCGCTGCCAGTACGACAGTCTGAGCATCTACGACGGTCACGCGATACGAAACGACAAGATGGTGGTACGCTTGTGTGGAAACCATATGGGAGCGATGCCTGTCGTCGTCGGACGCGAGAGGCTGGCGCGTTTGGTGTTCCGCTCGGACCGTAGTATCTCCGGAGAGGGCTTCCGGGCCGCGCTGGAATTTACGTACCGTAAGTGTGTAGGGTATCCTTGGAGAGAGTCCTGCACTGGACCTCCATGTGAGTCTTCCTATGCCCATATGTCTTAACCTGCGCTTGAAGCAATCTACGAATAACACGCGTCTATCACATTACCCAGTAATTAGTTCCATTGATCAACTAAAGTGACAGTATATGAAGTTGTTGTTAATGGTGTGATGTGTTTCAGATTGCGGAGGAAACGTCAACATCTCCTACAATGGCGCCTCGGAGACGATCAGATCACTGGATGCTGATAATGACGGTAGGATGTTTTGATACTTTCAAAAATGCAATTTCGTTGTTCGAAATTCGTTGTTTTTGCCATGACTGACATTTCTTCCCCGAGTGCTTAGAGCTAAAGCTCAATCAGAATTTTATCTCCAGTGCTTGATTTAATATTTCATATTTCGTAATTCCGACTATAACGCTTCACAAATAATTAATATCACGCGTATGCTACGGACTTCTCAAATTGATTATAAACTGACCATCGCCAAAAAACAACTTCCCCTCCCCAATAGGAAACTATGAACCTATGCTGTACTGTGGTTGGTTGGTCGAGGGCTTGGCCGACCATGTGGTGACGCTGACCTTCAGTAGACTCGACGTGGAGCCGCCCGGCGCCAACGACACCTCGCCCTGCCCTTACGACGCCGTGAAGGTAAAGGCTCTATAAAGGCTCTAGACGCTGCCTTTACTTAGTGGCTGGAAGATCTCGGTAAACGGAGCTCATAATGTACACACACAGGAAGTAACTTTCTCTGCTTAATGATAAAAGTTGTTCAATAATGCATTTTACAATTGTTTAACATTGGATTTGTCTCTATATTAACATAAGCATGAAGAAACCTGCTGAATACCTATTGACCCATACGAGGTATAGCTCTTATATTATATGCAACGAAATTAATTTAATTTTAAAATTGATAAATTTTAATTTAGAAAATTTTAGGTTTTTTTATTTTTAGGAAAAATGTTTTAGGTTTTTTAAATTTTAGAAAATTCATTTATTTTAGGTTTTACAGATTTTAGAACATTAATTTTAGGTTTTTAAGTTGTAAACAATTTAATTTTTGAATTTTAGAAAATTAGTTTAGGTTTTTTAAATTTTAGAAAATGTTTGTTTAATTTTAGAAAATTAAAAAAAAAAACTGTTCGTGTTTTCTAAAATAAGTGCTTCGCGTTTCTCCATGCAGGTGTACGACGGGCCGTCTGAGGCCTCCGCGCTCATCACCACCCGCTGCAACTCCACGGAACTGCCCGGCCCTATTTCGTCATCCTCCAACGTCATGTTTATTCGCTTCTACTCAGACAGCACCAACCAGTACCCCGGCTTCACCGCCATGCTCACCAACACCCCACGTGAGTCCCCACTCGACGTCCCCTTAAGTGAGTCCCCACTCGACACACGACACAATGTCCAGCAAAATTCCTTGAGCGCCAAGGAACCCCCTGGAGACGCTCCGTAGCATCTCCAGGGGCTCCGTCATCAAATACAAGGGAATCTCCATGCTTTTTCCTGCTTAAGAAGCTTCAAAACGTCATCTGTAATTACTTCATTCTCTTTCTCTTTCCACAAAACCTAGATCCATGTGGAGCTTCAAGTCTTGAGGCAACAAACGAAACCCAGGTCCTCGAGTCGCCCGGGTACCCAACAGCATACCCGATCAGTACCCGATGCCAGTGGGTCATCACGGCACCCGAGGACGACATGGATATCCATCTCGAGATCAACGACTTCAGCCTTGAGGCCTCCCCTCGCTGCTCCAAGGACCAGCTCTACATTAGCGAATATGATAGGGTAAGGAAGTTTGATGTAATATTTAATATGCTTGATTTTATATGTTAAATTCGAACCAGTTTGGAGACTTGCTAAAACTTGTATATTGACCATATTATATGCTACTAGAGCATATAAATATTAAAATATATATATTATTCTGCTTGTAAAAAAATGACACTGCTAGAACCCTAGACAATTCTAATGATCGCATCAATATTTGTATATCAATTTAGTGATAATATTCAACAATACAGGCTGTATTTATACTTCTGTATTTACTGATCAAAATAAAATTGCTACAATTTTCACCTATCCCAAATACGTCATTACATTCACTATAAGAAAATCCTTTGTAATTGACCAAACCACACGCTAGAAGGTGAAGGGACGACGACGTTTCGCCTTCTAGTGTGTGGTTTGGTCAATATAATTTAGCCACGTTATTGCGACTCATCGCCTGCAAAATCCTTTGTGGTTTCATTGAACTTGTGATGGAGAAGCCAATTTTTACTTCTATGTACTATTATAGTTGTTGTCGGTCGGTTATCCGTCGGTCGTCCTTCCTTACGGACAACCAACCCAAAATTCCGTAGAGTGCTTATTTTGACCAGGAGATCACCCTGGGCGCTTCTGGTACTTGGAGAGGGGTTCAGTGTCACACGTTTCGGGGATGCGGCTACAATACTGACCTCGTTGTCACGTGCACACACCTATTCGAGCCGCCGTGACTCCCCACTCTCTCCTTATTTGGTATGACCTCCTCAATCCCCCTTTCCTTGAATTAGAATTCTGTATCACCCTGCCCACAGCTGTGGTTCTTTCCCTCTCTCTCTCTCTCTCTCTCTCTCTCTCTCTCTCTCTCTCTCTCTCTCTCTCTCTCTCTCTCTCTCTCTACTTTCTGGGAAGCCTTACTAGGACAAGGGCAAACACCTGTTAACTACAGATTTAATAACACAGAACATATACAGAGCACTCACATACATGGGAATACAAACCTCTACAGTTTGATATTATAACCTGGTTGGAGTTCAAAACCATCAGGACTCTATCAGTCACTTATACCAAGTGGTCGCACAACTTCTGGCTCGCCACTTATGCTATCAACCTCATCAAGTGGGTAAATCATGTAGTACAATATATGGCACTATAAATTCTGGAATATATGTAAATATCTGCAGATAATTTCAGCCTATGGCTGCAATACTATAAATATCAATATAAAGACTCCTTGATACCAAAAAGATACCCAGTCACCCACCTTCCTCCGTGCCTTGCACGCCAATGATACTCAAACACTCCGACAGCTCTCTACAAACAGTCAATAAAGGCCTCCTCTACATCCAAAGGCTCTCTACCCAGAACGTCTTCAGGTTCTTCCAGGATTATCTACCACGGTCCTCCACAGATCTTCCAGGCTGCTACACCATAAAGTTTATCTTTAACAGCTATGGTGCTTCACCCTTGGTAACGCAGAAGCACGTGGCACTCCTCTTCACTGCTTCTCCTCACAGCTCTAGGTCCTCCACTCCTCACTGTAGGGCTACTCTTCCTCAAAGTATACTGCTCCTCTAGCAGCCTTGGAGTTCCACTAACTCCTCCTCTGACCTCGAAGTTCTCCCACCAACTTCTCCTCAATACAAACCTGCAAAATTGTATCTTGCGAGGGCGCTCACTCGATGATGCCTGACCAGGGTGCACATACTGCTGCCCACGAAAATGTTTCTCGGCAGCTTCACAACTCTTCCTGTCGTCCAGGACTTGAGTGCCCAACGTTTCCAGAATGATTCCACAGTTGAAACGTCTGCACACTTCCTTCCTCTTGAAGGTATATCAACTAGGGGTTCTTCTCTAACGGAGCGCAACTTCCCCTCACGACCTCTGGTACTCGAGTGGTGTCAAGGTCCTCAGAAGCGAGCCTCACGCCCCCAGCAAACTCTCCACATCTCATGACCAATCATTTATTTATATTCTTGCTTACTGCCCATACATGCAAACTATCTGTCAAATTCAATCGAGTGTTTACTATATGAATATCTAGGTCTATATCTTCTTAACCTCTTAGTTGGGTCAGGCCTGATAGAATAACTCTCAAGGGGAGACTCGTTTTTTAGCTACCTGGGATCATAACATTACACAAAGTTCACCCCATTAACAGTTCCCATTTTGCTATTATTTGTATGTAAATTTTGCAGGCTGATCCGGGCAGGATACCCATCAACAACGCCAGGACGAGACCATACGAAGTCGCCCTAAACTTTAATGGACGGCGGGCTTACTTCATCGTTAGTATTTGCAGACGATTTGGTTGCGAAGTTGAGGGTCCTGCTTCAGTTGGTGTTGAACTGTGGGGGGTCCTGTGTCACGAGAGTGAAAATGAAGGGGTCCTGGGTACTGTGACGGGAGCATGCGGATCATATTTAGAGTGGCGTGAGCACGAGTCTTATGTACAGTGTGTGTGTGTGTGTGTGTGTGTGTGTGTGTGTGTGTGTGTGTGTGTGTGTGTGTGTGTGTGTGTGTATACTCACGTAGTTGTGCTTGTGGGGGTTGAGCTTTGGCTCTTTGATCTCGCTTCTCAACCGTCAATCTACTGGTGTACAGAATCCTGAGCTTCTAGAGCTTTATCATATCTACATTTGAAACTGTGTATGGAGTCAGCCTCCATCACTTTCTAGTGCATTTCATTTACTAGCTACTCTGACACTGAAAAAGTTCTTTCTAATGTCTGTGGCTCATTTGGGTACGCAGCTTCCTCCTGTGTTCCCTTGTGCATGTACCACCCGTGTTAAATAATCCATCCGTGTCTTCTACTGTAAATTCCCCTGAGAATTGTGCATGTGGCGATCATGTCTCTCCGAACTCTTCTGTCTTCCAGCGACGTGAGATGCAGTTCACGCAGACTTTCCTCATAACTCATGCCTCTTAGTTCTGGGACTAGCCTAGTGGCATACCTCCGAACTTTTTCCAGCTTCGTCTTATGCTTGACAAGGTACGGGCTCCATGCTGGGGCCGCATAATCCAGGATTGGCCTTACATACGTGGTATACAAGGTTCTGAAGGATTCCTTACACAGGTTTCTGAAGGCTGTTCTGATGTTAGCCAGCCTCCCATACGTCGCCGATGTTACTCTTTTGATGTGGGCTTTAGGAGACAGGTTTGGCGTTATATCAACTCCTAGATCTTTCTCTCTGTTTCGTGAAGGACTTCATCTCCCATTCGGTATCCAGTGTCTAGCATACTATTTCCTCCACCTAGTTTCATTATCTTACATTTACTTGGGTTGAAATTTAGTAGCCATTTGTTGGACCATTCCTTCAGTTTGTCTAGGTCATCTTGTAACCTCGTACTATCTTCCTCTCTTAATCCTCCTCATACTTTTTGCATCATAAGCAAACATTGAGAGGAACGAGTCTATACCCTCTGGGAGATCAATTACATATATCAGAAACAGTATAGGTCCCAGGACTGATTCCTGTGGGACTCCACTGGTGACGCCTTGCCAATCTGAGAAATCCCCCCCTTCACAGTGACTCGCTGTCTTCTGTTGCTTAGGTACTCGTTTATCCAATGGAGTATCTTCCCTTTCACTCCTGCCTGCATCTCCAGCTTGTGTAGTAGTCTCATATGTGGTACTGTGTCCAAAGCTTTTTGGCAATCTAAAAATATGCAGTCTGCCTAGCCCTCTCTATCTTGCCTGGTCATACAATTCAGTTAATCCTGCGAGGCATGATTTGCCATCCCTGAACCCATGCTGATGTTACAATTCTTTCCCTCCAGATGTTCCACTAGCTTTTTTTCGCACAATATTCTCCATTTTGCATGGTATGCAAGTTAGGAACCCTGGCTTGTAGTTCAGTGCCTCCTGTCTATCGCCCTTCTTGAATATCGGGACTACATTAGCCGTCTTCCAAAATTTTGGCAGTTCACCTGTTACCAAGGATTTTTATACACCATGGAGAGTGGCAGGCACAGAGTTTCTGCTCCTTCCTTTAGTCTTTATGGCGATGTTCCATCCGGGCCTATAGCTTTTGTCACGTCTAACTCTAGCAAAAGCTTCCTTACATCCCCACTGGTAATCCCAAACTCCACTAGTGGTGTCTGGTTAACTATTCCTTCTCTTATCTCTGGAACTTCTCCTTGCTCTAATGTGAAAACCTGGAATTTCTTAGTGAGTTCCTTGCACACTTCCTTGTCGTTTCTAGTGAATCTGTCTGCCCCTATCATCAGTTTAATTTCCTGTTCCTTCACTGTTGTTTTTCTCCTGATGTGGCTGTGCAGCAATTTAGGTAGTCTTTGCTTTGCTTGCTATGTCGTTTTCATATTGCCCTCCTGCCTCTCTTCTCACCCTGACGTATTCATTCCTGGCTTTCTGGTATCCTTCTCTGCGTGTGCACGTGTGCGGGTAGGTGAAAAGACAAAAGATGATAACCAACAAATCTTCGTTATCTTGCAGCTGGATAACAGACTGTCCCATGGTTACTGCGGCTCTACCTTCTCCCACCACCTCACCTCCACCACCAACGCCGTCAGACTCGCCTTCGTTAGTGACGAAGCCACCGTCGCTCCGGGCTTCAGATTACACTACTCCATCGCAGGTGAGCAGAGCTCTAGGTAAACCATCGATAATCATTCGGTGGATGATCGGCGCTTATTGGCGAACAAACGGTACGACCCAACATGAGGTTATTTTCTTTTCTTCCCTATTGCAGGTTGCAACCGGACCTTCAATAGCACCTCCGGGAGAGTAACGAGCGCGGGAGGGCGATCTAGCTGCTTCTCTACCTTCCTGGCACCACCGGGCTCTTTCATCAACCTCTACTTCAACAACTTCTACACCGTGAGCCCAAACTGCTCTAATGATGACTCCTTGAAGGTGAGATAGACTTATGGGGGGTATGAGAATGGGTACACACACACACACACACACACACACACACACACACACACACACACACACAGGGCCTCGTAGCCTGGTGGATAGCGCGCAGGACTCGTAATTCTGTGGCGCGGGTTCGATTCCCGCACGAGGCAGAAACAAATGGGCAAAGTTTCTTTCACCCTAAGTGCCCCTGTTACCTAGCAGTAAATAGGTACCTGGGAGTTAGTCAGCTGTCACGGGCTGCTTCCTGGGGTGTGTGTGTGTGTGTGTGTGTGTGTGTGTGTGTGTGTGTGTGTGGTGTGGAAAAAAAAAAAAAAAAAAAAAAAAAAAAAAAAAAATAGTAGTTAGTAAACAGTTGATTGACAGTTGAGAGGCGGGCCGAAAGAGCAAAGCTCAACCCCCGCAAAAACACAACACAGCACAACTAGTAAACACACACACACACACACACACACACACACAGGGGCCTGGTAGCCTGGTGGACAGCGCGCAGGACTCGTAATTCTGTTCGATTCCCACACCAGGCAGAAACAAATGGGCAAAAGTTTCTTTCACCCTGAATGCCCCTGTTACCTAGCAGTAAATAGGTACCTGGAAGTTAGTCAGCTGTCACGGGCTGCTTCCTGGGGTGTGTGTGGTGTGAAAAAAAAAGTAGTTAGTAAACAGTTGATTGACAGTTGAGAGGCGGGCCGAAAGAGCAAAGCTCAACCCCCGCAAACACAACTAGGTGAATACAACGATGTAAATACACACACACACACACACACACACACACACATAAACTCGATGACCGGTCCTGGTGTTCGGGCTCGCTACTGTGTATATCGTGCCTATGTATATTTATCGTGCGTATAACGCTGTGTATACTGAAGAAAGGGCGTTATATCCGGCAGGTTTACGACGGCGCAGACGCCACGGCCCCACTTCTGCTGTCTGCTTGTGAGTTCGCGCTCCCGGGTCCTGTCTACTCCACAGGGAACGCGCTCAGACTAGAATTCAAGCGTGCTCACTCTGGGTATTTCGACCTCGCTTACTCCACGTCAACCCAAGGTCAGAGGTCAAGAGTTACCTTACCATTGTGTTGATTTCGGAGCCCAACCTCCCCACGGCCCGGTCTTTGATCAGGTCTCCTAGGGCCAGATTCACTAAGCAGTTACGCAAGTACTTACGAACGTGTACAACTTTCCTCAATTTTTGACGGCTTTGATTATGTTTATTAAACAGTTTACAAGCATGAAAACTTCCCAATCAACTGTTGTTATTGTTATAAACAGCCTCCTGGTGCTTCGGAGCTCATTAACTGTTTAATAATTGTAAACAAAGCCGTCAAAGATTGAGAAAAGATGGACAGGTAAGTGTTTGCGTAACTGCTTCGTGAATAGTGTCCCTGGTTGCTAGACTGGTCAACCAGGCTGTTGGACGCGGCTGTTCGCAGCCTGACATATGAATCACAGCCTGGTTGATCGAGCTGATGATCCTCAGAGTCGGAGGATATTACCCATTAGCATCTATTTTGTGTATCGGAATCGCTGTATCGCTACGTTAGGTTATCATTAAACCTGTATCTGTGGTTGTTGTATTGCTGAGAAAGTATATAAAGTATATTTTAACTGTATTTAAATGATGTATGTTGTAACCGATTTCCGCTGTTATTGTGAACGAATGTCAATGTTTCTGTATCATGGTAGGAAAAGAAGTGAATGTACATGCCACTATGCATGTGTTTACGGTAGACAGAGAAAGAGAACCCAGACACAGAGCTGTGAACATGGGAATCTAATTCCCTCCTTCCTTTTCTATATCATAACTGTATCATGATCGTGTAACGCTGCATGAACTATGTTACAGGAGGAGGATGTGGTGGTTCCATGTACGCCTATCGTTGGACTACAATGACCAGCCCATCGTATCCTGGACCTGCCCCTGGGGGGCTGGACTGTGTCTACGCCCTGTCCGTCAACCCATCACACAACCTGGTCTTCAGGATCATGTGTAAGACGTTTGCATATATATAATATATATCACTCACTTGGATTATTGGGGGATCGAACTCAGATCTTGCACAGAACTCTTACAACAGGTAGGATAGTTCAAGCAGAGGAAAAGTGGCAACATTTGAAGCGCAGGTTTGATGAGAGATAAACTGGGATCAGTAAGTGAAATGGTGAACCTTTGTTGTATCTTTGTTAAACTAATGAAGAGTTATCAGTTTCCAAAGCGTCTGTAATTGACTACATAGTACTAAATTGTCTGTGCTAATCTTCAGATTTGGACTTCGGGAGTTCTGAAGGCTGCAACAGCACCTTCCTTGAGCTGTATGACGTCTCCTTGTCAGGAGAACCTTCCCTCTTCAACACCCTCTGTGGCCATGTGAGTAACAAAGCTATGAGCGTATACATAGATATGTGGCAGACCAGACCACACACTTAGAAAGTGAAGGGACAACGACGTTTCGGTCCGTCCTGGACCATTCTAAAGTCGATTGTGAATGGTCGATTGTCAAGTGGAAAGACAATGGACTTGAGAATGGTCCAGGACGGATCGAAACGTCGTCGTCCCTTCACTTTCTAGTGTGGTTTGGTCAACATATTTCAGCCACGTTGTGACTCCTCGTCTGCATATGTGGCAGATTTACACAGGGAGTCTCGTAGTACAGTTAGTTTCCGTCTCCACTCACAATCGGAGATCTTGGGTTCGATTCCCAGGTGGGATAGAATGGTTGGGCACATTTTCTTCCAGTTAATACCTTCGTTCAACGGGTTATAAATAGGTATGGCGCGTATATTGGGTAAATAGTATCACACATTTGTCTAATAAAGAAGGGACGTGTAGGGAGGGTTGATGTAGATATATTGATGTGTAGGCTTGTGTCGTAGGGACGTTTGTGTGGGTGTTGGGGTAGGGGGGGGGGAGAGTGTAGGTTGCGCCAATACATTGATGCTTCCCAATAAAGAAGTCAGGTTTACCGTTGATAACCCATCTTACTGTTTCCTTAGGAGGACACCTCGAGGCACCTGGCACAGAGCAACAAGATGATCCTCCGTTACGTGACTGGTTCTGGTAACGTCACAGGACAAGGATGGTCTGTTAACTTCTTCCCTGCCCATCACGTAGGTGAGTGACAGAGTGAAGGAATGTGTCACTCATTTAAGAGTGTAGGAGAGTGTCGTTCATTAGAAAGGAGCCCAACCACTTGAGCTGGACGGTATAGAGCGACGGTCTCGCTTCATGCAGGTCGGCGTTCAATCCCCGATCGTCCTTTAAGTGGTTGGGCACCATTCCTTCCGTTCCTATATTTTATAAAGCTTTGGTAACACTTTGGACAACGTTCAGTAGAGAAGGACTTTGGAGAGTGATGAGCATAAATAAAGTTTGTAGAGTTCTGTTAACTGCACAAGTACACACACACACACACACACACACACACACACACACACACACACACACACACACACACACACACACACACACACACACCATAAAACAGACTTCTACCTTTTTGTTATATATTTGTGTTGATGAGATACAAAAAATATTACACATTTTCAGTGCGTTCTAGTTGTGAGTTATGTTTTAAACATTCACTATATACTCAACATGATCTCATGGGTATACTTGCAGTAAATGATGAGTCTTCCGCTGAAGCCTCGCCATGAGTCCAGGAAGAGGCAGTAATGGACTCGCCTCATACTCACCTGTTATTGATTTACTCATCTGTTACCGACTCGGCTCTTATTGATCTGTTAGTGACTCATCTCTTGTTGATCTGTTACTCATCTTTCACTCAACTGTTAGTCACCTCTTAATAGTTACAACCATCCACATGACTGACTCACCTGGCCTCCCAGCGACTCACCATATGAGTCGACGAATTACTTTAGTCTCACCATATTAGTGGCTCATCGTCCAAACCAGTTGATAACGCATCGCATCGTGGCCTAATTGGAACTCGCCAAGTTAAAGTATGCTTATTGAGTCAAGAAAGAAGTACATCTTAAAGGGATAGAGTAGCTTAGGTTATTTCTACCCCCCCCCCCCAACTAGGGACTCATCGCCACCTGTGTATGTGAGTGACTCACCCCCTAAACAGAGCTGCTCTGTGGGTATTCATGTGTTACGTTATTAGAAATTTTCCTTTAATTACTTTTAATTAAATATATTGGTCATTGAGTCTGTTAAGATTTTATTCATGTAGACTCTCAATAACATATTTAATAGCATAAATAATTACATCAACATGCTAAGTGCTCAGTTGTGTGTTGTATATACTAACTGTTTATTTACTGAAAGGCTACCGAATAAAATAAAAAAAAAAATTAATATGTTTTTTCATATCCAATTTGTATGGGGCAGGTGGCTCTCGATCCATTTGGTGTTGGGTTCGATTCCTGGCCAATTTTCTGGCAGTTTTCCGGATTCCTCTGTTCACCTCGTAGTGAATGGGTATGATCCATCGTCTGAGTTAACAGCGACAAGACTACCAGCTTCCTCCTCCCGACGTCAATAAATTATTTAAGCATGTTGAATAAATATATAGTTCAAGCTCCGACCGGGAGCCGAGCGGACAGCACGCTGTACTTGTGATCCTGTGGTCCTGGGTTCGATCCCAGGCGCCGGCGAGAAACAATGGGCAGAGTTTCTTCACCCTATGCCCCTGTTACCTAGCAGTAAAATAGGTACCTGGGTGTTAGGCAGCTGTCACGGGCTGCTTCCTGGGGGTGGAGGCCTGGTCGAGGACCGGGCCGCGGGGACACTAAAATGCCCCGAAGTCATCTCGAGATAACCTCAAGATAGGAAGCTGCCCTGGTTAATCTTGGTAATCTCTAAGCTCAGTAAGCTAGCATCTCGGTAAATTTCAAGCTGCCCTGATTAAGCATCTCGATAAGCTATTTAAGCTGCACTGACTGAACATCTCTGTAACTTTTAAACTGCCTTAGCTGAGTTCCTCAGTAAGCTTAAAACTCCCTCAAGTTTAACTCATTAAGCTTCCCTAGCTTTAAGAGATTGTTATAGTTTTTCTAAGATTGTCTATGGACTAGGATTGTTCTACTTATGCCTATATGCAAAGACGTGTGTTGAGATTGTATGCATTTTTGCCATTACATACCAATGTAAAACTGTGGCCTAGTTGTTGGCTAAACTGGGAACGAGCATAACCATCGTTAGCGGGTAACCACCACCACCTAGTTGTGTTTTCCTGTTCACTCTACTTAAATCCGATCCGTTCTAAGGATTTGCCACTCCGTTGAAAATGCAACTGTTCTGTCTAACCAGAAGCGTACGTAACCAACCCAGTTATGACCTATATCGAAGCCTTATTTGGACGGAAAACGTAAATATTTCGGTGGCTCTGATTTTTAACTAATACGTCGTATTTTGAATGGATTGGTATGAGGGCGGGTTACCTTGTGACGGTGTGGAGGGTTCAGCAGTCAGTAGAGACGTGACCTCAGAGGGCGCCGGCTGCTCGTACAGGGAGCCGGTCGGCCGAGCGGACAGCACGCTGGACTTGTGATCCTGTGGTCCCGCGTTCGATCCCAGGTGCCGGCGAGGAACAATGGGCAGCGTTTCTTTCACCCTATGCCCCTGTTACCCAGCAGTAAAATAGGTACCTGGGTGTTAGGCAGCTGTCACGGGCTGCTTCCTGGGGGTGGAGGCCTGGTCGAGGACCGGGCCGCGGGGACACTAAAAAAGCCCCGAAATCATCTCAAGATAACCTCAAGATGACGGTTCGACACCAATTGCATGGTTGACCTCTAAAATAGTTTCTTTGCCAGGTAAGACCACTTGTTTGATTTGTTGTTTTTAAGGACTTCCCTCAAAGGTAACTTATTTCTTTATCAAATTAGGGTACGATTTAAATTGTATTAAATAATGGGGGTTATGGTTAAATTAGTTTGTGTATTCATTCATAGAGGTTTATTTGCCCAACCACTTGGGCTGGACGGTAGAGCGACGGTCTGGCTTCATGCGGGTTGGCATTCAATCCCCGACCGTCCAAGTGGTTGGGCCACTATTACTTACCCCCGTCCGATCCCAGATCCTTATCATGGCCCCTATCAATTGCTATTTAGTAGTAATGGCTTGGCGCTTTCCCCTCCCCTTCATAATGCCCTCCCATAGTGGTTACCGCATCTTCTCCGCGTAAATACGCTGAGATTTTCTTATTGGTGCCACCGGAGGCGGCCAATTTACTGTGCAACCCATATTCAACCTGTGAGCGGTAGCGCAAAAAGCATTACAGAGGGCTCAAAAGATCTTTATCAGACCTCAACTTACGCTGAGAGTGTACTCTAGTTCTGGACTATTTTCAGGACTAAAGGTATAATTTGTCGTCCGTTCTGCCTAATATCCTAGGTCCAGATTCACGAAGCAGTTACGCAAGGACTTACGAACCTGTACATATTTTCTTAATCTTTGGCGGCTTTGTTTACAATTATTAAACGGTTAATGAGCTCCGAAGCACCAGGAGGCTGTTTATAACAATAACAGTTGGTTGGGGAAGTTTTCATGCTTGTAAACCGTTTAATAAATGTAAACAAAGCCGTTATAGATTAAGAAAAGATGTACACGTTCGTAAGTACTTGCGTAACTGCTTCGTGAATCTGGCTCCAAGAATTACGTGTATCGGCTGCTTCTCGTTACCAAAATGTAATAATGATGAAATAATAATGTTGTCTAGTCGTAAGGTAAAAAAACATTGTTCTATGTGAACAAACTGAAGTTTCCTTAAATAAGACACGGGAGGCAGCCAAGCGCAAGGTTAACATGACGATTGGTACATTCTAGTAGCAGCGTAATTGTCCGGTCTGTCACTTAACTATTTATAAGTGTAATTCCACTGTTGAATTACCGTAGCCATGGCGCTGAGTAAATATAAATGCCATAGTTTATCCTTTCATTCATATTTAATACGTTTTCTGAGATAAAACTACTAGAGAAAACAACTCAATTTACTTTATTGGGAGACTAATTCATTTATTTCACTTTCTATTTGGATTTTTATTGACAGACGGGAGTCCAGTTAGGTATATCAAGCAGGTCCCTGCCCTTAACCTTCTTTGACCTTCCTCGGGATGCAGCGCATAAATTACCTATATCCCGGGTTATTAAGTGAACAGAGGCATCAGGTGAAACCAAAAGTGCCCAAACGTCTTTCCCACCTCCCCCCCCCCCCGGTATCGAAATTGGGTACATCACGATTGATAACCAAAATTTGTAATTGCCTAACGTAATTAACTTATTGTGGAATACGTAATTAACCAGTTGTGCAACAAATTACCATGCGGATATCATCATTCATCCCTCGCAACACCATAACTTTTCGATAACTTCCATAAGATGACCAGACCACACACTAGAAGGTGAAGGGACGACGACGTTTCGGTCCGTCCTGGACCATTCTCAAGTCGATTGTCGACTTATCGACTTGAGAATGGTCCAGGACGGACCGAAACGTCGTCGTCCCTTCACCTTCTAGTGTGTGATCTGGTCAACATACTTCAGCCACGTTATTGTGACTCATCACCTGAACTTCCATAACCCCTTTTCACTGCGGCCCGTTCTCTTGATTTGCCACTCCGTTAAAAATCCATCCTCCGAACCTGACCAGAAATGTGGGAACCCAAGCAGCCCACCTAACCTATCCAGTGCCAGTACCGGACACTCTAAGGTGCATGAAGCCCCTGGCTGTCTGGGTTCGTATCCTTTTGGGGTGAGGAGTTTTCTGTTATATATACAGTATATGAATGAGTTTGGGTAGAAATGAATACGAGCTGCTACGTATGGGCCAAAAGGCCTTCTGCAGTTTCCTTAATTCTTACATTCCCTTGTGAAGAGAGACGGAGGAAACTAAATTCCTTTCCTTAGATAATGATATCTAGATATATCACACATGATAAGAAGAGACACAAGTAGACAATCGAATGAAACTGTTTAACTAAGGGATATATAGACAGGTCTTAAAATAGAAATGGTGCTTAAAACAGGAAACAATAAATTCTAAGCCAATTTAAAGTAAACAAAATAGGCAATGATGAACTAAAAGTTTAGAGCCTAAGTTGATGAGCCGAGCGAGAGAAATTGGATATAAATTTCAACTTTGTTGTATAAATTAATTAACCTTCAGATACCAATAATCTGTTTGTTCAATTTTTTGTATTCTTTTATATTTAAATGGTGTGATCATCTGTTGATGTGTACTGAGAAAATCTACCATTTGTCTATACCTGTAAGAGCGAATGCCTGTTTGTCTATTCAAAGTTGGAGATAGATGCTTAGGGCTAACCTCATCCAAATTTGTAGTGAACATGGTCTGGGGTATGGGATGAACATAGGCTAGTAGGGGATGGCCTAAATTAAATGCTTTATGATATATATGGCCTGTAACCCCAGACCCCTTCCCGTGTGAGTTTCATGAAGTCGTTGATGTGTTGATAGTAGAATGTTGACCGTACTCCCGCCGTTTACCCGAGCATTTTCGTGATTTACTTTATAAATTAGTCTGTCAATTGACACGGCGGGTGGGGAGTGGGAGGAAAATGGGAGAGATAGGAGGAAAGAGATCGAGGGGAAGTTTGACCTCTGTTGACGAGGCTTGAATAAGACTTAAATGTGTGTTTACATGGGTGTGAATGGAGGTCACTGGATGCTCCTTCCAGGGGCGGACGTTGTCTGTGATGAAGAGGTTAAGGGACCGAAGTTGTCTATGGTGAAGAGGTTAATGGGTTAAAAGGGTGTAAGCTACTCCCTTGCAAGTTACTACCGAAAGATGGTAGAAAATGACTACAATGAATTGAAAAAGATGTCAATCATGTGAGCTTCGTACTTCCATGATTAAATAATACACATTTTGACTCGTATTAAGTAGAGAGAATAATGGACAGGAAGGTCAACATTTTCAGCATCGCTGGAGTTAGAGATATGGTGACCTTGGCTCTGATGGTGGGGCCGGGAGTATATGCCTCGTTAATTGTTCCCACGCATGGTGTAGTGAAAACACCTTGTTCACTATGTTACGTCGTTCACCTAGTACGGCTTAGGTGAACTACGGATCTAGATTTTTACACAGTATTTTTGCATTTACTATTTGTCTACAGAATCGAGCTATTAGCTCTTGGACCCCGCTTTTCTAACCAATTTATTTTGTCTCTATTGTGGCTACTATATATAGTTCTCTCTAACACACACACACACACACACACATACATTCCCAGGAAGCAGCCCATGGCATCTGTCTAACTTCCAGGTACCTATTTACTGCTAGGTGAACAGGCACATCATGGTGAAAGAACCTCTACCCATTTGTTTCGGCCTCTGCCCGGGGATCAAACCCGGACCCTTAGGACTACGACCCCCCCGAGTGCTGGCCACTCAGCCGCGAGGCCCATATATGTGTGTGTGGGGGCCCATATGTGTGTGGGGGCCCAAGCTTGTGAGGGTGGCGTCTGCCTTCCCCCCATCCCTGGCTGAGCCAGCAGCAGCAGCAGCAGCGGCAGCAGCAGCAGCAGCAGCAGCAGCCTGCCGCAGTGTGCAGTGTGGAGCAACTCGGAACACACCATCCCCACTACAGGCTCCCCCCCCCCACACTCCCCCACGCACCACCACCACACTCCACACCTCGAACGACGACCACAGCTTCAGTGTGGCCTTCTCACCTCGCCTGGCACCATGGCACTCAGTGCTGCTCCCACCACTAGCCCAACCGGCCACGCCTAGACTCCTCCGGCACCAGCAGGCTTCACCGGCACCCAGGACAAGACCTGCTCCGTCAGTAGCTGCTTCGTCTGTATTGATTTTTGCAACCTGTGCCGAGGACAGGGTTTTGCTGTCCTCTCCACCGTCCTTCGTGTTCAACCAGGATTTTGAGTGCGTCAAAAAAGGGACGATTGACGGCTTACAAGGTATCTGACTCCGTTTTCATTCATTCTCGTATGATTGACGATTATATATATATATATATATATATATATATATATATATATATATATATATATATATATATATATATATATATATATATATATAATACGTGTATGTCTGTGCTTTCGCGAATCGGGTTAGCGTGGTCAATTACCTATGATTAGTGTCGTTTATCTGTTCTGGTTTCATCAAATATTAACATTTGGCGTGTTCATTTATGCTATCATTTTGAGCGTGTGTGTGTGTGTTATCTTTGTCGCCGTGTCTCCGTTGCTTCTCGTTACTGCTTTTGGGATTTTTGAGATATCTCGGTACGTGAGCTAAAGTGTTTTAACGATAGCTTAAATGAGGACTCGTTGTGCATTTCACGTGTTCAGTGATATCGTTTAACGATTATTTGTGCATTTCACGTGTCTTAAGAAAAGTTTGAAAGGATCCCATGTGCATCTCACAAGTGTGTAACGATATCTGCTAGGAATCCTTTGTTCTTTCTTACACGTGTTTGACGATAGCTTCTAAAAGATAACTTGTGAATTTTAAGTGGTTAACGATATGCTTGTACATATCTTACGATAACTTCTAAGGATCTTTTGTGCAGATCAATGTGTTATGACGATAGCTTTTAAGGAAACTTTTTATCCACTCTTATAAGTGGTTTAACGATAGCTTTTAAAGTTCCAGCAAATATTTACCAATGATATGAAGCTATGACAAGTAGATTGCTCGCCCTAGAGTGGAGGAACTTCTGTTGTCTTAACCTTAGCTGTGTTTATTAAACATGTGTGGAGTAGTGCAGGTGTTGTTGGGGGGGAGGTTCAACATGTGTAGGACTCTAATGGGGATGTTTTGAGAATGTTCAACACATATTGGCCTCTAGAAAGGGTGTTTACAAACCATCAGTGACGCACAGCTTATGCTGATTTCACATATTTTTTAGCACAAGACTGAAAGTAAGGAAACATATATTCTTAAGAAATTTTCTACAGGTGTTTTTACTTAGAAAAGTAAGAGTATATTTAAATGTTTACTTCTATAGACAATGATCACAATATACGCAAATTGAAATAGTGATATTTCGTGAGACTTGTTGAAAAAAATGGTGAGGATCCATAACGATGATTCGCTATCACGGATTATTGTGATAATCTGTGATAGTGAAAGTTATGAGACTGAGGCCCGTGACTGCATTGGGAAGATGATGACGCGACAGTGATCATTCTTTGACAGTGGCGTGATAATGATGGCCCGTCATAGTGATGCTAGAACGTAATGATCATTGATAGTGAGATTACCTTGACTGTTAAGGTAAGTGGTTAGGCGACTGTGGTGATCCTTAAGAACGATAGGGGGGGGCGTGATAGTGACATGGACACTAATAGTGAAAATTGTCAATAGCAGCAAATGAACAGGACTTGATAGTGAAGATGAAAGATGTACTCGCGATAGTGACTATTGCCTCTCATGATAGTAACGGCTGACTATCGGGGATAGTATAGACTACTGACATCAGTTTGGACTCCAATATACTTCTTTGAGCTTAAGATTCGTGTCGTGTCGTCAGAGGCAGAGTCCAAAAGCAACATTTATGTGAATATGTAAATAACTACCCCGAGGAACGCCACTCTAAGATGGTATATGGTTACTTTGAAGAAGGGCTGCTATAATAATTAGCGTTATAATGTTGAAATGCCTCTCTTTGTTTCTCTCTTTTTCTCTTTCTCTTTCTTTCTCTTTCTCTTTCTTTCTGTCTCTGTCTCTCTCTTTCTCTGTCTCTCTCTCCCTCTCTTCATAGTTGACACCAAGCACCATCTTAATAACAACAAACCCGGGCCTCGAACCCAGCCCTCATAACTGTCAGGATATACCCTACATCCTATCCATTAAGACCGGTCGGCTCACTGTGACTCTCCAGGACCCTGGCCTTCTATCCTACGATCCTCCCCCCCCACCCCCCCCCCAGATCTTATCCTACGACCCTCTCCTCCTCAGCTTATCCTACGATCGTAATAATTATAAGACCCTTGGGAACCGCGCATCTTTACCCTGAAGCTTTGGAACAAAGGACTCCTTGTTGACCCTCAAGGAAGTCAGTGTTTGTTTGTGTGTTTGTTCTTTGCTTGGCGCGGGGGGGGGGTCCAGGTGGTTCTTGGGTGATGGTTAATACAGTATTGATACGATCATGCAGTGAATACACGAATGGAATGTATGGATAGGGAATGAGGAGTAAGTGAAGCAGAGAGAGAGAGAGAGAGAGAGAGAGAGAGAGAGCGAGAGAGCGTTTCAAAGAGAGCTTTGTACCCTGAGAACGGTAATGAAATTTTTTTTGCGTGCTCTTGCGTACTTCTTTGTGTGGTTGCGTGTGAATGTGTGTGTTTGTGTGTGCGTGTTCAGAGCCAAGGAACAACCACAATTCTGTTAATAATTGTAATTGTAACACTGTTTCAAAGCAGAGAGAGGGTATGTGTGAAACACGCGCACCAGAGCCAGAGCTCAACCCCCGCAAGCACAACTAGGTGAGTACACACACACACACACACACACACACACACACACACACTTATACTGGGAAGACGGGACACCACGAGCATAGCTCTCATCCTGTAACTACACTTAGGTAATTATACACACTAGTGAACTATACTTACTATACTTAGGTAATTACTCTCTCTAGTGTGTGTGTGTGTCTATACACGAAGGCTCACTAGAATCCTTTATAACGTTTAAAACTATCAATTAAAAATAACAAGTAAGAATTCAACTAAACTTAAAATAGGGATAATTTTTCTCTCCCGGTCCTATCGAAAAGTGCATCGTATTTTCACGTATAACTCCCCAAAGTCCCCCAAAAATTATCTACTCAAAATCATAGCGGGTCGCAAAATCGACGTGATGACCCGTTTTCTGTTTGTTGGTCCTTGATTAAGGCAAGTTTGGGACAGTTTAGCACATCAGTTTTGTTGTTTTGTTGTTGTTTTTAGATTCAGATACTCGGAACAAAACGTTCCAAGTAGCACGGGCTATGGTGAGCCCGTAGTGGACTTACCTGGCTCGAGGGTGCGAACCCCTGATACCAGTGGGACTTTCAACAAGCCGCCGGCTTCCTGTCCTCGTCCTCGGGTAAATCTAAGGGATAAGACGAACACAATCCAAAAGAAAAACAAAAGAAGGCGAAGGAACAATAATGCTGAAACGTATATAATACAAATATGAAACTGCAAAAATTGATCAAACATAATGTAATATAATTTCAAATTTTCAAAATATTTACCCTAATTACTGTTGATTTTAATATCAGTTCTCCCTAACGACATGTAAAATGGTAAGGAAAGTTTAAACAAAAACATGAAACAAAAAAATCCTTGCTCTAGTTGACAAGAAGTTGACATTAGTCGCTTGAGGAGTTTCGGGACCGTCGCGAGGTGCTCCAAGTTCTTCTGAAAAGTCTTATCATTCGTTTCGTTCTTCCTTCTGTATGTGTGTGTGTGTGTTTGTTTTTAACTTTTACGTGGCTTCAGGATCGAGCTGCAAGCTCTGGGGTCCCGCCTTTCTAACGTACTGATTCCCGACTATCTTTTTCTATTATATCTACTATATGTTTGTGACACACACACACACACACACACACACACACACACACACACACATTTGTGTGTGTGTTACAAATATGTGACACACACATATGTGACTTATATGTACCTAGTTACTGCTAGGTGAACAGAGGCATGAGGTGAAAAATAGACCAATTGTTTCTGTATTGGCTGGCAGTCGGATCCGGGTTCCTGAAGAGTGAGCCGGAGACACACAATCTTACCAGTTAGACAGACAGACTGTAGAGAGCACGGTATGTGTGTCCTATATTACCGCTCTCTCTCTCTCTCATTAGCGCTGTTGACACACGTCTTCAATCGCTTAACAGACTGAAGAGTATTTTTCATATCCAATGTTTATGGGAAATGACCCTAAATCGACGCTGCAAAAAACTATTTTTATCCCTCTCAAATTTTTCTCCCCCCCCCCCTCCCCTCTCAAATTATCCCCCCCCCCCTTCCCTTTTTCTCAAACTGTCTCCTCTCCGCAAATTATCCCCCCCCCCCACACGCAAATCTGTCTTTTCTCAAAATGTCCTCCCACTCGAATTTTCCCCCTCTGAAATTGTCCCCTCTCTCTCTCTCTCTCTGTTTCTCCTCTTAAATTGCCCCTCTCTCCTCTCCCCCCCCCCTCCCCCTCTCCAATCTGTTTCCAATCACAAATTGTTTCTGGTTTTAAATTGATTCGGAAACCGGCTAGCGTGTGCCACCACTGACGTAAACACTAAGAACTTTGACCCCAACAAGCTACCTCGACCCCTGCAGCTCGGTAAATGACCTCACCATTAAACTTTTCCTTGAAGCGCACGGTAAAAGTTAATAAGAATCTTGGCTTGAGACTTTTTGTTTTTCCAGCGACGTGAGGTGCAGTTCACGCAGCGTTTCCTCGTAACTCATGCCTCTTAGTTCTGGGACTAGAGTAGTGGCATACCTCTGAACTTTTTTCCAGCTTCGTCTTGTGCGCGACAAGGTACGGGCTCTATGCTGGGGCCGCGTACTCCAGGATTGGCCTTACGTACGTGGTATGTAAGGTTCTGAAGTATTCCTTACACAGGTTCCTGAAGGCTGTTCTGATGTTAGCCAGCCTCGCATACGCCGCTGATGTGTGTATGCATGTGTGTATACTGTTTAGATTTTGCTTCGTCACAGTTGGTTATGCTGAAAGGTGTTTGAACAATGTAAAATAAATCAGTGGTAGAGAAACAAATAAAAACGTGTATTGACAGAGAGTCAGACAAGAGATAGAGAAAATGATATATGATATCGGGTTTGAATCCCTGACAGGATGGAAATGGAATGGCAAGTTTAGTTCCCTTTCTCCTAATGCCTCTCTTCACCTAGCAGTAAATAGATACCCGGGAGTTATAATCAACTATTGTGTGTGTGAGGGGGAGGGAAAGTGCTGGCTGACCCCGACAAGACGAATAATATTCAGCATATGTACAAAAATAATCTTTTAATTACAGCGTGTCCTTGCCTCCTCCTGCAGGTGTAGGTGAAGGGGGGGACCAGGACACCGACGAGGGCTGGCCTCCTGCTGCTGCATGAGCTCCTCTGCAATCCCATCGACCCGCCCTTGAGAGACCGAATTAAGGGGTGGGTCAGAGCGAGAAACCAGGGCAGACCACCTCTAGTGCTGCTGCTGCTGCTGCTATGTGTTACGTCTTTACATGTTGGCTGCACAAGACATCTTGGAGAGGGACACAAGACGTATTCCTGGCGTCTTAGGAAGCAATTTACATGTGACGTAAAGTTCAAATTATCAAAATAAAAGACGCTGTGGCTTAATGAACAAATCCGTTCCGCACTAAAATCGCGCATGTTGTCTCAAGTCGCTACTCTGCGCGCATGAAGAACGATGCGCCCGTACAACTAACCGCTCTTCGAAAATCCATAAAATTACTAAACTCTCACTGTGTTGAAGAAACTTTTAACTAAAATCTTCGTACCAAGAGGCAAGAATGTGAGTTAGTTCGCGTGTGTCACACTCTGGTTCAGGAGGAATGTAACGACAGTTTCGAGGTCCTGTAAGAGCTTTGTACCTGGATGATACAATGCGAGGTACAGTACAAGGTACAAGGTAGGTCCTGCAAGAGCCTTAATTGTACCCGGGGGAGACCCTTATTGAGGTCGTTGGCAGTGGATGCCCCCGCCTGAGAGCACCTGAAATCCATAATGGTGATTGGATGATCTCGTTAATTATCAATTATTTATCGTTAATTATTTAGTAAAGGAGCCTCCGTCAGGTGTCCCAAATACCTGTGATTGGTTGCTTTGCGAACAGGAGGGAGGGGTAGAAATAGCTTAAGCTACTCTATCCCTTTGAGATGTATTTTGTCTTGTCTCAATAAACATACACAATCGACTTGAGAATGGTCCAGGACGGACCGAAACGTCGTCGTCGTCCCTTCAACTTCTAGTGTGTGGTCTGGTCAACAACCTGCAACATACTTGAAGTTGAACTTTGTGAACTCTGTACTGAAGGACTGTTATTACCTCAATCTACTCATCAGTTGCCTCCTTGTTAGTGCCGGGGACAGTTCGCTAACGGAACGCAAAGTCACATCCAAACTGGAGTTACGTTTACCACAGTAAAAAAAGCTCTCAACACCATTAAAAAGTCGGCCAATCAACGTGATAAAATGCAAATTCTGGATAATGGATAAGGCTGTTTAACCTTGTACCCAAAAATATATATATATACGGCTATTTGTATATAATTATTAATAAATGAACGAGCATTAAGATAACTAATAAAAGTAACTTGTACTTGGATACTTAACTGTGAGAGAGGGAGAGAGAAGATGGCCGTACTTAATATGATTAATATGATGAATGTTTCTAATACGATTGTTTAAGAGTTCTTTACATATCTTTAACTTTGCTCAATATATGTACACTTTTGCTCAATGGTTCAGTTTGTGTACTTGAAGTCTTTTAGTTTTGTTTGTGAGATGAGAAGTGATCTTGCTATATTCTTAAGGAAGCAACATCACTCTTGAGGAATTAAGTATATGCAATTGAGACAACACATTGTTATATGTATATTGCATGTTATAAAGGCTTGTTAAGTAAATATTTCTACACACTACTTAATGTGAAAATATGTAAGCATATCTGAGTGTGCATTCAAGATGCCCTTCTGAAGCGAGCCCCACTATTCACGCCTCTATGAAGCATTCCAAGCCCGCAGCACCTAAACGCAAATCCACTCTCAATCCTCCTAAAACGACTGTTGCCCAATCGTTTCCAACAACAGTAACTGCACCCAGGAGCGCCAGTTATCCTTACACGACTGTGTCAAGGACAGTTTGACCCTTAAAGGCAGCTGTGTCAGCTTAAAGTCTTTCCAGCCCAGACGAAGAGGTTCTCCAAGATGCATCTGTTTCTGAAGACTTTGTACATGTTGACGGTGATGGTGATGACGGGGATGATGATGGTGCTCGTCCTCCTCTGTACTCCGGACTTCCACATGCGACTCTCCACGGGATTCTACCGGCAGACTGATCTTACTTACAGTCAATTCGTTATGCAGAGGTAAGTGAATCTCTCTGTCTCTCTCTCTCTCTCTCTCTCTCTCTCTCTCTCTCTCTCTCTCTCTCTCTCTCTCTCTCTCTCTCTCTCTCTCTCTCTCTCTCTCTCTCTCTCTCTCTCTCTCTCTCTCTCTCTCTCTCTCTCTCTCTCTCTCTCTCTCTCTCTCTCTCTCTCTCTCTCTCTCTCTCTCTCTCTCTCTCTCTCTCTCTCTCTCTCTCTCTCTCTCTCTCTCTCTCTCTCTCTCTCTCTCTCTCTCTCTCTCTCTCTCTCTCTCTCTCTCTCTCTCTCTCTCTCTCTCTCTCTCTCTCTCTCTCTCTCTCTCTCTCTCTCTCTCTCTCTCTCTCTCTCTCTCTCTCTCTCTCTCTCTCTCTCTCTCTCTCTCTCTCTCTCTCTCTCTCTCTCTCTCTCTCTCTCTCTCTCTCTCTCTCTCTCTCTCTCTCTCTCTCTCTCTCTCTCATGTTTATCATCCTTTAGTCATTTTTTATCCCAATTAATGATGCAGAGGCCAAGACTGTATATATGTCAAGGATAAATTAATTCTTATATACAACCAAATGCAAATAAAATCGTTTAATAATATTGCATAATAACGATAATTATAATACAAATCATATTAATAATTAAAATAATAAATTATAATACAAGGAGGAAAAATCCATCAGGGGAAAGACCTAAGAACATGCTCTACCTTGCCAAATATTCTTAGTAACATTTTGCAAGTAAACTAGGTAAACCAGGCAGGTTGCACGGAAGCACAGCGGTTTACCTGAATAATTAGGGCAATAGGAGTCGTGTGATTGCATAGCGTGATACCAGTGTCTCACACACGGACGCGGACCAGTTGTACGGCCCGTGAAAAAACAGTTGATTGATTGACAGTTGAGAGGCGGGCCCAAAGAGCCAGAGCTCAACCCCCCGCAAGCACAAACAATTAGGTTAATGCATGAGAGTCCTGTTGTTGTTGTTTTTAAGATTCAGCTACTGGGAACAAAACGTTCCAAGTAGCACGGGCTATGGTGAGCCCGTAGTGGACTTACCTGGCACAGGAGCGGGGGTGTGCGAAAGTCCTGTTTGGGGTCGTGACTTATGGTTCCTGTGATGGGGGGGGAGTGGGGATAAGGTTTAAAGTTCCGGTTATGGGGAATAAAGGATCTAAGTATGCACAGAGAAATCACAATAGCGTGATATATCACATTAATAAATCCACTAGGGCCGTGATGAGGGCTCGAACTTACGTCCGGGATGATCTACGTCCTCGTGGATTTGTTCATAAGGATCTAGGCTTTATTTTGATTAATTTATGCCTAATTCCGGCTCTGGAAGTGAGGTTTAATTCGCTTGTTTCTCTCTTCGTATTATTTTTTTAAATGTGTAATGAAATGTTCAAGATATTAATAAATTTAAGATTTGTTAATTTTTTTTAAATAGGACAATGTTAAAATTAATTAAAATGTTGCAACTCAAATTGCATTTGCTGTCATTAAGGCCGAAAGTCAATTTTGCAATGACGAACTTTCTTTATAATTGTTCTAAAAATAGGATCACTGAAAAGGAATGCTGTAATTGGTGTAATGTTGTTATTATCTAAATTGTTCCTTTATAACTGATGTCGATTCTGATCTCCGATATTCCCGTTTTCTGCTACAGCCTGGAGAACCCCGGTATATACGTAGCGGAGGTCTCTGTTGATGTGGAGGAGGTCCCCGAGAGAGTCCCCGTCAAGCGAGAGGCGGCCTGGGATTACTCCGGCAACAACACAGGTTGGCCCCTGCAACGTGGTTTTTCTTGATATATATACATAGCTGTAAAAAGAAGTCTGTTTGGTCCACTTTCTTTGAGGCCGCATTTGGAGGAAAAGAAAACGGGTAGGCGCTCATCCCCCCTGTCTTCCCACCCACTTATGGGGGTAACCATTACAATGACAACACTTGTCCCCTCAAAGAATGTTTATGTACGCATGTTCCGGCAACTGTATGTACAGGTATTGTGATGTTGGACTGAACACAAAGACTCGGAAATATCGGCATGTCCTTAGACTGGCTCCTTTGCGTGCCATGGCCATCGTAAGACGCATTTAATTGAACTAGTGATTAAAGCTTCCAAAAGTCTTGTTCTTGTCAGAAAGACTTACATATCCTTCTTCCCTGCCAAGTCTAACGTTACATTCCTTAGACACTTGCGCACTGTATTCTAGATCACAAAACATGCCAAACCTCAGACAAAAATGTTTTAGTTCTAAATCATTTATCTGGGTCATTAACGAATCATAAATGTGACCCTTGACCTCTTGGTCCCCTCCACCGCCAGTTGCAGAAGCAACCGGCTGCAACACAGGGTCTCTGACGGCCTCATAAGTCGCGAGGCCACTTTAGGATCAATACTCTGGCTTCGCGTAATCTTGGGTCAACACCAGCAAGGGAGCGGCTTTATAAACTCCCCCTTCGAACGCCCACAAAGGAACCTACACACGCAAGTGCTTCCCTGCCATTAAGAAAATCCTTTTAATTCATTATACTTCAAAGAGTAGACGATATTTCTTGTCTGCGTTGCAAGGAAGGGCAGGGAACTATCAGGGGGGGAAAACACCAAGCCATTACTACTATATAGCACTTGGAAGGGGGGGGGGGTCAGGATAAGGATTTGGGATGGGACGGGGGGAAGGAATGGTGTCCAACCACTTGTCTTGCAAGGAGTAATTATAAACGGTCTATGATGTCGCCTTACTGTGCAGTTCGGCACCGACGAAGCAATCCTTGGAGAGAATTCAATGGTCTTTTAAGGAGGGTAGAAATAGCCTTAGCTACTCTATCCCTTTTAGATGTATTTTATTGTCTCGGTAAACGTACTTGACCTTGAGGTGGTCTTCTAATATTTCGTACAAATCGGTTTATTCGTGAAGAATAACCATACGAGGATCCAGGTGTGATAAAGCCTTTTTTAAGGTTCAAATGAAAGCATATTAAAAAATTATATGAAGGAAAACGTCATAGATCATGATAGATGCTGATAGTAAGTGTAGGGGTTTAGTCTCTATTTTTATATCAAAATCCACAAAAACTCCTGTTTCAAAAGACACCTAGGAGTAACGAGGTACCTGGGAGTTAGACAGCTGTTGTAGATTGGATCTCCTGTGTGTGTGTGTGTGTGTGTGTGTGTAAGAGAAAAATGTAATAGATATGATAGAGAAAATAGGTGTGGCGTCAGTACATTGGACAACCGACAGTTAGAAAGGCGGGTCCAACAGCTAACAGCTCAATCTAACTGGGAAAAAACACACACACACACACACACACACACACACACACACACACACACACACGCTACACTCACTCAACCACCTACATACGCAGAAATCTAACTCAAAACTTGGTCGGTAAAGAATACATTCTAATACACACCAGAACGTCCTCATCCTCGTTGATGAATTGTGAAGACGTGTAACAACGTCGTTGGCCTTGGCACGCAAGACTCGGGTCATTAATTCTTATATATAACTCGCAGAAGAAAAACTAATCACAAACGTGGAATGGTTCAGCAACAGTAATGATTAAAGCAGACAGGGTTCGTATTCTACTAACATTACCTAGTGTTGTTGACCAGACCACACACTAGAAGGTGAAGGGACGACGACGTTTCGGTCCGTCCTGGACCATTCTCAGATTGAGAACATTCTCACAATCGACTTGAGAATGGTCCAGGACGGACTGAAACGTCGTCGTCCCTTCACCTTCTAGTGTGTGGTCTGGTCAACATACTTTAGCCACGTTATTGAGACTCATCGCCTGCATTACCTAGTGTTTGAGTCTAATTTGTTTGGTATATCGATATACCGTGCTCGGTGAGAATGTCCTACTGTAATATACATATGTAAATATAATAAAGATTCACTCTCATTTCACCCATGTAGATTTACGCCGCTCAGATCTTTTAAGACATCTCATCTCTGGTTTTAGAACGAACTCCTTCCTTACTTCGCAGGGTTCCTGAAGATCCACTTGGACTACGGCCGACCCCAGCACGAGCCGTGGGCGGGCAAGGCAGGATGTATGGGCCTTCGAGTCGGATTCGCACGACGGAGAACGCTACCACGAACAGCTCTCGCCTCCTACCCTGGCTCTGGCAACACCTGGTTGAGGTTCGTGTGTCCTTCACGTGATTGTATTTGAGGTTCTTTGGTTGTCTATGTGTGTAGGTGCTAGTTGGGTTGAGCGTTGCTCCTACGCCCAAACCTTTCCCATTTATACTATCGTTCCTTTAATGCACTGAATCACTTAATACGTCCTATTTCTTATATTTAGTTATCATGCATTGGGTTTTTCATTGACACTGTTTTTACGCGTTTAATTTTTTGCGTAAAGGGTTATAAATGTTTCTTAGTCAAAGATTCTCAAGGTCTTGTTGGTCAAGGTTGCTGAAGACTTCTTTTAAAAGATACTTGAAGGCACAGGACATTTGTAATTTTTTCGTAACCTGCTCATTCCGTTCATTTGTGTGGTGTGTGTATGTGTATCTATGTTTTTAAAAGTGTATCTACGTTATGTATCTCTCTCTCTCTCTCTCTCTCTCTCTCTCTCTCTCTCTCTCTCTCTTTCTTTCTTACTCTCTCTCTCTTTCTTTCTTACTCTCTCTCTCTTTCTTTCTTACTCTCTCTCTCTTTCTTTCTTACTCTCTCTCTCTTTCTTTCTTTCTCTCTCTCTCTCTCTCTCTCTCTCTCTCTCTCTCTCTTGCTCTTCCTTTTCTGCTTTCCTCATCTCGCTAAACAAACCTGCATTCCCCTCAGTAAACCACCTTCCTTCTATCAGTTAACCCGCCTTCTCTCATTGGTAAACCCACTTTCCCTCCGTCAGTAAACTCACTTTCTCTCCCTCGATAAACCCATCAACTGGCCCTCCACAGGTACCTCATCCAGAGCGCCACTGGACTCTTCACCGGCTCCGTCTACATCGACCGAGAACTGGCCGCTAAAGGTACTCTTCAGTCATCTGTTTTAGGTTGGATCTTCTAGTGCTATAGTGGTATCCCTCGTTATAGTGTGGCCCCCTTGCTTCGGTGCCCGCTTGTTATAATGCTCTATTAGTCTATTGATCATTCGTCCGACCACACAAAGAGCCTAGTGTAGTCCTTGGATAATAGGCTAATATCAGGGGCTGATTCATGACCCCCTCTGTAATGGGTTAATATCAGGGGGCTGATTCATGACCCCTCTCTAATGGGCTAATATCAGAGGGGGGGGGAAGATTCATGACCCGTTGTAATAGACAAATATCAATGGGCTGATTCATGACCACTCTAATGGGCTAATATCAAGGGGAGATTCATTAAGTCCCATTAATTTAAAATTGATGAATGTGTTTGGTGATGAATAAGGATGAACCTTCGCCCTGCATTTAAAGCAGAAAATGAAATTTAAAACAATAGCATTTGCGTACAACAAATTATTTATATCATAATTTAATATTCCTTTGTGGAATTTGTAAAGCTGTTAGGCTTTTTAATATTATTAGCAGTTCATAGATCAGCTGTTCTTTTGTTGTGTATGATTAGAGGCTCCTATATGATTTATCTATAAATACATATATATAGGATTTATCTGTAAATCCAACATTGTTTGTAATTCGTCTACTATGAATGTACTTGTACTTGAACGATAGTGTTGTCATTGCAGGATTTTACGGCGAGAACGAGAATCCAGAATGTGGGTGTACGATAGTAGTCAAGACCCACGGTTACTGCCTGGGAGGTCTCCCAGAGGACAGGTGAGCCACAGCACAGGTGAGCCACAGCACAGGTGTGGGGTGACACACAGGTGAGCCACAGCACAGGTGTGGGCAACACACAGGTGAGCCACAGCACAGGTGTGGGGTGACACACAGGTGAGCCACAGCACAGGTGTGGGGTGACACACAGGTGAGCCACAGCACAGGTGTGGGGGAAACACAGGTGAGCCACAGCACAGGTGTGGGGCGACACACAGGTGAGCCACAGCACAGGTGTGGGGGACACACAGGTGAGCCACAGCACAGGTGTGGGGTGACACACAGGTGAGCCACAGCACAGGTGTGGGGTGACACAGGTTTGCCACAGCACAGGTGTGGGGACACACAGGTGACCCACAGCACAGGTGTGGGGGTGACACAGGTGACCCACAGCACAGGTGTGGGGGTGACACAGGTGACCCACAGCACAGGTGGGGGTCACAGGTGATAAATATATTTGCATATGACCCCACAGGTGGGGGGTCATATGTAAAGTTAAACTAAGCCTTTTCACAGCTTTTTAAGTCATGGTAATTGTGAGGATATAGAGGCTGGTGCTGGAAGGTATGGGACGTATTGGATATAATCCATTAGTTGTCGACAGTCTTGGGAACGGGGGTTATGAAGACACATGTTCTTGCTTGTAGGGGTTGAGTTTTGGCTCTTTGGTCCCGCCTCTCAACTGTGAATCAACTGAGATAAACGCAATGGTTATTGTGGTGTGGTCTGTAAACGTAGATATGTTAAGAACCACCTTCCCTGTGATATCGCCTGTTCGTTAACAAATGTAGTGTAGTGACATTAATGTAGGCAATGTTTTGTTACCAATGTGCTTATTTTACTTATAAGTTAAGAATAAAATGGTAAAATAAATTGTCCTCTGTAAGAGAAAATGAGAAACGCTGAATCGTTTTCTTTTATACTATCGAGAGATAACTCGTATATTCTTCAAAGGTTTATTCCCAGATTGAATACATTACCGAAATGTGCACAGTCCTCGTATCCAAAAGCACCAAAAAATAATAGACAAAAATAATAGAGTAACAAAAGGAGAACTACCAACACTATAATCCTTTCCTCGTTCCCGTAGAGATCAACGAGTCAAGGAGATGGATAAATTCTTCGGGCGGGGACTTTTGCTTCTAAGGAACCCCTACGACACCCTCATCGCCTACCGGAACTATCTGTCGGCGGGGCATCTGGGTGTGGCCGGCCCCGCGGCCTTCAGAGGAGCAGGTATGGGACCCAATCGCTTCTTCTCCCTTCTTTGTCCTCATACTGATTCCTGAATTCTCAAGAGTTTTCTCCTGAAAATTTACTCCTGTGGGAGGAGACAATTTTCCCATATCCCTTTAACCACTTTCATTTCTCCCAACTCTCTCTCTCTCTCTCTCTCTCTCTCTCTCTCTCTCTCTCTCTCTCTCTCTCTCTCTCTCTCTCTCTCTCTCTCTCTCTCTCTCTCTCTCTCTCTCTCTCTCTCTCTCTCACTTTATCCCAGACCCCCCACATTTTCTCTTCTCATCCCTCTCACTCTCTCCCAACCCCCTCTCACTCACCTTTTCCCAGAACCTGACGCCAACCCTTTTCATTCTCATCCCTGTCTTTAGTCTTGGTGTTGGGATCTTAATTTAAAGATTAAAATCTCATTCTAAGATACTTCCTTCTATCTATATTTGTTATTATCACATGGAATGTTTAATATAACAATGCAATAACCATTCAGTAAAATGGAAAGACACATGTATATACCTGACCGGGTCAGTTGTACTTTGTTGTTTCAATTATGTGTTCAAGTTGAGTTGTTATTCGTATAGAATTTATAATGGTATATGGCTCTCCTCTTCTGTATGGATATTCCATCTACTTAGAGTGGGATGGTTTCGCGGCGGCCTTGCTTATTGCAGAGTCGGTGTTCGATCCCCGATTGTGCATGGGGTTGGGCATCGCTTCTTCACTCTGCCCTCTTAATCCCAGCACCTTGTCCTCATTTCCCTGCTTCTAGTCCCTCGTATCCCAGCTCCTTGTCCTCGTATCCCAGCTCCTTGTCCTCGTATCCCAGCTCCTTGTCCTCGTATCCCAGCGCCATGTCCTCGTATCCCAAATGCTATATAGTCATATACTATAACGTTCTCGCCAGATAATTAATGTTTCTTCAATTATAAAAAAAACTTGTAAATGATTTCAGGAATCACTTAAGACATACCACCTTAACAGATTGGGCACGGTTTGTGTATGGTCAGATGGAGCTGTGGAAAGCGTATGCCCTCGACTGGATCATCTTAGGAAGGTGAGTCTGGTGTATATTCACACTTTCTCTTCATTCTTTTCTCTTCATTCTCTCTCTCTCTCTCCCTGTAGTGAATCAGACCATGCTCAGAGCAAGTGTCACAAGCTACCGCTTCGCTACGTTAATCTGCATCCATTTTAAGCCCGGACACGTTACCCTTAGACTAAAACATAGGAACAATAGCCCCTTTACTGAGGCTAAAAATTCTTTATCTGGGACTCTTGTGCATCACTAAGACAGTGCTGCTCGTGAGGGCCGTCCCCCCTCGTACGTTCTTCTGGTTCCCAGCTACGAGACTTGTACCAGGTTCTTAGTCCTGATGCACTAACCGGATTCCCATTATCTCCTGCGCCACTAGGACCTGATTCCGCGGGTATTCCGCTCGGCGTTTTACCCCATTTGGCATGTCCTTTCCAGCCAGCTTGCCCTGATAGTACTCCTTGTGTGGCTCCACCCCTGATGTCCAGCCTCTTAGTCATTGGGGTTCCATTAGGTCCCTGTTCTCCACTTCCTGCCCTTGGGTACTGGTCCTCCCAATTCTGACTATAACGATGTCCAACAGTGTCCCAGCTGGTCTCGACATTCTTCTGTCGAGAGAGTGTCTGATATCGCAGGGTTTGTTGCATCTGCCAGTCCAGGTCTCGTTACACCTCCGCCTTCCAGTCAGAAGCGTAAAACGGATACCTGCCCTTCGTTCTTCCTAAAGGGTAAGAAGGATTCGGTCCATGACCCGGATAGTCTCGCCCGCCCCTATGCCAGAAACGAATGGTGGTCTTGTTTCTGGAGGTTACTGATGGCTCCGTCTGGTGCCTCGTTCAGTCAAGAGCCCGCTGCTAATTCCGCTTGATTCTTCGTGATCTTTGCTTCCATCATCTCTCCCTATCTCTCTCCTGCTTCTGTATATATGCCTGAGCTGCTTCCTTTGCCTCTTTCCTGCCATTTTTCATTACTAAATGTTCCCGTGTTCCCTCCCCCCGTTACGCAGATTTTCAGGAGCGTTTTTGTTGATTCTACTGCTGAGAGAGCATGTTGTTATTGTTGCTAAAGTGAGTTCTTGATGTTTATTAGCGTGTTGTTGCAGGAGCGTGATGGTGGTGCACTACGAGCACCTGCTGGAGGATCCACAACGGGAGCTTCGCGGCATCATCCAGTTCCTCCGACTTCGAGCCGAAAAGAACCGCCTCCAGTGTGTCCTGGCCAACCTCGACGGTGCCTTCAGACGGGCCACCCCGGATAACATTTTCTACAGGCTCCGGTGAGGGCTAGGACGGTGAGGGCTAGGACGATGAGGGCTAGGACGATGAGGGCTAGGACGATGAGGGCTAGGACGGTGAGGGCTAGGACGGTGAGGGCTAGGACGGTGAGGGCTAGGACGGTGAGGGCTAGGACGGTGAGGGCTAGGACGGTGAGGGCTAGGACGGTGAGGGCTAGGACGGTGGGGGCTAGGACGGTGGGGGCTAGGACGGTGGGGGCTAGGACGGTGGGGGCTAGGACGGTGGGGGCTAGGACCTGAATGACGATGAATATTTCTAAGAAGGGGACATGTGTAGACCCAAATTAATTCTTAATTGTGACACTCCTCCCAAACTGACTCTCTTTTCTCTCTCTCTCTCTTCTGTAGATTTTACTTCCTATTTATGTATTTTAGGCTCATATACTTATCTCTTACAGGGATCCCTTCACCCAGGAGCTGCACCTGGTAATGGAGGCGGCCATGAAGGAGGTTGACACCGCCCTGGTGAAGCACGGCTGGCCAGGCCTGCCCCTCCACCTCTACAGCTATCACTACGAACTCAATGCCACCTCCGTGAGACCCTCCAAGGACCCAGTAAAGTATCTGAAGGGCGCAACAGGAGACCTGAAAGACATGGGCGTAAGGACCCCAGAGAGCATCGTCAGGGCTTCGAAGAGCACTGCCAGTGGTTGGAGAGTATCGAACACGGACCCGAAGAACGGCGTTAAAGACACATTAAACGTCAGACGGGATACGAAGAATACCGACAGAGGCGTTAAAGGACTCGAAGGACGCCGTCGAGCTCACGAAAACGTCGCCAAGGTGACGAAGACCCTCAATAAAGACGTTACGTTGACCGGTAATGAGATTTTACACAACGGAAAAGACCCATACCGAAAGAAAGTCGACCGAAGACTTGCGGACAAGGACAAGAGAGAGAGTAACAGCATAAGGCCGAAGGAGTCCGTGAAACGGTACGAAAATGGCGCAAGAGTTGTAAAGTTATCTCCCTGGATGAAACCAAGATGAGAAGAACGTGATCACGTCTACGGTCAATAAAGGCAAGAATCTTTCCGGAGGCGCTCATATTAAAACGATGAAAGTACTCCTGTGACCTCAATACTTGCGTAACTTTTGCCTATAACTGGCAAGAATATTATCGTTATAACTCTCAGTTAGGGAGGACTTAAGTTTTCTCAGCCTCTGGTAAGGCATAGGACGGCCAGAACTTACGTGTTCACTTAAGACACCTGTACCTCTTACCGTGATCAAGAAAACTTGGTCTGTACTTGTTGAATAGTTACGATCTCAGAAGAGCACATCATCAACCGAAAGTTAGTCCTGTTATGCACGAAGCGCTTCGGAACTCGTAAACCAAAATAAAGACATACTAAGCCGCCATGATGGAGCTAAGAGGTACACATCTCGTAAGGGGAACCGTAAGTCATTTGTAAATCCTGGCCCAGCTCTCGACTCTGTAGCTCGTCCCGAATCGAGCTTATTGAGATAAAGCTGTACGTAGATTATCCTGCTATGTAGTTGTCCAGGCTGTCAGAGCGGGAGGGAAGCGGTGGGGACGTAGGGCGCATTATATGTGTGACAGCAGCGCTATTGGCTAAGTGAGAGCAAGCGTAGCTTAGTCTGGCGTAACTTGCCTCCAGCCCCCAGTGGTTGAGCAGCGAGAATAAGTGCTTCGACGCACCTTCGCCCGATTCACCGCTATAGCCAGGTTTTCCGTGTAATGCCATCGGTCGTGACGCTATAGCAAGCACCGCCACTCCCATCTTCGACAGGCTTCGGGCGTCACTCGTTCTATGGTGCCCACTCGACTGTAAAAGAACACTGCACAAAGCGTACCTTAGACACAGCAGCGCGCCACTATAGTCCTATCTTTGCGGTACGTAGCTTCCAATGACAAAACACCACTGAGCACGCCTTTCCTACATTGCACGCACTCCTAAAGCCATTCTTTGTTTACAGTAGAGTTCCTTAGTTCCACACCCGCGTAAGTCACAGTAACGTGGAAACTTCTGCGTAGTATCTGCTTGCCTTCTCATGCGATCTCCGTGAGTCAAAAGCCATCTTGGTCAACTGCCCGGTGCAGAAGGTATGGCAAGGACTTCGTGGTGAGTTTATTACGTCTCTGGAGGTATCGCGAGGACTCCATGGGATTGTAAACGTCTCTGGAGGTATCGCGAGGACTTCATGGAAGTGTACAACGTCTCTGGAGGTATCGCGAGGACTCCATGGAAGTGTACAACGTCTCTGGAGATATCGCGAGGACTCCGTGAAATTGTAAACGTCTCTGGAGGTATCGCGAGGACTTCATGGAAGTGTACAACGTCTCTGGAGGTATCGCGAGGACTCCATGGAAGTGTATAACGTCTCTGGAAGTATCGTGAGGACTTCATGGAAGTGTACAACGTCTCCGGAGGTATCGCGAGGACTCCATGGGATTGTAAACGTCTCCAGAGGTATCGCGAGGACTCCATGGGATTGTAAACGTCTCCAGAGGTATCGCGAGGACTCCATGGGATTGTAAACGTCTCCAGAGGTATCGCGAGGACTCCATGGAAGTGTACAACGTCTCTGGAAATATAGCGAGGTCCCCCATGAGAGTATTCAACATCACAGAATGCCATGAAACAATCCATCAACGCAAGAGATTGACAGTTCTTGTGGTGGGCAGCATGGATTAAAGAATAAGAGTATTCTTATTTCTGCTCTAAAATATTGTACGACTTGCGTTACTGGCGCGACATAGCCTCGTGGCTTGGCACCTTCTTTCGAAAATTACTCTTGTTTCTGGCGCCAAAATAATGGAAATAAGAGTGACCGACAGACAAAAATACTCGAAGGAATGAGAATATCTCAAAGAATTTATAATTGCTTATCTCTTCTTACCCGATTTGTCCAATATGGTATAGGACATATCACTGAATAGTGATATATATAATATATATATATCATGAATATATATATATATATATATATATATATATATATATATATATATATATATATATATATATATATATATATATATAATGTGTGAAATACGAATATATTTTTCCCCTTTTACAGCAAACTATTTATTGTTATGACTATTGTTTGTCGGGAATTGTGTAAATAATTGAAATAAGTTTATTGAGGTAAAATACACACAAAGGGATGAGGTAGCTCAAGCTATTCTCACCCCGTTCAGTACATCGTGTTAATACATACATAGACACACATCACAAACAATAAACATATTACCAAACATTCTGAGAGATAAACATCTACATTTCCTATGTAAATAATTTGTCTTTTGATTTTTTAAAAGTTTAAATGGCAAATAGAGTTTCGGGGAAGAGTGTGCAGTAGACGCATGAATGATTGAGCTATAGTATCTAGATGACATGTGTGTGTTTGGCTGATGAGTGTTCTGCTCATGTCAGTCCAGCTTGTTCACTCATCATGTCATCACGTGATGAAGATGATGCTGTTGTTATGGATGCTTCTCGGACTTATTGTTATCGCATACTGGAAAAAGACGCAATATATACATAAATAATTGAGCTGTTATCGCAAAAAAAATTGTTTTATTTTTTCCTCTGTCTTTCGTCAAATTTTAAGAAAGAGCGAAAGGGATACTCTGGTTTATTGATGCAACGTTTATTATAAACGTTGAATTGACGTTTATAACACTTGAGTCAACGTCCCAATTGGTACAATACCCAAGAACAACGTCAATTCGACGCCAAATTGGCTAGGACGTCGACTTGAAAATTTCGAAGAATTCATCTTCTTCCACAGACGAATTGAACGTCGGCAGCGTTCAATTGACGCAATCAATATTAATTAGATGTCAAATGAGTGTCTTAAGGTTCCCATCGGGTAGTTTGTCATGTTATTGTCCCCGTTGAATGAAGTTAAATTTCTGTTTTTAACTTATGATAAAATAAAATCCTTAGATAAAATCTCAGGTTAGGTACAGATGCGTTGAGTGACGTTAGTGAATCAGCCTGTCCTCCTAAGGTTTCCCAACGTCAATAAACTGTCGTACTAAAGTGCCTCCCCCCTTAACCAAACCTACCAGAGGACCCAAAAGAGAAAACGGGGCATTATGTCGTTTTCGTGAACTGCTTCCATTTTCTAGTACAATTTTTTTTAGCTTTGGGTAAAGTATAGGTCAAAATGCGACGTTCTATTAGGAGGACGTGTTGAGTGGATGAGCCACTGTAGCCCCATGAATGTACGTGGGGGTGTTCCCGTGTACGTGGATGAGCCACTGTAGCCCTATGAAGGTACGTGGGGATGTTCCCGTGTACGTGGATGACCCACTGTCGCCCAGACGGGTGATGAGGGGAGGAATGTTCGTTTAATATTCCCTTCTTCTGCGTTATAGGTTCGTTAATCCAGCCGTCAAAACTTCTTGCTTGTTTATAGATGAAGATTAACGATTTACACATGACTAGAGTGCGACCTTGTTCTCAAGACAGGCTCGTTAATGCCGCGGCTCCCCCCCCCCCCAAGGACACGTTTATATCAACGATAGTTTAACGAACTGTGTATTCGAAATAGTTTGTCTTAAATATAAATTAATATTATATATTAGAATTATATGTATAGTTAGGCGTAGTTAGAATGTAACAAATGCCAAATGCTAGCTAATCCATCCGCCAAACACCCCCCCCCCCTCCCCCCTCTTTTGTTTATGAATGAAAAACAGTTTACACAGGAATTCACATTTTTTTATTTATGTGTTTAGCTTTTCAGGTCATGAAAAGTCAAATGGAGTCATTCAGTACGTTTTGGTTTGGTATTGATGTCTTGGTGTTCAGGGGCGTGGCTAGTTGGTATCTGAGAGTGCGGGGAAGGGCGGGGAGATACATGTGCCTTTTCAGCCTGGTGAGTGTATGGTCACAATCGCCTTGAGACTGGTCCAGGACGGACCGAAACGTCGTCGTCCCTTCAACTTCTAGTGTGTGGTCTGCTCAATATGGTCGTTGGTTGGTTAACTGCTGTGAGTTTCTTGCTAATATTTTCCGTGGCTGTATCATATGGCACGTTAAGGTGGGAGATGGACTGGGTTCGTTTTTGCTGAAGTATTTATCTATTTCTTGGCTCAGTATCAGTTCTATCCTGATGTTTGGGTCGCTGGAAGTTGTGTGTGATTGTATCTCACTTTCTATAAGTGTGGGTCTAGTCTTGGGGATGGGTTGGATTTGTTGTGTTAAAAATATATCAAGGAGTCCAGTAAGTTTTTCTATTGCATTTTCAATATTATGAGTTTGGAGACGAGATCTTTATTTAGCTGAGCGTCTTGTGGGAGTGGATTATTTACTGAGGGTGTCAGGGTGGTTATAGTGATTGAGGCATTAAATAAGTGCGAAGTCTGGTGTTTGGTGATTTGGTGGAGATTGTTTAAAACGGTGTTGTGGGTTGAGAGGCGTCGACGAGTGAGGGACCAGAAGCGCCCAGTTAACACGGTGGGTGAGTTGTTTCAGCGGACCACTGTAGTGGACGGTGGATTCAGAGAAAGTCTTACTGGTGGTGGGTTGTTTTGCTGCTATACTGGAAACACTTTTTGATGTGCGTGGTTTAATACCATGGTCGCCCTCAAAGTTTGAACATTTGAGTGCGTCTAAAGTGCATGTTTGGGTGTAATTTGTTTCTGAACAATTGCCACATTTGGTGTCTTTTGTGCATATGAACTGTGGTTAAATTCTTTACATCTGAAACACTTGACGTGGCATATATATACTTCTAGTTCGTGAAGATAATCATCAGTCCACATCCGATCAAGTCGAGGATCATCTTGGAAGGTAAGTTGCACTAGGTAAGTGGTCCATTTTACGCATAAATTTCTGTATTCCGTAGACGGGAAGTTCGTGTGCTTGAAGTAGTGTTTGGATATAATGACCAAACCACACATAAGAAGATGAAGAAATGATGACGTTTCAGCCCGTCTTGGACATAATTTTCAAGTCAACATACGGCTTGATAACGGTCCAGGACGGACCGAAACGTCGCCGTTTCTCCATCTCCTGTTGTGAAGGTTTAGTAGTCATATCAGCAACGTTATTGTAACTCATCGCAGACAAGCATCGTCTGCTTGTGTTTGGACAGCTTCACTAACGTGTATGATACGTTTGGCAATGTGTTTGATTAGTCAGTCACCTGGTTGTGTACAGCATCTCACTTTGTACCCAGGGATTTCAGTAATGTTTGTGAGCTCTGTACGTTGCTCGCTGTGGCTGTGGTCTATTTGGGATAAAATTCTATTGTTTATCTGATCGTATATCAAATGCTCTGATATGAAATATCTTGGAAAATGCATTGTATATGAGCCTGGGAGGTTTTTTGTAATATAAAAAACGCTCCTATCCAAATTGTCTTCAAAAGAAAACAAGAATATTTTCAGGATACGAAAATTTTGTTTTACTTCGGTGGCGCGAGTGTTGGGGCTCAGGCCGCGGACCTCTGGTCAGGAAGGGCTCTGTTTACCTCTTAGAGGCGGCGCGTCGCAGCCTCCAAGTCTGTTTACATTGCTGTGGTATTTGCCGTGTGAAATCGTCGTCGTCTTCCACCTTAGAGAGCCTCGTCAGGGCTCCCATGAGTCGGTGGTTTCTAAAAAGTTATAATGATGATGATTTTCGGTCAAAGTAACGCTTTGCGCACCTCCGCCCTGCGCCATGATTTTTCGAGCCACCGAACATTTCTCGAACAGTGCTTCGCTGACGACCTCTGTTCGAATAGCAACTCCGTAAATGCTTCATTCACGTACTTCAAATACAAGAAATTGCCATCAGAGCCTAAACACTTAACCTATGCCTAACTATAAAGCTTATATATATTAATATAATATTAATTTATATATGATTAAAACTTTTTCTTATAGAATTCGTTAAAATTGATTAATTGCGTGTTTAGCCTGAAGATAGGTTCTTGCTGTTTCATGGTCGGTTGCATTTGCAACATTGGTCACCAAAACGTATAAAACGCGACCTGTTAAAGAACAGGCTATTTCAGGAGCCGGAAGAAACCACAACCGTCGCAGGAGCTAACGATGGATTATCCGGACGATCCGGAAGGAACAATGTTCGGACGAACCGGAAGGAACAATGTTCGGACGAGCCGAAAGGAGCAATGTCCGGACAAGCCGTCGGTGCCGACCTTAGTACAGGTGCAGGTATCTAAGCCGGGTATATTTCTAATCTTTGCAGCTTATTGAACGGCCGGAATTGAAGAACTGACGAGGGGGAACTATAGACATAGTCACCAGATAACCACAACGCATTTTGAATACATTATCACAACAAATAACGCAGTAATAACGTCAGAAAACGTCACTATTGTATTGCACGTTTGCTGGATAAGACTATGAAAAGGGTAGAACTGGAAAACATCCCAAGACAATGCAGTGAAGACAATTACTCTTAATTTTTTTTATTTATTTTAAGTATTTCCGAGAATTGGCTACAGTGACCAGAGTTTATATGGTCGCCTTGGTAACAGCTGCCACTGACGTCACTGCTTCGTTTATGGCATTAATTCTGATGTAAATAACATTACGCCAACTCTAGCAGTGTCATATTTAATTATAAATGAATGTTGTGCTAACTATTTATCAAAAGGGAACGATTTAAACAAGATTTTATGGATAGTTCAGTTCTCATGAAGCTCTGAAATTCAGGCTTGTAGTTATTAGAAGAAAAAAACCATTTGGAGCAGTGTTTACGAATAGGTTATATTCCGGCATAGTTAACTCAGGGTCGTAGACTCACTGGAACGATCTTCTGCCTAAGTTAACACGTAACAAGTAAACCCATACAAAGTTTTGTGTCGGGAACAAAGTTGGAATGGCTTTGATTATCGACGCGCCGGGCGCTGCACCCAAGGTTAATGGGCTTTAGAGACGGACACAGAAAGTGAGAGAGACAGACAGACAGAGAGAAATAGAGGGAGAGAGACAGAGAAGGGGAAGAGAGAGTATAGGCCT